ACCATCGACAAATTCATCGAGCTTTTAATTTGACTAATTAGTTTAGTTGTCTTGTGGTACAATAATTTTACAAACAATAAGTAGGTAAAGAGTTTTGGTCATCCAAAAAGGTAATTTATTACTTTCAAAAAATTATTTCCAGCTAAATGTCTGCAAAGCAGGAAATACAATAGAAGCAAAACGAAAAAAAAAACAGAAACCCTAGTAAAAAATATACAAACACATTTATTTTGGCTTGTTCGTAGTATACTGGAGGATATTGTGTTGGCGTTAGTTAGATGGGAAATATTTTTTGGATATAACAAATTTTTGCAAAGCTATGATGTCATCCTCTCATAACGCTGATGATTCAGAAGTTAACACTTGAGTGACTACAAAAAATTTGATTAACTTTGGAGACTTTGGAAAACACGTAAATATATATGGACATACATACAGAAATCATATATATAAATGTATGAATAATGTACACATGTGATAAATACATTGATCCAAGATACTGCCATATATGCATACACATATAAATATGTAAAGTTTGTATGAGATATGTAGACTTAAAAGGCGCATGCGCGCACACTTAATAATTATTTACCAACATAATTTTATGTATACCATGACTTCAATTTGAACAAATATGTATTTATATATTATATTATATGTATATAATACATTATATGTGCAGTGTGACCAATAAACGGTCAAAATTTGAAATATCCACTTTTTGCCTTTTTTAGACGCCGGCATATGAATACACAATATAAAATCCCCATACAAAATTTTCGCTATTTTTTCGAGCGATGATAAATAACCAAAAGCCGGCTAAAATTTTGCGAGCTGCTAAATTGATCCGGTTTTAAGTCGAGTCATACATACACAACACACACATACATACATACAAACGTATATTTGTATGTACTATATTTATATTCAATTGCTTGACTTCTCTTGCATCACCTCCCTCCTGCGTGTTTGTCAAGTGGTCGTCTGTTGATTTTTCGGTTGAATCAATAATAATGTGAATTTTAAGCTTTTGGTTATGCAATGCAAAGATCACCAATTTTTTTATTATTACTGTGCACACCAACTATCTACAATTTGTATGTACATATGTATGTATGAAAGTCATATTGTCATCGCCTTTTATAAAATGCTATACAAGTACAGTGAGTTTTTTTTTTAATTTATTTTTAGAGTTTTTTTCCACTTTGACATTAATACTCACACTTTACGTATGTATGTATATAAATATATCGGTCATCATTGAAGGCGAGAAAAAGTAGGTGAAATATAATTGTGAAATGTTTTGATTGGTTAGTTGCCTGATTACTTAACAGCTTGATTGAGCGTTATTTTTGTATGTTTATATTTAAATAAATATATATACATATGTATTTACTGTACATAAATGCACTTATGTGGCAAATGGTCAAGTAAGCATTTTCGCAAATAATTGTGAGTTTTTAATACTTTATAAAATTTTAATTTTTTTTTTATTTAAGGGCTGACATCGGTTTATTTGGGGGGAAAGATCAATTTTGTACATTTTTTCTAAAAAAAAAAAAAATTAAATATTTTCCAAACTATTTTCTATACACTTTTAAAATAATTTCTGTAATTTTCAAAGGAAAATATTCACAGCGCCGCCATTGCTAAACATCCTAAAAACAGACCAATTCAACTCATCTTCGGGCTATGGTAACAAATGTTCAGGAAAGCTATACAAATGTAAAAATTAATCTCCCCCATTTTCAAGTGATATAAGAGGAATAGGGGTATTCGCTCCGTCTGGGGAAATACATGGATTGCACAGGAAAAATATGCTATACTCAAACCTATGTGTATTTATTTTCCATAAGCAGACTAAGTGATTACCTCTAACGATTACAGCACTTCACAGTACCAACAGATCTCGACGTCTGCAATAAGTTTTTAATTTTCATTGGCTTGAAGCACTCACGTCAGTCAGTGGTTATATAGAGAATAAAGAATAATATACTTTAATTGGAAAAATGCATTTGTCAAAAACCAAAAATACATACATACACATGTACCATGTATTGAATTATGAGAAGAAATGTTAAACCATTTATAATATTTGGCACAATAAATTTTGAAAATTGTAAAAATAAATAGTATTATTGCATAAAAAAAAATTATTATTATTAAAATTTGAAGTACAACCGTTAAAAAGTAAAATGTTATCAATAAAAAAATCTTTTAAGCTTCTCTTTGAAAAAAAAAAAAACTAAATTATCAGTTAGGAGCTGTTTCTATTACTTTCACTTTTAGTTTGAAATAGCAGCTGTTTCTTTAAACCCTAACATCCATCCTTTTTAATATATTGAAATTATTTTGAATAGTATTTTGCATTCTAATTACTATTATACCGAAAATGTCTAATTCTGCTAAATGCTTTGGGTACTTTCTAAACATAACTACACACATATATACATATGTATGTATATAAATGTGTACATGTAATTACGAATGTATTGCTCTTCTCAGTTTTTGTACTTTTGCACTTTGAAAAGTAAAATGCTGATAAAAAATTAAATAACAAACACGTAATAGCACAGCAAATATATCAGCGGACAGCACGGTGTGTGGAGCAACAGAAAGTGGAGGCAGCTGACCAGGCATTTTAAGCGAAACAGACAACGTAGAGATATGAACGTGAAGGAATAACAAATAAATAACAAATATACATATTCGTTTGGCTATACATACCCATGAACATATTTATATTCACTATATATGTGTATATGTATATACAAACCTATATAGTAAATACTTTAATATAAACGCAATGATCGTGTCAGTTTTGTTCCAACAATACCATACCTTCTTCCCCCATACCTACCACATATAACCTAAATAACTTATACATTTAAGTATGCATGTATATAACATATTCTACATACATATACGAATTTTTCATTCAAAGGGTAAACACGTCTGTAGGAATGATTTGAGTGGAGTGAAAAGAAAGAATTACTGCCATAAAAGTACATGTGTAGACGGACAAAGTTAAGCACACAAATGCATATGCGGTTATGCATACATACAATACATATGTACAACTATTTATTATATATTTATTTATTTTTTTATTTACATACCTACTATAGGTATATATGTTTGTATGTATGTATGCAAGTCCGCATAGACATTTTCGTCTACTCAGCTTTCGCCGCCTTGTGTTCTCGTCTTTACAAAGCCCCCGGCTTGAAGTGTAAGGTGAGCCGCTGCTAAGTAGTCAATATGGATTTATTTTACTTTCTGCTTTTTTGCTTGGCTTTACTTGCCTAATTCGTCGGGTGCCATTTAGAACTCGCTTTCCGTTATCACATCCATATGTACATGCAAACTAACATATAATAAAAATGGCTAATAATATTGAAATGGAAAAGGAAAGCTTGACAATGGAAATATTTGCTGAAAAATATTTCGAAAACAACTTAGATTGTGGACTGGAAGTCAAAGGGGTAAAAAGAGCAAAACATTGCAGACATGTGTAAGTAGATACTATTCTAGAAGGAGATACATGCATTCATATGTACATACGTGAACACGTATATGTATATGTATCTCAAAGACACCTCACCGGCTTTTCAGTGAATGTTTTGCTCAGGTATGATAAAAGCACATGTATCAACTTCAATATACTCACTGTGTTCAATATATACATATGTACATATATACATTTATAGCATATCTGCATTATCTTTTCGAAACATTTTTGTTATACCATGTGTCTTCATACATACATACATATAGAAGAGGGGACATGAGTAATATAGTAAAAATGCGATGACATCATTGAACCAAACATTCCCAGTTTACACAGCTGCTTAGAAGGAATACATTGTTCCCGCCACCTTAATAACATACTTATGTATGTATATGCAATTGTATAGTACCTACATATGTACGTTTGCAAAAAAAAAAAAATGAAAGCTTTGTAATATCTGTTTCATACATAACACATTTCGGCACGTTTTTACAAAATAACCAGAAAATTGTTTGCCCCTTGAAACGTTTATGGCTGGCTCTCTACAGTGCAAAATTACAAATTTAATGCAAATACAATAATCGGATGTGTAACTGAGCTTACGAATGGAGGACATGTACATAAACTAGGAAACCTGTTTCCATATTACAGCATACATGAATTAACAATATGAGTATATACAAATGTACATACACAAATGTGTAAATAAAACACATGTTCATCAATTGCAGCCCCCTTTTGTTTCAACCTTTTTGCCCATGAATGCATGCAAAGCCTACACTGCAATTGCATAGAATTACCGCTTTCACTTGATCGCTTTAGGTCGTTGCATTTTAAATTGTTAGGGTGTATTTTACTTTAATTTGTAATTGTAGATTAAATGATTAAGCATTCGTCACATTTTATTTTGGGGTTAATCTGCGGAAGATACAGACTTTCTATCAGGAAGCTTTTATTTTTTTTTTTAACGAAATTAAGAAATAGAAGTATGCATAGAGTAAGAGGAAAATATACTGACTTTTAATAAAATGTTATCAAATTACATTCAAATTATATTATAATACAAGAATAATCAGAAAGTAACAGTTTTAAATTAATCGCTAGATATATTTAATTCCAAATCAGCGAATTAGCGATAATATGCCGTGTTATACTGATATCGTAAATTCTGTTGAATTTTTATTAAAGTTCTTCTAGTGCAAAATGCAGAGGCCCACTGTATTTAAGTGCTGAATTTGAAGGTCGACAAATTCATCTTCATGCGAAGCCAGACGCATGCCATTCATGGCCATGAATTACCGCGCTTTACCTATGTTACGCATATGTATGCGGCACAATATTTTTATTATTTGCGACAACTACCTAAGACTCAGTATTAGTTTTGTCATAATTATTCACAAATATGTTTGCAATTTTCGTGCAACAAATTTTGGTGCCTCACAAAATGTTCTCCTATTAATATGTGTTTTTTTTTGTTGTGTGTACTTACTTTGCGTTGCGCCTCAGCAGCAAAACCGGACTTTGGTGCACGATTCGAAGACATTTTGGCTTTAAACGGGTTTTAGATTTTGGCTTATTCCTTTTTAATATATTGAAAACTTGCTGAAGTTAGCAAATTATTCACAACTTTCAGTGTCTCTTCTAGGTTACTGGATCAGCGATAGGATTTCCTGTGACTTTTCTATTATGGTCACAGTAGAAACACAAATTGGCGCAGAGTGGGTGGGCGTTGAACGGGATTTTCGGTTAGTTTAAGGTATCACAGAGAGCGAATTATTACATCCACACGCAACGAATTTAAAAAAATTACTGTCATTAGGTTTGGAGTAAATGCAAACAGTAACCAACTTGAACCCAACATGCAAAAGATTCCCCAATGCCAAAAAGCTCGTCAAAAAGCTTTTAGAATGCCGTATCAATTGTTGAAGTTTTGGGATTCGATTTTAAATTTTTGTTTAATTTGGTGAAATTATCACATAAAAAAAATTAATATAATATTGGGGTCATTTAAATATTAATTATTTTAATGGAAATATTTTTGCCCAAAAACAATTTTATGGTTTTTTGTTAAATTTTTTTATTGCTGTTGCAGCTACTGTTGCCATATTTTTTATTTAAAAAATGCTTAAGGCAGGCTTGCATTAGGAAGGAATCATTAGATTTTGATATATACGTATATGATACATTCTTTGTATGCATATACATTATTTGACTGTATATTTTCCCTGTCTGAAAATTCTGTTTTCGTTTATTATTAGGAGAAATTTTTACAAATGTAGAGGAAATAGTTCTAGTGTTGTAAAAACCATTTCTCTTATATATCGAGTTATGTACTTTATCGATTTATCCACTATCGAGTAATAAACTTCGATGTTTACGCCGAATCAATGTTTTCTTACATCTTCATTTCATTTATATTTATTCAATTTACCGTGCTTTGAAAATTTTTCTTGTTTATCATCAATAATAGTACTGAGTTAAAATATAAAATGTCCAATCCACGTTCAAGTAGAAAATCCAGCTTTGTTTGGAATTTCTTTGATGCAGATGACAATGAAAAGGCACGATGTCGGATATGCAAGCGGTTCTTCTCGCGCAAAGGCTGTTGTACTTCTGGACTTATCACTCACCTGAAGAAAACTCATACGGAAATATTTTTATTACATTTAAATAAAGGATTGGTTTCTTTAGACGGTGATAAAAGTGATGACATAAAGAAGGAACCTAGTGAAAGTAACGGTACAGAACAAGTAAATAAGAAGCCTAAAGCAAATAAGGTGGCCAAGAGAAAGCGAACTGAAAATGACTCCGACACCTCTGACGGTGAACAATCATCCGAAGATTCCACTGATTTCCGGGAGGATGAAGAGCAGCAGAAAAAACCGATTGAGCAAATGTGTCTACAAGAGGATGAATATCCAATAATAAATATTGAGAGAACAAATGGCATAGTTAATCCTTTTTTATCGCCACCATCATCGCAATCTTCCACACCACAGATAGAAGCTTTATTAACAAAACAATTACAAATCCAAGCTAAAATGTATAAGGAAGTTAAAGAAAAATTGGAACAAATCAACTCATGTGTAAAAGAATCAGAGCGCATTAACCGAAAAAAGTATCGGTTAAAAGCCCAAAAACTACGTATGCAAAAAGAAGAGCTTAAAAAGAAAGAATTACATCGCAAAGAAATGCATCGCTTACGACTATTGGAATTGGACATATTGAATAGAAAAAATGTGCAAGATCAGTTACATTATGATCAGCTCTAGTAGTTAGAAATTATGTCGTTTTTCTTTATTAAGATATATACATATAAGGCAAATATATACATATAGTATGTATAATGTAATTATAATTGAAGTAGTAGCGTGATATCTACTCGCCAGATGATGTGGTTAGCGGGTTCTATAATGTCATTTAAGTTATATACAAATACCTTTATTAATTCCTAAACGGTCTTATTATTTTCGAGACTTAAATTAATTATTTTACAAAATTTAATTTGGAAGACTGCAGCATTTAAGATTCGAAATATTCGTTAGTAGATTCCATGATGTGAGTGAGTGATGTCGATTTGTCTTGTAAGTATAAGGTTTGGTTGTATCATTTATTTACATACAATAAATAGTAAAATTACGACTAGATATATTGCAAACAAAAATTGTATATATATAAATAAGAATAAATTTATTATGAATATCATTTGTTTTGAAAAACTGAAGGCAATTACAAATCGTAAGTATTAACGGCGGCCGCAGTAGCTACCAAACGGAGAGCCGTGGGTTCAAGACCTGGCTAAATCAACTTAAGGGGTATGGCCACAGTAGAATTTTTTAAAAATCGTTTTTTTTTTGCTTAAACGATGCTTTATAGTCATAAAAATGATATGCCATTTAACTCAGAATGAAATAATCATTTTTGACTGATTGAAGGTGTATATCGAAAGCCCACCTCTGGCTCTGCTAACTTATATGTGAAACTTTAAACGCCTTTTTCTCGAAACAGTTTTTTTTGAATTGGCGTGACAAATAACTTGTACAATTTTCATCCGATTGACTTCAAATTTTGACATCATGTTTATTATTGCATTCCGCAAGGAAGTACGTAGGGGATTTTCGATTAATCAAGTACTTTTTTTGTTATGACTAGTTTATAACAGAATTATTGACTAAAAATGCACGTTTTCTGTTCAAATACCTATAATTTCCATAAAAATCAATATTTTTGAAATCCCCTACGTACTTCTATAGCTATTGTCATGCAGATTAACGATATTTTTTTGTTTTGTTTCAGGACGCCGTGGAGCGCTTTAGAAAAATGGATGAAAAAGAGATCAGAAATATCGGCCATTTTGTGCCGGAAAAAAAATTTTAAAAAATAGTTTCTCATAAGCTTTATATCCGAACTTCATCGGTTTGTGATTATTTTCATGAATAAATAATAGTTCCATACAAAAAAAAAATATTACATTTGCACATGGTTTTTTACCCGTTACTGTGGCCATACCCCTTAAATAACTAAAAAAAATCCGATTACGATAGCCTCTCTCTGGTAAACGTTCCTGGCATTAAAATAAAATCTCTTCAAAAACCCCATTAGACGTTCGGAGTAGGATTGGATAAAGCTGTAGCCACATAAAATCACATTCCGCTTTAGGAATATCAAAATACTCATGATACCATTTACCTAAGCATAATGTGGTAATAATATTTGGTAGAGATATTTCATAATTTTATTTACCTTTAGTTGGAATAAAACATAACTTGCATTTATTTTTTTCTTCTCCTTGTCTTTTATTTATATATTTTTCCGTTCGACTTTAATTCACATGAATTTCACATAGCATTTTCGGCTTCGCTTCGTCTGTAGTTAATAGCTTTTGCATGTATTTTTTTTATCAGACGTCGTACTAAATAGTTACATCGATTTAGTTTGTTTTTTTATTAAGTTAATAAATTTAAATATTATTAATAATTATTTTAAATTTAACGATAACGATAGATAGACTTTTTCTTATTAAATTGGGAGTTACAGTTGAAATAAGTTTAGTTACATTGATGTATGTATGCATGCATTACATATGTATGTATGTATGTATGTATTTATGGTAATACTCTTTTATTGTATTTTTAAATTTTTTTAGTTACATATTATGCTGCTTAAACGTGGTAGTTAATCGATGAGTTCATTATGAAGCGGAAATTTAGGCGTTTTTGGTAGATGTATGTATGTGTGTTTTTATTTAATTACAATAACAGATGTATTGGTTACATTATAGTTTGCTTCAAAATAAGTATGCTTTAAATTAACAAATCAATGGACAAACAAAAGGACCAACACTTTAAACGCACTCATTAATTCGTAAATTTCTAGGTTCGCATGCCTGTCTAAATGTCACATCCAGAGTTATATGCATTTGCATTCATGTTTTTTGCGTAAATTGCTCCAATTTAAATTTGTTATAATAACTTTAGGTTATACTGCAGACTTTTGTTCACATGCTTTCATTTGGAATGAAAAATTTTGCAGTGATCCGCCATTAATTGGTTTACATGGTTTTGTTAATAAGAGGTGTTAACTTAGTGAAGCGTCAAAAAGTAATAAGCTGTCAAAATTAGTTGAATTTCTGCAAATAAATTACAGGCTCAAGGCAATAAGTGGTTTATATTTTTACAGAATTTGTTAAAGCAAATAAATTGTAATGATGTTTTTTATTTGCGGCAGCAGAACTGTGAAAGTCCAGCGCATCGCAGGCGTATAATTGAAACTTTATATTCATTTCGAAATCGTTTTGAATTAAACACAGCCTTTGTGTAAAAATAAAAAAAATTAAAAATTGTTTTAGCGGTGTTAATTCGATTTATTTTTAAAAATTTTACTTGGATAAATATCATTTTCTCACTTTGCATTAATTCAACACGACGCTTGGTAAGGGTAAAAAAATTGATTTCATGCATATAAGACATGCCTGATATTTGACTAACCAGTAGTGAACTGACTTGCCACTCTATTTTGAATAGAAAGACTATTGCGCCAAACGCTTAGCGAAGCACACACGACCCAATATACAAGTATTTAATTGTTGTAACGGTTTTTGAAAACGTCTACAACGTTGATTTGGTAATCATATTGTAGCCCAAAACTAAAATATTAAATATATATGAGCTCACCGATATAGAATTTTGTCTTAACAAATTGAACGCACATAAAATGCGCATATGTTTTAAGCGTGTAATTGTGATATAATTTGATTTTTATAAATTTGCTGCAACCAACACCTTTACATTCAGTCCATACTTTCTTCCAAATAAACTTAAGATACGGTTTATATGAAAAAATTATATTTTAATGTTGTATCAGCTATTACAATGTGTATACATATTTATATAAATAAGTTATATTAACAAATTAAAACGTTTTGTTTGGATTTTTTTCTTTTATCTTTTTTTTTTAAGTATAAACTTTGCAAATATATGCATATATAAATGTAAATTTAAATTTAGATAACATAAAAATTAAAAAAAAAAAAAAAATATGCATCGAAAATTGGAAAATACATTAACTACACATAAATATTTGTATATATATATATATAATCTATAAACTCGCACACAAAATTGCTGATATACATTTTATTTGCTTCGCTTTCATTTCATGCATTAAATAGCTTGGAGTGCAGCGCAGTGAAGTGTCACTGTTATTTAGTTAGCTTTTTTGTCTAGTCACCAACATTTTGCATTCTGATTCAACTGGCTGCCCGAACTGGCTTCATAAATTTCCTAACTGCCCAGTGCCTGTGTATAGAGCGATTTAGCTGATTCTATATACTAAACTATTAATAAAAAACTACTACTTTTTGAATTATGCTCGTATTATTGGAGAAGTTAGGTAGAATTGCTAATTTCTGCAGAAAAAATTTATTTTAGACGCAACGCCTTTCAAGAAAACTTGAATGAACAAAAAGAAGAAAATCAAAGATAAACAACGAAGATCTGACATTATAGTAAGAGAAGAAACTTTTTTTTATCGAATATTTTAGACAAAAGCTATTTTTATAGAAATTTTGGAGTCTGAAAAGTGCATTATTTGTTAGCAACTTCTCATTTTCATTTTTCCATTTATGCGTGTATATATATGCTGAAATTGTATATTGTTACATGTTTGCATAATTTAATGCATTGGTTTAAGGATTAAATCGTTATCATTTTAATTAAATATAACAATTATTAGCACATTTTACAATGAATTGCAACAAAATACATCATTATCGCGACAACAGTACCAGCGCATGATATATAAAAACGTCTTAAAAAAAAAAAAAGTACTAAACAGGTCGTAAAAGGCGTATACATAATTTACTCGACCCATGTGAAGAATATATGCGTGCTCCTTGGTAGAACCATTTCAACAAATTTGCATAAATGTTATGATATTGCGAGCAGTAAAAGCGGTAAGCTCTTGAACTTTGTTCTAAAACACATTTCTCGTTCGCTATACATACATACATATGATTAAGAGTTTGTATGAGTTTTGTGCAATATACATTAACGGCAGGTGCACAAATAATAGGCATATATGTTTGTATGAAATCATTTGGTAAAATATATCCAAATATATTGCGTATATACTAGTTTATACAGCTTTCAACATTTATTTTATGTCGGCACACTCTAACATAATATATGTATTTTGCTTAGCTGACTCTTGCTAAATGTTTCTTAATGTATTTTCCATTATATGGTATATGTAGGCATGCTAACAGGCTGTATTTGCGTGGCTTGAGTTAGCACAAAATGGAATTTGTTACTTTATGAAAAATGTATAGTTTATAGTCAAGTATTTTTTGTTTTTATTAGCCATTTTTAAATAATATTTTGATTTTTCTGCTTAACTCTTCACATAAAGTATGCCTTTCATCAATATTTGCAATAATTAAGTTTTATGCAGAGCTTTTTCTTAATATATGACAAAATTTCCCCTTTTCAGTGCCTTATGATCGTTGAGTAACGCTCATGTCTCTCATTTGTCTAATTCTAGCCTTTTGCTAATATGTTTAAGAGTTTTGCATACGCAATATGTTTTTCAAGCAATTATTTATTAATGTTTCACTCTCTACCTATTCATAGTTTCTATGTATTTTTGTTTCGGGAGGAACAATTGCCGTAGTGTTTTTTTTTGCCTTTCCCTTTCTTTAGTATTTTTATTGAATTTGAAATTATATCCTACTTAAAGGTTTTATTTTAATTTTTTTAAATGAGCCTAAGCAGTGTTTTTTGCTAATTGTATTATCTTAATATGCATTTCGCTTTAGCTTTTTTCTTTGTTTCATCTATATGTATGTGTATAATGGATATATAATTTTAAATTAGTTAAACTCGCAATAATTACGTCTTAAATGTCAAGTAACCATAAATTGTCGCACACGCACACAAAAAATCTCCACTTAATGCCACCGCGCCACAATCCAAAAATGTTATCTCCTAATTCTCATAGTTATACAGCATTTCTATTTTATTTGTTGCAGTTTTTCTAGTTTGCGCGTCCAATATTTGCAGGCTACTAGCACGCTCAGACTCACAGCAAGGAAATATCTAAAAAAAAAAACAGGGGGATTTTATAACATAAATATTTTAGTTTTTTTCCCATCGGCATACAGACCTTTGTTTTCGTGACTATCTGCAGTGACTAGTGTTGCATTTGTTGTTGTATTTAACAAACTGTTGTTGTTGTTAAAGTTTACTGCATTGTTGATATCTTGTGACTCAATGCTTAAATCAATCAACTGATTTGCGGCTGGTGTTACGGCATCCTGCAGGTTATTGATATCACTTTTAGGAAGAGCAAAAATGCGATAAAAGAAAAAAAATTAAAATTAATCAAAGCGTACATTGGCAAATAAGAGTAAAAGGAAATTTTGCAAAATTATTTCGAGTGAGAAGTGCAATTACAAAATAAGCAATATGAGCCATAACAAAAACTCAATTATTGGTGAGGATGAAGTAAAATAATTAGATGTTCTCATGCTTTTGACTCATGAAGCAAGTTGTTTTTTAAGATGCAAATTTGTGACGTGCGAGTGACTTAAAAAAATTATGTTATTAACCTTTCGTTATTTCTTGATTTTGAGGGGCCACTCTATTTGGCCCGATCGGAGCAAATCCATTTTTTACTATTCATATTTATAAATCGAGCTTTAACACGAAAAAAGTAACAATAATTTGCACTTGAGCAAAATTAAAAGTTAGGGAAACGAAATATATTATGCCAAAAGCTAAACCATTTAATAAGGGTCGGTTGAACCAGTACTATAATTTAATTTTATTTTTTGAGAATTATTCCAGCTTCAAAAATTTGTATTCACGTAACCTAGGTTCATTTGTCAAAGATAATGATTTAAAGTGAAATAGAAAACTGTTGAATGACTGGCATGCAGCAGATTTTGTGTAATTTTCGTGTTGTGAGAAAGTGAAACAAAAGAAAAGACCAATGTTTTCGCAGATACCACCAGATGAAAATTCCCTGTTCACCAGCTACATGTTGTGTGTATTACACTACAAAAGCATTTTTCTCTCCAGCCGTGCATTATGATTATGAATGAAGCCATTTTGCATTCAGTTTTTAAGTTTTGCTTACTTTTTATTATTTAAATTTTCGATGTGATGGCCATTGCCGTTTGCGACGGCAGTCGTATTTATTGTTGTTGTTGTTGTGGTGGTATTTTGCAATAGCACATCACTGTTAATCGGCAATTTTCCGTTGCTCACCTCGAGAATTTGCGTAGGTTGCTGGAAATGTTGGTGTTGGTGTTGCTGTTGTTGATGAAGATTTTTAGCATTCTCATCAATCAACATATTGGAGAAACTGTTTATAAGTGCAGCTTCTTTGTCAATCACCGCTTGCTCGTACATAGCCTGCGTATTTTGTGGCTCGTTTATATTTTCCTTTAGTGCAGCTGGTACATTTGTAGACACCACAGTTACAACCGCTGTTGGTACTGCAGCCGCATTATTTTGTGGTGGCGGATTCGGTGTGGTCGCAGTTGTAGTGGAGCCGGAGGTTGAACTGCTATCAGTGCTGCCGCTGACCACAGCATTGGTCACAGCGTTTGATGTATAGGATTGGTCTTGTTGGGTTTCCTGTTGCAAATTATCAGCTGTCGATTTGGGTGTTGTGCTTTCCTATGGTGTTCACATTATTATATGTAAATGCGTTTGTGGTTATAGACATAAATTATTTACACTTACTTTTACTGGCGTGGAATTGGGAGTTGTCGCGCTACCACTACCACCGGCGCCTTTACGTGTGCGCGACATGATCGCCTCAACGCGTTTGCGTCGTTCTTCGCGTTCCTTCTCCTCTCGTTTAAGACGTTCGGCAACCTCAAGTCGTTGTTTCTCTGCCTCTTCCTTGGCCTTGCGTTCGGCCTCCTCGCGTTGTACGCGTTGCTTCTCTTCTTCTTCACGTCTGCGACGTTCTTCTTCTTCCTTTTGCTTTGCCTCCTAAAATATTCAATTGAAAAATAAAAAAATTGTCCAAGTCAATTTATAATTAATTCAAACAAAGCAGCAACTCACTTCAATAGCTTGGCGCAAGCGCTCTTCCTCTGCACGACGTTGTTCTTCAGCTAAATGATTTGCCTCCTCCTCGAAAGCGCGTTGTCGTTCCGCCTCCTCCTCTTGACGCTTCAGTTCGGCAAGACGTTCGGCCTCCAAGCGTTGGCGTTCCAACTCGGCCTGTCGTTCAGCTTCTTCACGGGCCAAACGACGCCGTTCAGCCAATGCGGCTTTTGCCTCCTCTTCAGTTGTAATCTTATTTTTAGCGATCATCGAAGCGCTCATCAGATCAGTATTGTCACCATTTTGTGCTGGTGGCGTCAGTTCACGCACTTCTGAATTTTCTTTGCTACCATTTTGAGAACGTGGTTGCGGTTGGGGCTGTGCTGGTAACACCTGTTGTTGCTCAACGGCTGCTAAAACAGTGGTTGCATCTATTTGTTTGGACTCAATTGGGGCAGTGTCTACCAATTGTTCCGCTTTTGTTTCATTTGCCTTTACTATAGGCGCCACTGTTTCCACATTATCTGTAGTTAATGGCCCAACTGCGTCTGGAGCCACTACTGTCGCTTCAGTTGCTGCGATAGTCTTATCGGCTGTATACTCAGCCTCTGATTTAGCAATATTCAAAGAGTTCTTTTCTTCTTTGCTTTGCACGGGCGGCGGAGGTGGGACCTCTTTCTTTTGTTCAATTGCAGTCACTTTGTCTTTTTCACTCTTTACAAGGGTCTGGCTCGGAGAGGGTGAGATTAATGATTTACTCATAATATCTTTGCTAGATCTATTCAAACGATCCGAACTGGATGTCTTTGAGAGTGATTTTGGTGTGGAGGATTTGGGCGTAACTGAGTCCTGAAAGGGTAAATAAAGTTTTGAATATATTCAACACAATCTACATAGATATATGCATGCATGTGACTTACTCGCTTAGCTGGTGTCTTCTTCTCTGCGCTGGACAGACGTGAAGAAGATGTTACAATCATTGAGGTCGACATCAAATTTGATGTTCGTTTGGGGGTATTTTGTGCTGATGCTGTCGTAGATGAAGGTGAACCCTTCACTGGCGGCCTATTATCTTTTTTGTGTTTATTAAGGTCTGTAAGTTGTGGTGAATTGTTTGTTAAATACATTTCATGAGTTAAAATCGCAATTGAGATAGAGGAATATAGAAAGTTCAACTGAATTTAAGACAAAGGAACATAACAACCAAGCATATTTCGCATACTAGAGAGCTACTTTATATTATATGTTAGGCGGCACAATTGGCGCGCTTATGTACAAATAAATATGTACACATTTGATTATGTATGCAGTATGGTATGTTTGTACACATGTATGAGAAGCACATTTACTCACCCTCCAGCGACATGCCAGTACCGGCAATACTAGCTGGTCGTTGCTTACGTGTAGCTGGTACAGATCTCCTAGCCACGTAGCCAGATGTGGACATATTTGTGGATGTGGACATTGCACTACCCGGTCTTGAAGTGCTGATGTTGCCGCCTGGGGTGACATTTCCAGAACGTGAACCTAACACCGATGCAACAACACAACGACACATGTGAGTAATAAGTGATAAAGAAATAAGCAAACAAAATATGTACAGAAAAATAAATATGTAAATGAAAAGCTAAATGTTGATGATGATGATGATGATGAATTAAATGAGTAGTAATAAGGTATTTAAACAAAATTATTTTTTTTTTTTTTGTTGTAAATGTGTTGAATAAAAAAAAATCAACCAATAAAAAATCCACCACCAAAACTGAAAACAAATCCAAAAATGTTTTATATAAAAGCTTAAGGAAACGAATTAAATAAAACATTAAGAAACGAAGTTCATATATCTTAATGACATACATATAATATATAGTAAATATACACCAAAAACCAAATTAAGCTGAGAAACCACAAAGGACAATTTCCTTAGCCAATGGAAGTGGGAAGGCTGATGCTTGCAAACAAATGGCGGGGAGATATTGAATTTACTAGGGTATTTAACGGTAATATCTACATTAATGGTGATAAAGCGCAAAATTCAATGGAAGTATATTCAGTTTTATCTTCATATTTAGAGTTTTTTAGTCAGTGAAAAAAAAATTGTCCCAAAAGAGTATATTTGTTTAAACGATTTTTTTTATTTTTGTTGTAAATTATTTTTGATTTGCTTTTCTTCAACATCAATACGCCGAATTTAGGCAATAGTTTCTATTTAATTTACTTGGTATACAAAATGACAAAGACTTGATAAATGCGCCGAAATGTAGGCAACATTTTTTTATGTACTGTAAGCAGTTTTTTAAAAACGTCTAATAACGCAAAACAAATATTTTTTTTTTTAATTATAACCGACAATTATACTCTTTTTTTTTGTTTCGTATCAATTTGTTTTTTAATATAATTTCGTTAAATGTTTTAAAATTTTTAGAGTGTAATAATGTTCATATTCTAACGATATAAACATTTAACCAGCAAATTTAACATTTATTAAGCCGAAAAAGCTAAAAAATTTAAGCTGAAATTGTGAAAATATAAACTTTAGGACTCTCTATGGCTATTTTTATATGTTATGTTATCATAAATTTTTACGTGTTAAAAAAAATAATAATATAAAAAATTCTTACAAAGAAATTCGAATAAAGATTTGCTAAGCAAAGACAAAAAAAAATTAAATATTTATAAATTGTTTGTTGGAAAAATGTAGGTATTTTGTTTTACGTGACTTGGAAAGTCTTGCGCACGAATGTCTGGCAAACCATTTACATAGAAAACAGAAATTAAACTAAACGGCAAATGTAAAGAAAAAGTTATGAACTATGTACATATGTATAAATAATAAAAAACAAAAAACAGTTGAGTATAGAGTCCAAGAAAGGTGGGTAGAATGATATTTTAATTGGTATAATTATGTTTGTAGCGAAAAGACATGAATGAGTCATAAGTAGTGCTGTAGTGTTACACAGAAGGAGGACTACCAACGAATGACCACCATTTTGCAGTTTATGCTGTGAATCAACGAAACAGAGTAGTGAAAATAACACGGCTAGTGAGTGAGAAATGTGGTGAATTAGAATAGGTAATACACAATTAGCACAAAATAACCTCTACGGTAAAATAAAATGGTGTTGCTTCTATTTCCATGAAGTGGATTAGCGAAAATCTATACTATCAATTATTTAAATATGTATTTTAGTCATTTGCTAGTAGATTTTTCATAAAAGTTTTACTTTCTTGCTTGCTTGGTTGTTAAATTACGAGAGTAGAATTGTAGAACAGGAGTTAGGAGAAAGTGGTAGTTAAAAAAAAAAAAAAGAAATGGAATCAAACTTCGCACACACACACCTGTTGTTATTGAGAAACTAGAATTCATGATCAATAATGAGTTTGGATCAAAACGGTAGGGGTTAGTAAGATGATTTAGTAGCTGCTCGCTGCGTTTAGTCCCAATCGCTGATGGTGATGAAGCTAATGATGATTGCAGATACTTTCTAGTAGCAGCCGTTTGTAAGCCCAAATTCGAGCGTGGTGTTGCGCTCGACCACGAATTATTTAACTGTGTCAAACTCTTACAGGTGGTATCACGTTGGCCACCGCTAAGTGGACGAAAACTACCGCCGCCGACGCCGACGCCACCGCCTGCACTGCTAAGCGTATATTTGGCGCGTCCGCCGGCCAGATGTGTCATGCTGCGCGACATGGCGCCGCCACCGCCACCAGCACCTGCACTGCTGCTACCGCTGCCGTGACGTGGTTTACTGCTGCGCCTACGGCCACCACCCAACGATTCGGTTTCGTCCAGTAGTTCCATTTGTTCGCGACGCTCACGCTCGAGTATAGCGCGTATATGTTCACCATTGCGACGAATTGGTTGAGCCAATTGATCCAGACGACTCATGGAAAAGGCACGGCCTGATTTATGATTACACGTTGAGCGGTGAACGGTGTACGGAGTATAATGATTACATTGTTGTATTGGCGGTGGTGTTGTTGAACGGGATTGTTGTTGTTGCATGTTGTTGATGATGCAGGAGTGGAGCAGTGAATTGAATTGAATTGAATTTTGATTTGAGTGAATTGAGTTTGTGTTGATTGATATACGATTGAAAGTAAACGTATGTATGTAAGTATTTTGAAATTAATCAAAATTTGTAAATACGTAAATGGCAAATTCAAAATATTAAACAATTTAAAATATATGTATATACTTAAACTAATTAATTTAAAAAATATTAAAAGCAAAATAGGATATCTGCATAAGTATTGTATATAGTATGTGTAGGATATATATATACATATATTTATTTATACGAATATGTACATAGATATTTCGCTCTAAGTGCATATGATGGATAATTTTATACTGCGCAGGCGTAACTAACAACACAACACAACGCGTGTGACATTGCTGCTTTGATTTGGTGCGAAAAAATTAAAAAATTACAGTGAAATCACATACAGAGTACAAGTGAAGACGGCACAGGGTAGAGGAAAATTTATTTTTAAAGAAATACTTTTTATATAAGACAACTAAAAAGCGAAAAATATGTAAAGGAATATAAGCACACGAATAATAAAATATGAACTAAAAAGCAAAGCGATAAATAGGAGGTTCATCAAATGTAATTTCACAAATGTTGAATAAAAATTTATTAATTACAAATCCCCAACTGCAGCAGCTACTGGATCCCACCCCCTGGGGTAGGAATAATTTTTCTTTATCAATATCCAAGTCATGTTATAAAGAATGTTTTAAGAAAGCAGGTTAAAAGCACAGTAAAGTCAATCAATAAAGTTAAAAATAAAATTTGGACCGAAGATAGCTTACGATATTTTTCGAAAACTAATACTAATACTAAATACCTCATTGAATTTATTGATCAGAAAATCTAAAAGCGAATGATTGACTATTATTAAGGAATGACATGGATTCCGCGGCTGCAAGAAATCGATTTTTTATTTTCCATTAAATTTCTACAACATCTCGAGAATATTATTCTAAATTTCCAAGTCGATCCGAATTAAGGTGTCTGAGATACAGCCTTGGGAATTTGAGCGCCCAAAGGCAGGTAGGCTCATCATTATTAACTTTAAATGCGTTTTGCCCGCAACTTTGTTTCCAAAATCGGTTGCCAAAAGTGCTCGAAAACTACTCAACCGATCTTGATGAAATTCTACATATGTTTTCGAGATCATTTCATGAGGAATCGGACGAAACAATGTTTTTTTTTTTTTTAAACACAACTATTTAAAAAGTATTGACTAAATTTTACCAAAACTTGCACTTTTTTAAATTTCAGAAATCCTTTTACATATGTAAACTCTTTAAGATAGTAAATTGTTTGAAGAGAATTTTTGAATTTTTATATAAAAATTTGATGAAAATTAAGCTTTTTTCACCCGAATAAGTTGATTTCATTACAACAACGCCTAAAATTATGCAATATTTTATTGTGTACTTTAAGCTTTCCTTATGTATGGCCGGTTCGTGGAATATTATTGCTACGAATTTTATGAAAATCCCTAACAAAATACCAACACTAACTACAGGACATTGAATAATAATTTATTCCAAGAAAAAAAATTTTATAAAACTGAAGCGTACTCAAATAATTGATAGAATTTTACAAGATACAGTTATTTTACAATTGCTGCAACGATTTTTAATTCAAAACGAGTAAGCCATTGAAAAAAGTAAAATGATTCCTAAAATACGCCACGTTAGTTATACAGTAGAAAGCACTTTAATTTCGAAAACTACAAAGTGTTACTCTGTAGTTATGTATCAAGCTCTCCCACAAGGAAAATAAAAATTAAATAAAGAACGCCAAAATCAATATGGCTACATAAAAAGAAATCGAAGCATTAAAGTGAACAAAAAATTAAACTCAATTAAGCAAAATTAATGAATACAGCTGAGTAAGAAGAACGAATAGGCAAAATGAAATTGACGCAGAGATAATTGAGTGCACGAGTTGGAGGGAGGATGGTTGGGTGGTGTAGTAAAAACGAAAATATAATACACTTATGTAGATAGATATAAGCCAAACGGGACTCAAGAATGTTTCTGCTTTAAAGCACGCTTAAAAGAGAGCAATTATAAGACACTTTCATAAACAATAAATGGCAGGATTTTTTTTTTTTTTTTTTTTTTTAGAAAAGAGTTTGTTTTAAGAAAAAAGTGTAAGATGTACTGTTTTCATGAGGCGTTTGTTGTACGAATATGTTTGTATGCATGTATGTATGTAGATAATGGATATTCTTTACAAGAAGGCGTATGTACTATATACATGTAAGTATGTATGTATTTAGGTATATATTTACTAAAGTTTATTGTATTCTTTTAAATTTTTTGTATTTCCTTTATTATTATCATTATTTTTGTAAGAGTTTTGGTTTGGTGGATATGAGTTATTTACTGTTTGTGGATTGGATGATTTTTATTAGAAATATGTTGTAGTTTTTTTTTTTGTTTTTTTTTTTTTTTAGTTTTGTCGTTTTAGTTACTTATTGGCTTACCTGGGGTGCGTGGCGTGTGGCTCAGTGACGATCTGGAACCATAATGCCCGTCCCTGGGGCTGGGTATTGTCGGCATCAAATCGGTTTTTCTGCGGGCTACACTTCTAAACACGATTTGTGTTGCGTGACTATCGACACTATCGTCTGTAAAATGGTGGTACAGTGTTTTTTTTTGTTTGTTTGTTTGTACAGATAGTTATGTTTGAGTAAGAACATATACAGATATTTACAGAATATAAATAAGAAGTTTTTTTCTTAGGTTATGAGTTTGTACATAATGAATGCACCGTATTGATTCTGTATTGTAATTAAAAAATAAATTAATTGACGTTTGTAAGGAAGTAAAATATTAATAATAATAAAAAAAATATATATATTAGATGGGGTAAAGACGCAAAGCAGCAAAATCAGTTAATTAAACGCACTTTATACGCTTGCATGTATGTATGTACGCAAATACACACTTATTTAATTTATAGAGCGATCATGCCACACAGCAGTATTACAGCTTGGATGCAAAATAAAACAAAATAAGGTGAGAAAATCACATTGATTCAGTTATTTGTGAAACGATTTCGTTAAGAGATATGCTATTCAAGGATATACTCTTCGAAATTTGGTTATTATAAACTCAGTGCAAAAATATTTACGCAGAATGCAGTTTGAATAATGGAGCAACATGTTTAAAATAACTCAACGGCGGGAGCAACATTACTATTACATAACATGCAAAACGGCATTCAGACATAAAATATCTAAATCATGCAGGGTTACTTCTTTTAAAATTTTCCAAAAAAAAAGAATGCATTTATATTATTGTAAATAATTACAAAAAAAAAAAAATGTTTTCCTTCAATATACAAGTCGTTAGACAAAAAAAATTGAACAGACTGTTAACAAAAAATTTAATTTGTGATTATGGGGATAAATTGCTAAGACAAATAGTCCAGTTTGGTAGATTTGATTAGAGGTGCAAGTGCGGAGCAACATTTTCGGTGCTAAAATAGTTCACTGATGTAAAATCTGGTTTGAAAACTCAAAAAGCGATGTCAGCATTGCTTTATAACTTTACAAAATTCAAATTATTTTTACCATACGTATTTAAACTGAAACTAATTTTTCAAACCTAGTTATTTACACATTTTTGCATAGAATTTATTTAAAAGTGCAAAACTTAAACAAAAAAAATTAATATTTATTTGAGATAAAAAATGCTTTTAAGCTCATTTAAATAAATCTATGTTTTTGAATAGTTTTTTAGACTTTTTTAAATTTTTCTAAGTAATTCAAACTGAATTAAAAATTCTTAAAAGACCAAAAGGGTAATTTTTTATGCGACTTTAGGTTATGTTTACATTACCATGTTTGAAAAATGCAATATTTGATAAAATTTTTAAGTATCAACTAAGACTCTGAATAGATACATATGTATTGTAAAAAAAAATGTATTATATAAAAAAAACAATCGCATTCCAACTAACTGGACTATTTGTTATTAGTACGCAAAACAAAAGAAAAACGGAAACTCTTTGAAAAAACATTCTGAGCATTCGAGCAGAGCAGAGAGTGATAAATCTTCTCATTGGATTTGTGTGGCGCACTGCCTCACCCGTCTTACTAGAGTAATTAAATGTCGTTGCTGCTGCTGCTGTTGCCGTTTTATTGGTATTGCCAACTGAATTGCATGTTGTTGTTGCTGCTGCTGCTGCTCCTCCTGCTGACGCGATTCTTGCATTTTCTGTTACAACATTTTGTCTATGCACATTTATATTATTACTACCATAGTTGTTGCTGCTTTGCTGATGTTGCTGTGTGTGGTGGTGGTGGTGGTGGTGGTATTGATGATGATGATGATGCGCAGCATAAGTGCGTGTATTGCCTGCAGTTGCAGACGCTACTGTTGCAGTTGGAGGATCATCAATATTGATTTCACTGCCCACAATTGATAGGGAAAAACGTTTGGGTGGCTCATCGTTCGAGTATCCCCAATTGAAAACTTCATACATGGATGATGACTTACGGCGATGATCTGTGTGGTGTATTGATTGTATTGTATATGTACAAAGAGCGATTGAATATACTACATAATCTCTATACATGATCTATTTTTTTTTGTTCTTTTCGTTATGTACATATGTGTGTATGCATGTATGTAGGTATGTACAAATTTGTATAGTAAGATTATTTAATTTGTACACATGCTTATGTATGTCAGTATGTATTTATTTTATTGTACAAGCAATCCCTTACAAAAGTGTACATAAGTACATATTATATATATGTTTGTATGCAGTAAATGCATCTGTGCGTGTAGAATCATACATATGACATATGTATATACACTGATGACCTTCTGATTGATTGACTGTATTATACACATATTAGATAGATTAAAAAATATGTAAACGAAAAATAGGAAAAAGTAGATAATAAGTACAGAAATGAAGGTGTTGGTTGGTGTTTAAGGGAGTACAAACTGTATGATTGTTTCGATAACTGCCAGTTTTGAATTGTGATATTGAATTGCAGAAAATGGAAGGACTGTAAGTAATGTCCCTCATGCCGCGCAAATTAAAAAAAAATAATAATAATATGAACTGAGATACATATGTGTTGTTGTATGAAAATGAAAACATAACTCTCAAACTGAGAATGAACTCAAATTTTCATTGCTCACGCATTTTGGCTGGAAGTCTCAGCAAGCAAATATGCACATATAATACAACATTTGTATTTTTTTTTTTTGGTTTGGCACATAAACCGCAAGAATAAATAGAAGTGGAAGTAGAAAAGAGTAAGGAGCGAATTCACAGTGGGCACTAAATAAAAAATAAGTTACTTCAAATAATTACGTCATAGTATATAAAAGATATAATACAGAAAATACAGAAATTATTGCAATGCACACACACGCACACAATTATACGTTGTAAATGCAACTCTAAACTAGTAAATATGTATAAAACGAAGAGTGTAAAAATTATAATAATAAGTAGAATAAACATAATTAAATGTAACAATAAATATTTCTCAACTGCAAAATAATCAAATATTTAAATCAATTATTGTACTAACAAATAAGTTTGCTAAAATTGTGAAAGTTAGATGCACACTTTTGTAATGGTGTCGTGATTCAACAAATTTTTGCAATTGCTATTACAAATTTACACAGACACACTTTAGCAGCCGAATACGGTCACCATTGCATTGTGTTCTCTTCATTACTACAATTTTTTAGTTTTTTTTTTAAGTGATTTTCCGTGTGTCCCTTTTTGGATTGAATTTTTTACTAACGTGTGTATGTGTGCTTTTACAACCTGCGAACGTGTTACGTGGAAATCAGTGCAAATTTGTGACTACACTTACCTTCATGCCGATCTGTGCCACCGGCCGATGTTGCACGCTTCTTGGCACCACTGTCGGTCAGTTCACGTTCGGAACTACGACGTGATAATGAAGCACCAGTAACATTAGTGATCGACGTCGATCTAGAAAAATAGTGAAAATCAATAAAAACATATAAAATTTGTATTTTTTTAAGTTAAGAATTAAGAAGAAAAAAAGAGTATTTTAATGGTAAAGAAAAACTGTTTTTGGAGCACGTCTCAGTATATCACTTGGTAGTGAAACGATTTTTTGTTCGCCGAGTACTTTAGGTTTAGGTTTACTCGGGTAGTAAAATTGGTTCATCGATTCGATACAAAAATTATGTAGACTAACACAAATCTCTAAGCGAGATGGTAATTTAATGAGTCGCCTTAAAATACCGAGCAAGGAAACAGCGGACGAGCTCAAAATGGTTCGTTTTGCATATTATTATTGGATAACAATATTACTTTCATACATTTGCTAATAGACTACAGAACTCACACAGTGGCCCTGGATAATACAATGCACTTTTACTGTAATATAGCCCGTAATGACAGTGGAGAAAGAAAGGCCCATGCGGGTTAGGGGCTCAAGAATTTACCCGCGGTAAGGCATGCCTGTCGTTAGAGACAAAGTAAAATCCAATAGTTCCCGCGACAGTCGGGTCTTTATACCGGAACGACCCGGATTTTTATCCGGCCAATGACTGTCACTCCCGCAAAATTCCCTAAAAAGTACTTTGGGGAATAATTTTGCGGTTACAACAACAACAACAACAACAACAACAACAGTGGAGAAAGCAGGTGTACAGGGATTCTTAGGCTATTTATGAGCTCCAATAAAAAAATAACCGTTTCGGATACCACCACATTTCACGAAACCTTCTTTCTCACGGCCACTAACACTGAATATATATCCGGGAATCTTAAATATCGTCATCTTGCACATTTTTACTAAAAAAAAAAGCAATAACTCACCGTCGATGACCCAAATAAGTGCTTGGCGAGACCAGTCCAAAATCTGGCTCCAATAGGCGTGGTGTTGACGAGCCAAAAGCAAAGGCCACTGTACTGCGGGAGCTTTTCTTTGTTTCCAGGCGGGATTCGCGTTCCTAAATAAAAGGAAAATATATACTCTAATATGGAATGCATGCTAATTTCACCTGCAACACATAAATGCATGTTTGTGGGGACTGATATGCTACAAGTGCATTAACACTTGCATGCTTGTATAAAGCGATTTGCACATATGTACATATGTATGTATATATGTTTGTTGGTACATACCTGATTCTTCCGCAAAATATATTCGCGGCGCTCCTTTTCCGCCTCGGTTATAGCGCGTTTACGTTCTTCAACTTGATGTCGCTTCTCCGAGTCGCGTTGTCGTATCTCCTCTATGCGGCGGCGACGTTCCTCTTCTTTCTGTTCACGATATCTTTGCGCTGCTTCCGCTTGTGCTTTCAACTCTTCGATTTTCCTTTGTCTTTCTTCATTTTGACGCTCCCGTGCCAACTTTAGCTTCTCGTCACGGTCTTTACACACTAAATATTCGCATTCATATTCGAATTGGCGCAATGTGTGTGGTTTTTTGGATGTGGAATATTTTTGTTTGTTTTTGTTTTTGTTTTTTGGTTTTGATTTTATTTCAAGTCGTTGTGTGTTGGTGTGTGCGAGTGAGTGGTGCGTTGATTTGTTTTATTTTTATTTTTTATTAATTTTTTTTATTTATTTATTTGTTCGTTGTTGTTTATTATTTTTTGGTTGGTTGGTTGGTTGGTGCATGGAATGTTGGAGAATTTGCAATTAGTTAGTTAGTTAGAGAGAATAATATATGTATATGAAACGCATATATTTATATTACTATATGTATGTATGTAAGTGTATGTACAACTCTATATATATAAATACGTTTGTGCTTATTTGTAGGCCTTAACTGCATATTTATAAATTTTACTATTTGTATATATGGTTGTATGTACAAATAAATATGCAGTTGCGGCAGTGCAGCATTTGTAAACCGCAATAAAAAAAAACTTAATAATAAAAACGAAATGAGTGCAAATAAAAATAGTAAATTCCAATGTCTTTCAGCGGTGGCGAGTAGCAATTGGTACTTCACGTTATGGCAGTGGCATTAGATGGAGCATTAAGCGCGGTAGTTGAGTGTGGGGCGTTGAGTTTGCAAATATGAATGTACCATTAGTTGCATATTTGTATGTACATAAATAAACATTTTTTTTGTGCACGTAAATATGTATAATGGTATCTTTGTTGCCAGCATTTGAGCATATACATATGTATGCAAGTTCATAATCATTGACGCTAATGACTGTATAATATTTACATATTTACATTGTTCATATGTTTGTATATGCATATACATAAATATATATGTACAATCATACATAGAAAAATTTCAAGTGCATTTAGTTTATTTAAATTCAAATTAAGCGCCGCATGCAATGCAAATACATACTTATGACGCCATTGCATCTTTGTTGTGGAGAAATGGGGCATTGTGGAAATGCAAATGTGTGTGATTTTTTCGACGAAAGACGTGGTATGGCAAAATGTGCTATTTGATGGGACGATTGAACGAAGAAAAGCAAACGTCAATTTCTTATTTAAACTAATTTTATAAGCTAGAAAATAGTTTTGGGCAAGAATAACATGAATAACTCCTTATACCTTTCATGAACTTATCAAATCGATTGCAAAATGCAAAATAAGATTTCGTTGAAGAATGCCAATTTTCACGCTTTAGATACTTTTTTGCCATTTTTTTTACCCAAAACCTAATATTTGCACAAATCGGTCTAAGGGCGCTATATGTCAAAGTCAAGCACCTTATTTTTGACTGATTTAATACGTGGCATATAAAATATAAAAGTTAATATAACACTTAATGTAAATGAAAGGTATAAAAACAAAGATTCTGTGTTTTTAGTCAATACCACAATAAACTTTACCCAATGGGTGTGGTGACTCATTATTCAGACCAACTATTCGAATTAATTTTGTGACTATTGTCTTTCGATGGTACAAATATCAGAACACAACTTTTTGATAAGAGAACTAAAATTGTAATTAATTTTTATTAAGTTTCACTTTTTTACTTAGTGGTGAACGAAATATTTATAGAAAACCTATAGCTGCAGTTGGGGGTATATGTATTTGATGTTAGATTTCTACCCCAGTGGGAATTAACATAGACGATTTAAGTGTTACTTAAACGACTTGATTAAAATATTTAGGAAAATTACATAGGGCTAACCATTTCGTCGCTTCAAAAGTAAAGCGCTGTATTTTTGCGTCTGTAAAACTTAGCTGTCAAACTAAATATAATTTATTTAATAGTCGGGAAGAATTTAGAAAAATTGATCGCTTAATAACCGAACAAAGCACTAAAATGATACCGACTATTATGTGCCAAAAAGCGGTAGAAAATTTCTTCAAAGGGATCGAAGTTTGCTAAAATTCAAGAGGCGATCTTTACAATGACGTAGCGCGTCGCATGTAATGCCAAGCTTCAAGTTTTATATTAAAAAAAGAATTTCATGAAAAATCTTAGGGTTTCTTTTCGAATTCATAAAAAAACCACACATCCTTCTCAGATATTTTCATAACAAAAGAGACAATAATTGAGCTCACAAATCATAAAAATTAAGACAAAGGTATACAGATAAGTATTGGCTTCATAAAAGCAACCGCGTTATCAAAGATGTTTCTTTCTTGTTATTTTCTATTATCAATGTGCTAAGTTTACTAAACATCTTGTGTGGGAAGAGACGGGATGTCTATATGAAAATAAATATTTAATGAATGTATGTAAATATGCATAGAAATATGTACGCGTATGTATGTATGCCAGATAGCAGCAGCTGACTATAATAGAAAAGCGATAATAAAACATTTTAATAATGATTTGCCTTTGTTGTTGTTTCGGTTTATAACTACATCAACCATTATCAAAATTAATACTTTCAAATTATTCTAACGACAACTTTCATACCAACTTTCGAAATAGTGGAAGTGATAAAAATGCCGCAAAACGAATTCATTCAACACGCAGGTAAAGAAGAGCCAATCATTCAAAACAAAAAAAAAAAAAAATTAAACAAATTCACAAAAACTGACGTCATCAGTATAAATAATGGCGCTATATGCATGTACTTGTCTAGTACATACATATGTATGTACTCTTACATATAAGCATACGGAACCTTATCTTACCTCTATAAGGCATTTAAATGAAAATTCCAATATCAAAAACCCATAGGAGTGATTCTTTGCAAGGTAAGCTAAAGCAAATAATAAATATATGCCAAATCATAAGAGCTTCGAGACCCAACCCACGTTCTAAAGCGTCTAAATACTTGAGTAGCATATGAATAAAAACAAACAAGAAAAAACTCGAATTATGAATGCGCCCGCCTATGTAAAACAGACAAAGTGCGAGCAAATTGAGGCACTTAATTGTTTTCTTTGCCCACATTTCGATGGTGAACTAACTGCAAAGGGTAGGGTGTATAACCGAAAAAAACAAAGAGGACGACAAACAATACCACGCTTAATTTAAATTGCTAAAACGAAGAGCATAAAGTAGCGATTGTAAGAAAAATGGCAAAGAAGCAAAGATAGTAAGCTGAGCGTGGAAAGATACAGACGGTCAATCTATGAGTAGGAACATACATATATATAGATATATATATATATACATATGTGTGGTTGAACTGACTGACAGCATGTCAGTAGGAGGTATGATAGAAATTGGAAAGTGTTACACACACACATATATATGTATATACATGCATGCACAAACGGCAACGTGCGCGATTATATCTATCTATATTGGAAAAGTTATATAAATTTAATATTAGCAAATTGTATACAGATATTTTGCAAGTTAAAATTCGATATAAATTTCTTTGAAGAGGTTAAAATATATGGTAGCCAATAGATTTCTTGTCGCTAAAGGCGCAACAATGTCAATTTATTTATAAAATTTATCTAAGGGTATATTAAAAGGAATTTAAGCCGGCTCCTTTTATTTCGAATCCTTAAAGGTAAGCAAATTTAAAGCCATAAAGTCTTGTGAATGTTGAAATAATGATTTATTACAAATTTTAGTAAACTACTTTTTTTAAGGTATTTATCAACACAATATATAATGTATTATTTTAAGGAATATAAAATAAGTTTTATCATTTTATGTTAGTATTACTTGCATGGATATTAAACTTTATTTACAATAATACAATTGACCTCTGTGGTATGAAATCACCGAGTATGGAAAATATTGCCAATCACACAACCACTGAAGTAATCAATAGAGCCTATAAGTCATAAATGTTTTTCCTAAATACAACGTACATACTCTGCAAGTAGTTGTAGGTGTGCCAGCACATATTTACAAGTGTATTTATATGTATATTCTAATTTGTCTCGAATTTTCTTTTGATAAGTAAGTAGAAGTTTTTTTGGTAGCTTTTACGACAATTGCCGGCATAAATTCTACGCTCCATCAAGGAAACTGACGCATTACACTTTGGCTGTTGGAAAAGAAGACGACTGAATATTCGTTGTAGACAACATGACTGGCAACAATGGCAAAAAAAAAAAAAAATGTAATCACATAAATTGTATACTAACATACTTAGAAAACGCGAAGTTAACATATACACAAACAGTAGTATATGAGTTTTTATATACTTAGCGTTTAGTATATTCCCATATATGTATAAGAGTAATAACTTCTGTGCTAACCAAATGTCGACTGATTTTAGTTGCGTTTCTGTTTGTAAATTCCTACTTACATACTAGAATATACATATTTATGTTTGTACTTATTATAGCTGAGACGCTTGCATCATCAACAAAAATGTATTTCTAGTAATTTAGGTCGGATTTTTAATTGCCAGTTTTTAGTAACATTTTGCTGTTTATGTACATGATAGGCTATGTAGAAACACATTCATATGTGCTATGCATATATGAATTTACATTTTCAATTATAAACTTCCATATTTTTTGCATCTTGAACATTGCTGTGACTAAGTCGAGAACAAGTGCAAGTTAAGAGACACACAAAAATGAGGAGCGAAAATCAATGATATACAATATGCACGCATATATAAGCATGTAAGGAAGCATTATCCATATGTATAATATATAAAATGCCATGGAAGAAGATATAAAATTCGATCGATTTTTTGGAGCAAAGGGTATTCCTAGGGCACTTCTAAATTTTTTGTTTACACCTATCTATAGATTGGCGGTCTATGTATATATTTATAAACATAGCTTGCGTATATGTTTAACTTTTGACATGCAATAACAAAACCCCTTCAGTCACTACCTTACACCACTCTAGTAACTTAAATTTGGAATATACTTAACTACCTTGCGCCTCGGAATCATCGCCACCCACTTGTGCAAACCAGTGTAAAGTGGTTGTATTAGTATTTGCACAATCCATTATATTGGAGGGACACACAGCGTACAGGTTAAGTGCGAAATTAGCTTTTAATATAAATTTGTTTGTATTAATATTTTATGATTTTATATTTCGTTTCAAACAAAATTTCGTCACGTTGTAATTCAGGTGGAGAAAAAATGGAATGTGAAATTATTAGCATAAGATTTTAGCAAAAGAAAACAAAAATATGCACAAACGTACGTACATATATATATTCACATACAGTATGTGAATGTATGCTTGTAAAAATAAAGTTTTGTGCATGCAGTAATTTCCAAACAAATATAATTACCTTTACGTTCAACACTGCCTTCACGGCTCTCGATTTTCTGAACTGGTTCAGCTGTAAAATAAAAGAAAATTCAAAATTTTAAATAATGCTATGAATTCAAAAATATCTTAAATAAACATCAATATGCTTGTACTCGATGTAGACAGTGGACATATTCGAAAATATGAGCGTATGTAAAAGGTCTATAAAAGCATACCATATTTCAAAATTTCTTCAATGGATCAGTGGTGGATTAACAGCGTCAAGCAAATGTTGCCATTAGGTTCTTATTATTAGCTATTTTCACAGTAACCCAACGTACAAACGAAATATTTATATACATACATATGTACATACATGCATATGTAGCCATAGGGAAAAATTTCTTGAATATATTTCCAAGTATTCAGCAAATCAGCTGTACAGTAAATTAAGCAAACCGACAGAGTATTAAAGAAGAAAACAAAAAACAATAACAAGTAGTTAGTAGCTATCTAATACATCAAAAAAGAAAGGAAAATAGTGAAAAATTGGTACTTCTTCCACACTTTCACGGCATATGCCCTTTATGATACTGCAATTTATATGAAGAAGAAAGCAATTGTGCTGGCAGTTTTCAACGCATGGAGAAAAGAAAAATATGAGTTTATCTCAGTGGAGTAATCTTTGCGGATATTATCTCGTATTATAAATGAAAAAGTTTATATTACTTTTCATTAAATCACGTATCTAAATTCAAATTTAATGCGAATATGCATATTTATAGCTTTCCGAGCTATTTGTTATACACACAACATAGCAAAAGGTTGCCTACCTTATTGCTTCCACTACCTACGTTATGATTGTAAGATAATCTTTTGAAATTTACACAAGATTAAAAATTTCAAAGCTCAAAGTATGAACCGATACTTTCTGGAATATTCAGTCAGTGTAATGTGCAAATTTATTTAGAAAACACGGTTTTCAGATGTCAGTAACCTAGTCTGTTCTAAGCTCTTTAAGGAGCGGCCGTACCCATGCACATAACTAGCACAAAGGATTTATATAAATGACTGTATATGTATATATATTTTTCTTTACATAAACTCCAAACTTTGCACATTTGCCGTGGACAATATTACGGATGATTCAGCTATGGTGTGTCTATGCCTGCGCCACTGCATGTCACGAACGTTTTTTGCTGCTTTGAATGTATGTACATCTGTTTATGAATTTGCCACATAGTTGCGAATTTTCATATACACATACTTCACCCTTTTCAAACATCATTGAAAGAATCGGACGTTCGAAAAAAAAAACACCTGACTCAGGTACACAAAATATTTAGGCTTTAACGAAAATTTTGTTTTGATGAGATGTGGAAGCACAATTTTACTTTTAGAAAGAATACAAGCGTAACACACCAGATGTTTAACATAATACCAGAGCGATGTGTTTTTATGCTGGAATAATTCGGAAACGACTTATTTTTAAACTCATCTGTATTGAAATCTGGCGAGTTGAACACACACCGCTCCGTTGGCCCTTCTACCAAGCTCGTGAAATCAGAACTTTGATTTTTAAATGTGAAGTATGTTATTTAATGCACGCGCATTCCTTCCTCTTGGAGTGGTGCAGCAAAATCATGGTGACCAAAACATTTTTATTTTCAGGTTCACACAATATAGCAAATGTTTGCTGCGCAGCCACCGCTGTCTTTTGCTCAGCTGCGCCGCTGCGTTCAAGGTTGTTCGCCAGCCAGCACTTCAACAATCGATTGTTTTTTTGATAGTTGAAAAGCAATCAATTCAATAAAATTTTTACACGAAAATATCCTCTGTCTCCAACGGCATATTTAGGTGGGGTTTTTAGTTTATTTAACGCTTTACCTTCTTGATTATTTGATGAAATTTGCTGTTCGCCCACAAGACTCGCCATATTTTTTCACTTTTACATCAGTCACTTGGAATTTTTCACAGTTTTAGAACTAATAATGACGACGACTGCGAAAGCAAAAAACGAAAACGACAAACTGCACGGCACAAGCAGAAAGTTCGACGAACGAATAAACGAATGAATGCCGCAAAAAGAAATGGTTAAAAATGTCTCGACAGAGCCGTATATGTTGGCATTAAGTAGAGTTGCTTTCTCCAGCAAAAGAGCGAAAGAAATGACTAATGCGGCTAGTACTAAATATGTTTAGTACATTTGACAGACTCAGGGTTGCTAGGCTTTCGATAAACTGTAAGAAAAATATAATTTGACATGTGTCAAATTGCTTAAAACTCAATCAAATTTTCCATTTCTTGTTACTTCATCATAAAACAGCATTTAAGAATGTTAAAGAAATGAGAACTAAGGATTATTATATAATATGAAATCTAATAATTATTTCGAATGTTATTTTAAATTTAATAAACGTTTATATTTTCATTTGAAGACATTACATTTTTTAGACCTTCGATCTTATATGGTTAACAGGGCAAGTTTTTAACGATCACAGAAAAGATTGCTAATTTTTCTTTTAAAATGAAAAGGTTTTAGCAAAAGGAAATTCCTATTGATATTCGCCGCTAACATAATTTCATCTAGATTCTTATTTGCGAAAGATCGGCGTGCGGAAACGCTAACTTGTAAATTTTTAGTGACCCTTGAAATTGTGAGCACCCCCCTATCCCCACGTTTAAAAATCATTGATATCCTAACAGCTGCTATTTGTCGGATAAATTCTAGTTTTTGTGTATGGATAGTTTATGTCTTGTCTGTTTTAAGATGTGCGCTTTTTGTTATGATGAAATTTGCTAGGTCTTCAAAATATTGACATTGAAGCACCTTCGGTAAATTGAGAAATCTGCTGTTAAAGTGATTGATTCTCTCTGTATTAGATGTCGGCAATGTTTGTTAACGTAAGTTTTAGTACATTAATTTTTTTCTTGTGCAAACGTAGCCTAAGCCTGGTCGAAAGCTTGATTTGCTTGATGAAGTATGACTATATTCTATTAATGAAAAGATGTTGTGAATTGCCCAATATACAAAGTTTTACTATCCCACTTGAAAAAGAGATAAAACAAGAGCAAGATTTTAAATTATTTGATTAAGAGGAAGTGTTCTGAAATAATACAACTAAATGACACATCTCGATTAATGAGTTATTGCTCGATGAGCATAAATTCGTTTTTAACGGTTAAATGAATACCCTTACTGAATTATTAAATCGTGCAATATCGAAATTATTAATTTGGAGTTGGCACCTCTTAACATTGGAAACTAAAATGTCAAAATATTCCAGTGCTGCTTAAGTCAATAGCGATTGCTGTCAGTCATCAGCATTTATGTGTTTGTTGGTGTATTGAAATGTTTTTCGGGTGGAACCATAGCTAAATTGTAAACGTCAGTGAGATTTCCTTTTAAAAACATAGAGCCGCAAAGAAATATTTAAGAAGATTATTGAGGAAAATGTCGCGAAATAACACAGCCCAAGGTGGTGGATCATCCGTACAAACTTATAAATTAGTAATTGTTGGAGGTGGAGGTGTGGGAAAATCTGCACTGACAATACAATTTATTCAGGTATGTTTAAAATGGCAAACACTAAGTAGCCGTGGTGGGATGCTTATGATAAATACTGTTTGGTGAAGGAATAGCCGCAGCAGTAAAAGCGTAATAGAGTTGATTTGAATAAAATAGCTTGTTGGCAGTCGGGGGCAGTAACATTGCCACGGGTATATGCTTCCATTTGTGAACATACGCACGCAAAGACCTTGGATAAATGTGTAGATCCACCAAAAAACTTGACATTCGTTTGTCGTTCATTATTAGTATAACTCGTTGCTGCCATTTGGGGTAGCAGCTGTTGGCTTCTATGGAATGTTGAGACCATATATGTGCGATATTTGTTGCTATCGCCGCAACAAGTTACAGTGACGAACAACGCCCACATTGCAGCGTCATCTTAAATTATATTTTAATAAAAACAATATAGCTTTGAAAGGGCTGCTAATTCTTATGCTGAAGTATTTTTCCTCTTTTTTTTTTTTTTTTTTTTTTTTTGTTGCTTATTTACATATTCAAATCCACACCCACTACAATAAAATTTAGGTTGTACATATGCATAAACATTCTTAGTATGACGCATTTCAAACACTTTAATACACTTCTGTCCATCAATTCCTGTAAGAATAACAAATGTTTGATTTACTAAGTGACGAGGAAGGCAATGAACGCGCTTTCTCCCCCAATTTCAAGACGAAATTTTTATGAATATGTGTACGTACATATGTACACACTTACATATACGCGTACGTTGATGAGGATTTTGTGGGCTTTGCGCTAGAAAATATTGCTTTACTTTTCTTACGTACATACATACATATATGTATATATATGTACATTTAAACGGATGATTTTTGCTCACTTTAATATAGTTATACATACATATATGATCATATTTTTAGATATTTACGTCATGTCCATTGTTTTTGTATATTTTCAATAGATGCTAAATTAAAAAAGAAAAATTGTTTATAATAATGACACAACTTTGATGCATATATAATGGATAAATCTAAATACTGCTCATTTTATTGCAAGAATTAAATTAGATTCTTTCAAAATGAGATTTGTGAGGCAATCGTTGTTTTAAAGTATTTCCTTATATACCTACATATTCGAGTTTTAAATTATGCATGTATGATATTATGACAAATAAACGAAAATTTTCTGCAACATTATACTTGAAAGTACAATATCTGATGCTCATATCCATGTTTGTATGTACAATTCTATATATACTGTTATCAGTTTGAAAAATAAACATTTCTCTTAATAGAAAATCTTAATTATACACTTATTACACTAAATACAGAAATTTGTTTAGGCAAAATATTTAGATATGTAAATAAGTTCTCTAATGATAGCAAGTACTTGCAGTCTTATCAATTACACATCTACACAGGTAGGGCGATGAAAGCAATTTAGTTTATATAAAGATGGATAGATAACTCTCAACGTTATTTTTGATACCTTTAAGATAGAAAATTTTATAACTTCATGACTATGTTATGAAGATTTTTGTACAGTTTTACATGAAATTTGAATTCTTTTTATTTCAGAGCTACTTTGTTACCGATTATGATCCCACAATCGAGGACTCATACACCAAACAATGTGTAATAGATGATGTACCAGCTAAGTTAGACAGTAAGTACAATACATACAAATAAGTATATCACATACTACTTGCATTACACATTATCACATTCCCCACAGTTCTGGATACTGCTGGCCAGGAAGAATTTAGTGCAATGCGCGAACAATATATGCGTTCGGGAGAGGGTTTTCTGTTAGTTTACGCACTAAACGATCATTCCAGCTTTGATGAAATACCAAAATTCCAAAAGCAAATTCTACGCGTAAAGGATCGTGATGAATTTCCAATGTTAATGGTTGGCAACAAATGTGATTTGGAACAACATCGACAAGTATCACTGGATGAGGCACAAACTATAAGCAGAAATCTCATGATACCGTACATTGAATGTAGCGCAAAGTTGCGTGTTAATGTGGACCAAGCATTTCATGAACTTGTACGTATCGTGCGAAAGTTTCAACTGGCAGAACGTCCATTCTTAGAAGAAAGTTACAATCGGAAAAGCAAGCGAAAATGTTGCGTGCTGTAATGCGATATAAGGCGACAACAGTGCACAAAAACTAACAAGAAAAAATAGGTCAAGAGCATATGATTTTTTCGAAAATGAAATATTTTGTATTTCTTAGTGGAAATCTATTAGAGAACTAAAGCTGCCAAGTCAATAAACCATACACGCATAATTAAATATTTTGAAATAACGCACAAGCAGAGAAAAAAATATACGTCAATTGGTTCAGATAGACGCATTAAAAACACAAAAGGCCAACAAAGATGCATCAATAACACACATGTGCAATAAAATAAAAGAATTATTTCTGAAAAACACTTGAAAACATTCAAAATCAGGTTGTACGTTGTACATGCAATTAAAATATGCAGTTTGCAATAATATTTTTTTTGTTACTACAATATTTATTGTAGAAAAACGAAATTCTAATGAAAGCCACCAGAGTCCATAATACGCACGTACATATATACACTGCAGAGAGAATGCTCTTATTCTGTCCCAGCAAATCAACGAAAATATCGAATACCGCCAAAAATATTAAACCTTTTTTATTAATCAAATTAATAAGTCTTCTAAAACAAAACTTGTTAACCAAATTTATGCTAAATCAAAAAAAATAATAATAATAAAAATAAAAATAAAATCAAAACACCAATTTAAAATTTATACACATACTATTTTAAGGAAAACTATAATATATATGAATTTTATAAACTAATTATGTACATCATAAAGTGTTACAAAATGTTTAACTCATAAGTATGTGCGTTTTGTATTTTATATTAAAAAAAAAAAATTAATTGTTTATATATTAAGTGATAAAATTGCGTAGCGAAAATTTTACGAATATGCCAAAAGAGATTTGTATTTTTTATGCTTACCAATAAATACGCAAGTTTGTTTCTTTGCTTGTTATAGTCAAAGAAAGTGTTAAATTTTGTAACATTGTTAATCAAAGTAAAAAAGAAAATTAAAATTAATCAAAGAGAGAAAAAATCTAACAGTCAAACGAATAAAATTGAGAGTGCCTACTTAACATGTATGTATGTATACAAGTATGTGTGGATTGAAGTCCAAAGGTAGACAGTCATATATATTCTAAAACTATAGAAATAAATGAAACACCAGTGTATACAACCACGAATGCAAATGTTATTAAAAAGCAAAAGCAGTAGACATCATTTGTATGATTGATTGACATACATATACAATATTCCCAAATTGCTATTCACACTAATAAGTTTATGGAGTATATTAAAAGAATTTTAAAAATTTTTACAAAAGGTAACTTTACGTGCTGCTGTGTCTACAAATACCAAACCAATCATACATATGTAGTACATTTTACCGTTTTAAAAACATATTACACAAAAGAATTGCACTGCACTGCATGAGCATGCCAAATCCTCAAGGTGATGAATATTTTTTTATAAATAATATAGCATAAATTTACACTTGTTTGCTTATATGTATATTTGTTTGTGCGATATGCATAGCGAAAACATATAAAGAAAAATTAAAATCAAATGAATGAATCTAAATATAGCAACATAAACACCAACGCATAAATGTGCAAAACAAAAAAAAATATAAATAAAATTCAAATACAATTTATCTACTTTATATAAAGCAGTCAGTTATACACATACAAAATACATACATATTTACGATGTTGTACGTTTAATACTAATAAATAAAGTATTTTAGTGTTATATTTATATGTATGTATACATAAATGTCAAAGAAAAAACTGAAACGAAATTAAATCTAATAAAACAAAGTCTAAATTTTATAAAAATGAAGAATAAATTTTATTTCACTTTTTTGTGTAGAGAGAAAAATATTTTCAGCTGGAATATGCCGTATATGGCAAATAAGGCCACACGCTTAGCTTCGCCAAAAATCTAGAAATAAAGAAATGAAAACAATAAAAATAAAACATTAAAGATATGCAAAAAAACTTAAAAAAAATAAATAAAATTAAAAAAATAAAAAAAAATAATAAAATAAAATAAAATAAAGAATAAAAAAATAATAAAGACAAATTAAAAAAATTGAATAAATCAAAAACAAAAAAATTTCAAAAATATATAAAACCAAAAGAAAATTGTATTATTGGATGAATGCATAAGTTCGTGCCCGATTTCAAGTGCAAACTAAAATTGAAGAAAGCGCTTTTATTAATCAATTGTATTCGCCATCATGTTCGGCAATCCACTCCCAACGTTCAACTAATTTACGTATGCCTGATTCATAGAAATCGCGCGATTTCTCACTGGCAACCTCTTCCGTCGAAATACGTGAGTTATTCGCACAGAAGGCCGTCCACTGCAAGGTTGATCTTCGAGGTTAAAATCTCCAGAACGAAATTCCGCGAACTATTTCTTTACTGTGCGGTGTGCTGGAGCACGGTCCAAATAAACTTCGCGAATATCTTTAGTTGCAGCGCCTACTGTTTTTCCTTTGCGGAATTCGTATAACATAATATGACGCAAATGATCTTTCCATGCGTCTTTTCACTAAGCAACTCAAATCAAAATGAAGTTATTTTATGCTTGATTTACAGTTCGAACTGTCACCTTTCCAACGATATATAATATGTATATATTTCTTTCACGAGCGCCACTCTCAAACGATTTGAACGGCATCCAGCGGAATCGGGCACGAACTTATACACTCATCCAATATAAAATAAAATATAAAAACAAATTAAAAAAAAAAAAATGAAATAAAAATAAAAAGGCAGAAAATTCAAGAATTAACACAATTTTTCAAAGAAAAAGTAAGTTTCTCGGCGAGAAAAGTACCTTTTATATGACAGACATTTTTTTTGTTAAGACTCTTGATTAATATATTTTGTATGGATTTTAAAATTTCTTTAACCATTTTAAGTAAAAATGCCACTTAAGGTAATGAGCAAAAAATCTTAGGAACTAAGCAAACAGTTCCTGAAGAATAATTTTTTTTTTTCAGAGTTTTTTAATTTTGAGATCTAACTCGACCATCAATAAGGTGTGATCTAACCGACGCATACCCTGTACCGATGTACTTTTTTGAATTAATACTGAGTTTTAGTGCTCAACACATAAAAGTGAAGTCATAGCCCACCGTCAGCTGGTCCTGCATCATTCTTGCCATATAAGTCATACAGTGAGTGCACCGTTCATGTGTAAGTAAGCCAATAAGTATATGGACATAAATTTTCCGAAATATGGTTCTTTCGAAAACTCCCAATATCGACTCCGTCCATGTTTCAAGCAGAATTGGAATAGCTCATAGAATTTGGTCTATGAGAGAATACTTTATTTTTGAATCGCTTTCTAAGATTGTGCATGCGCTTTGTCAGTTCTACGTACCCTTAATTGAAAGTTCTCTAAGCAAGCAATCGTAATTCGAACTTCATCATTCTAATGTGACGAAATGTTGAAACCAGCTCCATCGATTTGAGGTTCGGCTTCATACCCATGCATTTCAGCCTGTTTCGCTCGTCATCTATTCGATACTGTTCGGACTTTATACATTAAAACGATCTCAACTTTGCAAGCTTTATAGTCGCTCATCTCTCCATTGCGGCCCAAGCCCTTTTCCAAAGTCGTCGAAAGCCAAATGATGCGATACGGACCTGAAAACTGAATACCACAGTTCGCTGACAATGGATTGCTGGTGAGACTTCGCAGTGAGTAGAAGTCAAAATAAAGTAGGAAACTGTCTTTTGAGCTTGAAGCTTTTTAACTTAAATTTATTTAGTGAAAATGGTCCGAGTCGACCTTAATATCTCAAATGAGTATGTACAGCTAAAATGTTGTACACAGGAACTGATCGAATTGGTTTCGTGTCTTAGGCTGCGTTGAAAACTAAGAGTCTTTGTAGATTTTTTTATATTGGAATCTGCTCTTACAGATAGTCATATTTCGCAGTCGATCAGCCTCAGAAAATTTAGAGAGGTTTTGTAATGGAGGCTGAATTTTTCGATTGTTGTGCCAAAGACACCTTCTCTGCCCACTTTGACGTTGAAACCACCACTATTTTGATATCTTGGCTGAAGTACATTCGAAGCGCTCTGCCAGAGCGGAGGCGCACAAAATGTTGCAAAACTTACTTGTAATACTGACGTGAACGATGGTATCCTTCGGCAGAGTCGCCACTTTCAGTCACTGTATGCCACAAATGTTCACTCTTTTCCGTCCTTGTCCTGTCCGTCGCATCTTCTGGATTCATATACATTCTGTGCACTCAAATTAGTTTTCTCCGATTCAAACGCATAGCTATTTCCATAGATTCCATAGGATTCTAAATATAATTTCGCCTGCTACTACATATGCACATTAGTATTTATTTTTAGGAAAAAATCATCAATTATAACTAACCATCGCGAGAAGGGAAGCCACAAGAGTTCCCAACTAATTAAAATCACAGACAATTATCGAACGCAATCAAAAATAAGGATACTTTCTCATTCCTTTGCTCCTCTGTATATACAATATGTATGTAAAAACATTCTTATAAAAAGCCACATACAAATGTGAAGGACCAAGCAACGCTCAGCACAGTTTCCAAGATGAACTCAACACGTACACAGCTCTACGCCGCAGCCGCATTCTTCCTGGTCCTCTTGACTGTGGCCAACTGTCAGGTGCTTTAACTCCATTTGAGCAAAAAACATGAATTGAATGAAATAAATAAAATAGATTTGTTTTACTTGCAGCTGACCTTCTCGCCAGACTGGGGCAAACGTTCGGTCGGTGGCAGTGTTGTGGGCGGTGGTGGTAGTGGTTTCTTCGATACACAGCCCAGTGGCAATTGCAAGACCTCAAATGAGATGCTGCTCGAAATATTCCGCTTTGTACAGGTAATGTGTGGCTGCTTGGTTGGTCGGGGCGGATGAGTGATATTTTTTGGAATAATTGAAAAAATATTTTAATTTTTTTACAGGCAGAAGCGCAACTCTTTCTTGACTGTAAACACCGCGAGTAGAAGCCAAGCGACGCTAATCAAACACTAAAAAAAAAACTTTTTAATCATAAACCATCGATATTTAATGTGTATTTGTTTAATAATTAATTTTTGGGGTAGTCGGCATTAGTTTTACTAGAATTCGGTTTAAAATCGTAAATTATTTTATATTAAATTAATGGAAAACATTAAGTAATATCATTAAACATATTAATATACATATATGTATTCCCGAAAAATGTGTGAAATCATTTAACATAAATAAAATATTATAATATTATATAATGCATGCCAGTAAATAGACACCGTGTACTCTCTCTTTCTTTTTTCTTTCACTCTTCAGTTCAATATTCGCTGAGTCGGAAAGGTGTAAATTTTTATTCAGTTATTTGTAATTATTATTTATCGCATTTTTATAGGTATGCGTGTGTGTGCAAATGCAAATTTAATAATTTTCGCAATTAAATCCCGTGCAAGTGCCAACAACTGAATTCCAGTATTCAATGTCAATGTTATTTTTGATAAAAAATTAACGAAAAAATTCGCATGGGTTGCCGTGTGGAGGAGAATTTATTAAAATACTGGCAGAGGCTCAGAGTTATTGAATAATTCTTTTTTCCTTTGTCATAGGTTGTTTTAATAATAATTTTTTCAAAGGGATGATGAGTGTACTAATATTACTATTTATCAGAAGCTTCAGAAGCTCTCTTTGAAAGTGGCTCTACTATGAGCAAAATACAGGTAATGTTATATGTAAAAACTGTTATTATTACCCTTTGTCGATTGAAAAATTAAATGGTTTCGGCACTCTGGTTCAAATATTTACCTCCAATGTTTGGCAAATGAGCACCTTTAGTTTTCCCAAAATACAGTTCGTGTAAATTGAAAGGCAAGTTAAATTACTTATATTTCAATTGTTGTTGTATACATCTTGATGACAGTTTATCCTTCGAACTGAGGAGCTTTTTTCAATGGATGTCAGAATGATGATTATAATATTGGATGTTGATTGCACCGGGCCGGAATCCCTCGCTTTCAGAATGGCAGTACGTAATACTAACCAATCAGTTTTTGTGGCCTTTTTTTAAGGGAAAGTTTTAGCTTTCCAATAATATTAAAATGTATACAATGAATTTTTCGACTTTTGTCTACTGAGAAAGGCGGTGTACGAGGTGTGACAATTAAGTAATGAGACTGATTATATTGCCGCGATTGTCGTAACCCTGCTATCTTGAAATTGCCTCTCCCTTCTCTCGGCATCCTTTTCCTCTACATTGATATATTTGCTATCGCTAAAGCTTGTTTAGTTCGCCCGCTGTGGTATGTTGAGCAACGAGTCGCGAAAAAATTTTGCGCAAAATTGGGCGATCCCACGCTGCTTGATCGAGTTATTACAGTCGATGAGAGTTGGTTTTTTCAATACGACCTGGAAAGCAAACGCCAAAGTTCATAATGTTTGTCTCCGTACACCACCCGCCCGAAAAAAGCTCGCATGAGCAAGTCGAAGGTGAAAACACTGATTATTGCCTTTATTTGATAGCCGTGAAATCGTCCACAAAGAATTTCTTCCACCGGGGCAAACCGTAAATCAAGTCTACTATCGCCAAGTACTCGAAAGATTTTGAAAATGAGTCAACAAGGTGTGCGCAGACATCGATCGTAACAGGATCCTTCATCACACCGACTTCGGCGTGTCCCAGTATTTGGCCTCTAAAGGGATCGTGTTGCCAAATCCGCCTTATTCGCCCGATATGTCACCATGTACCTTTTTTTCCCTAGAACACAAATCGGTGGTCAAAGGAACCAATTTTGAGTCGATTGAGGACATCCAGGCGGCCGTGACGTGGGTACTCGTAGACTTTCCCGGACGAAGCGTTCCAAAAATGTTACGAAGCATGGAAAACGCCCTGGAATCGTTGTATAACTGCCCAAGGGGACTACTTTGAAGGGGATGGCAGAGTTTTAGAATAATTTTGAAACATACGGTTCTTATGGAATCAGTCTCATTCACAAGGTTAGTAGAGAATATCAATGCAACACATCGCCTTCACTAAAAATTAGTAAATAAATTTATTATATTAAATAAAAAATTGTATTAAAAGAAAATTAGAGAACTATTTTAGAAGAAACTAAAACACGCTTATAAATTAATGTATATATATATATACAGGGTGCTCGGCGTGTAAACTTTCACATTTACCAACCGATCGGTTTGCATCAGATATGTTTTGGAAACCTTAATTCAGTACAACTTTTGCCAAGGATCGCTTCATGCCGAAACAACGCGCTGAAATAGTGACACTTTACATCGAAAACAGTCGTTCAATTGTGTTAACTCAACGTGGTAACTCGGTAAAACTATCGCGGCAAAAAGGGACCATCTGACAGATCATCTAATTTAACCCCCACGGGCTTCATTTTGTGGGGTTGTCCGAAAAGCAAGATTTGCGACAACCAGCCTCAAACTGTTGATGAACTCAAGGCAAAAATTCGTGCTGAAATCGACGCTATAACACCCGAGATGCTCGGAAAGGTAATGGCAGACGCAGAAAAAAGAAGTCATTTTGTAATTGCTAGTAAAGGTAGCCACTTGATTGATATTGTTTTCAAAAACTTGTCCAGAAAAAATTGTGAGAAACCAAACTGAATAAAATACATCACATATTGAAATCGGTTGTTTTTTCTCAAAGTTATTCAATGTTTACATACCGACGTAAAAGATGGAGCACCCTGTTTATGTATATTATAGAGACGTAATATATTTAATATTTTTAAAAATTATATTTAAACACTGAATTTATAAAACTCAGAAAATCCTAAACTTAATTCACATATAATTATTGAATAATTCTTGAAACTAAGATCATTGAACGTATTATTGTAGTTGTTGTTTAGTTGCACATATTTTGTTTTTTAACAACATCACATCTAGTCCTTTGGCTGTTAATGACTTTTCAGCCTTCGGTTGCTTTGTTTTTACGTCCATTTATCAACCACGACCATTGCCGTTGTTCAGTGAGTTTAAATTCAAACTCAGTTTTATTAATTTTTTATATTTTTTGTTTTATATTTTCCACATAAAATCATCCATAATAAACTGTGCTGTCACATTAGAGTTCAAACAATTTTTTTACCACACACATACCGTACAAACTTCAATAGCTGTGCTCGGTTTTTTCAATTAAACTATTACTGTAATTAAATGAGCACTTTTTGCCATCATTTTCATTATCCGCTGTTTAATTTCATGTGCTCGTATATATTTTCATTAATTTTCGGGGATCTACTCACTTGTTGACAAACGTATTTAAATGTTTAATGTACATTTATACCAAAACAGTTGAAGACTTAAGACTATAACTCACTCGAGCCGACGGCTTTTCTTCTCTAATATTTTAACGTACACACATAGCTATATTTCTTGCATAAATGAAACGGTTATTGTGTAAATTGTTTGTTATTGTTTTGGTGTTGAGTGTGGTGGGATTAATTAAATGTAAGTGAACAAAAAAAAAAATTATTCAATTAAAATATCGTAAGTGTTATTTTAGTCAAAAAATATCGCTTAATTTGTTTGTTAAACTGAATTAAATTTGAAAGTATCTCAGAGGAATTCTTGAAGAAATCTTAATAGGGAACATATTGCTAGCAGGACCAATAAAACGTCACTGCTACCGGCATGACCCATAACGTATGAACAGCTTGTAATGTGGACGTCAATAAAGAAAATATGCTGTATTAAGCCTGTAGTACGGGTGCAACTTCGGCTTCAAACCTTTCACCGTCTTCAAATGTTGTTTGGAACAGTGGAATCTAGAGGAACACGCAAGATCCTAGAGAAATTCTAACTAGGTCACTAGCACTGTCGGCCCTATTAAAAGAGATCTTAGCATTTTTCGAGATGTAGATGCAGGATGACGCTGGAGCATTACCATTGCGAGTGTCCGGCCTTCAGCCGATTCAGACGAGCTTGGCATTCCGTGCCACAATGCGTTATGGAGATAAGTTCGCTTGGGTGGAAGAAACTAAAACAATTTATTAACTCGAGTCAACTATTCACAAAATATTAATTGGGATAAGCAGGGCAAAGAATGAGCCGACACAATGGCTCTAGTGAAATACTGGGCTATTATGTGACCGAAATGAAGTGTGGAACATTATCACAACAGTTGTAAGAGACGGGTTTTGTTGGAACCTATGGCTTAATATCTTAGAATAACTTTGAGAGAGTCCAAATAACATTCCATTGCATCAAAATATTACCCAAATAATTTTTAAATGGCAGTGAAAATAATACATTCGGAAAAGGTGAACCCGAAACTCCAATATACGCTGATGGAAAAGTTGTTCCATTACCTAACGACGATGTCCGAATAGTAATCGCCCGCTTAAAAAACAACAAAGCGGCGGGGACCGATGAATTAACGGCCGAACATGCATCAGCTTCTTCAGCAAAAAATTTGGTCGGATGAAAGCATGCCCGACGATTGGAACCTACGTGCGCTCTGCCCATTTCACAAAGAGGGCGATCCCACACCATCTACCGTAGAATAAGCCTCCTCAATATGTGTGAAATAAGCAATTCCACCATCAATAAACTGATTGGACCTTATCAATGTGGCTTTAGACCTGGTGAATCAACCATTGCCTAGATATTCCCTCTGCGCCAAGTCTTAAAGTCGATTTTAGAGTAGTCTTCGACAACCTAGCCACACTATACCAAACGAGGTTTCAAACAGAGTGATTCCTTATCGTGTGACTTTTTTCAACTTACTGCTAGAAAATATAATATGAGCTGCAGAGCTAAATGGAAGGTACAATCTTCTATAAGATTTCTGCTTTCTCCCTGCTTGATGAAGAGGCGAAGCGAATAGGTCGGTAGTCTATCTAAGGACCAGCATGAACAGCAATAATAACGTCAGCCTTGAAATCCAACGAAGAATTAGTCTTGCCAACATGACCTACTTTGGATTGAGTAGGTAATTGAATAGTAAAGTCCTCTCTCTGCAAACGAAAACCAAACTCTACAAGTCATTCATCATACCGGTCCTACTATATGGCGCCGAAGCGTGGACGATGTCCATATCTGATGAGTCGGCTCTTGAGGTCTTCGAGAGATAAGTTTTGCGAACAATTTTTGGTCCTTTGCGCATTGGCAACGGCGAATACCGTAGACAATGGAACGATGAGCTGTACGAGCTATACGATGATGTTGACATAGTTCAGCGAATGAAGAGACAGCGGCCACGCTGGCTTGTCATGTCGGAAGAGGAAGACCTCCCCTCCATTGGGAAGATCAGGTGGAGAGTGTCCTGGCTTCACTTGGTATTTCCATCTAACGCCAGACAACGAAAAGAAGAAAGGAATGATATTATTGATTCGGCTATAAACGCGTAAGCGTTGCCAACGCCAATAAATAAGAAGAAGATATGCATGTACCATTTTCGGAGTGCATGAGCGGCACAGGATTTTGGAAAGTTCTATTCTAAAAGGATTAGTTTATAATGCATTTATGTCAGTAAGGCCTAAGATATTTCCGCATTTACTATCCTTTAATAGCTTCTCCTTCGTCTTGTTATGTGAATCTTATGTTTGATCTACAAGTAAAGGAAGGTTTAGTTGTAATTTGCCTAAGATCGGCTTTTAGACACAACAACCGATTCAATAAGTGATATATTTTTATTCAGTTTGGTTCCTCACAATTTTTTCTGGACAAGTTTTTGAAAACTTGATCAAGTGGCTACAAAATGACTCCTTTTTTCTGCTGTTACCATTACCTTTCCGAGCATCTCGGGTGTTTTAGCGTTGATTTCAGCAAGAATTTTTGCCTTGAGTTCATCAACAGTTTGAGGCTGGTTGGCGTCACCTTGCTTTTCAGATAATCCCACCGAAAGAAGTCCGTGGAGGTTAAATTAGATGATCTGTCAGATGGTGCCTTTTTGCCGCTATAGTTTTACCGATATGCAAGTTGAGTTAACACAATGGAACGACTGTTTTCAACTCTTTCGGTATGAAGCAATGGCAAAAATTGTATTGAATTGAGGTTTCCAAAACATATCTGATGCAATCGCTCGGTTGGTAAATGTGACAGCTAACCATTAATTAATTGTTAAATAAAAACAATTTAAAAAAATTAAAATATTTTCAAAATAAATACCCGATTTTTCCTTAAACAATTTCATTTCCCGTTTTAATTGCTCAAAATCATTACTTGACCACTTGATAATTTCCTACCGACCATTTCAAAGTGTGAATACAAACACATTCCAACAACGATACAAAATAGCATACAATTAGAAAATTGGATAAACCAACTAGTCAGCAAAACGTAGGTAACATCAATAAAATTCAATATTAAAAAGATTGATAAAAAGCGCGCTGGCCGAGTTATTTTAATTTGTTCAAATAAACACTTTGTTCTTTGGTAAACCGTCATGCATGAAATTATGATTTTTATCGCAGGAAAAATGCACATAACTACATGTATTGATACAATTTATATAGGTGTGTATAAGTGAGTATGCGTAACCTAAGGCAATCAGTTTTGTGATGAGCTACAGCGTGAGTAAAGAGTGAATATTTTTGTAAACTAAAATAAAAAAAAGGAAAATAAAATTAATGAAAACAAAATGAAATAAAATAAAATAAAATAAAATTAATTTAATTAAAATAAAAAAAATAAAATAAAATAAAAAATAATAAAATATAATAAAATGAATAAAAAATTAAATAAAAAAAATTAAAATACAATATAATAAAAGGAAATAAAATGAAATAAAATAAAACGAAATAAAATAAAATAAAGTTAAATTGAATTAAATTAAATAAATACATAATAACGGCAACGGTGAAAGGCTATCAGGTGACATCGATTGTTGGAATCAACTGATCGATGACAGAATTTTTTGCATAATAATAATAATAAGCCCAACGAGGCACGATTGGCAAGCGTTTGTTTAATGTTGAGATCACGATTAAAAAAAAAAAAAAAAAAAAAAAAAAAAAAAAAATAAAGAAAAAAAAAAAAAATATAAACAAAAAAAAAAAAATAAAGAAAAATAAAACGTACCCTCAAGATCTCTAAGGCTTTGCGTTGTTTTTTCTCAAATCCAATGGAAATAAAATTATTTTCGGGCAGCTTAGCATTTTTTTATTTAAAAAATATGGGAAATATTTTTAAAGTACAATAGGAATGTTTTGAAATTAAAACGAATATAAAATTGAATGAGAAAAAATCCTTATCTGTCAAGTTTATATTGAGCGAAACTACGAAAGTTGAGATTTAAAACTGTTCAGTTACAGAAAAAAATATTTATTTATTAACAATTGGTTAAAAGGTTCATCCAGTTCATATTTGTTTTACCTGAGTTGAAGAGTAAATATCTAAATTGCCTAGATACTCGGGCTGGAACATTAAAGATACCCTTAGATGAGCGCCATGAAATACTAATGTGGTGTTTTTCCACAAATGGAGGGAGCCGCCTCCGAACGGCTGGTGGTTTTTAATGAGGGGCTTTTATTTAATGTCAGAAATCACGCCGGGGCTGACACTCCTTGCCGAGGGGCGACCGCAATTAGAAAATTTAACTAATTTTCTACATCTTTTGGATGTTGGTCGTAGCTGGATTTGAACCCGGGTCGATTTGGGTGGAATGCCAACCACTCGGCTACTGCGGCCGCTGTTGGTATTGATCACTTTTTGCGCAGACTTAGCAGGCTTCCTCAAAACGTATTGAAACTTTATGTTTTTTGACTTATTTAAATAAAGACGATAAATATGGCGTTCTTCAGTTGTGTTGTTGAATATTTGAAGCGATTCCTTCACGATGGTCAGTTTGTTATTTATCAAATCTTTATGCCTTTTCACTAAATAAACAAAAACAGCTCATCTACATGGTTCGCCAATTGCTTGATTCGAAAACCATATTTTGCTTAAATACATAAAGACCCGTTAATGCAATATTAGGCCTTCGTAAGCATTTAACTCATCACTTACGGCCCCGTCTGTTAGTTTGTAATTAAATTTGTATGCATAATTGAATTTAATAGATGACAATGCGTTCACCTCAATACTAAAACAACAGAAAAAGCAATGCAAACGCCAACGATAAGTTTGAAAAAAAGGTGATAATTTTTGGAGTACATGAAGCAGGAAATTACTGCGCACTTTGCGGACCAACTAAAAAGTGAAACTAGCATCATAACGCACGCGTTGGGCAAATGTTGTCAAATCAGTCGAATGCAATGCGGCATAGAGTTTAGTCGGTCTTCGAGTCGGCGAGAATATGACAAAAATATAACGCGGATGTAGTTAAGTCGAGAGCATTCAGATTACCAAAGGTGGTTCATATCTACACGCACACACACACACACACACATTTGCAGTTACGTAGTGGATATACATATCGATCATCATGCTGTGGAACGATCTTTGTTATAAACTTTACTTTTGGCCATTTTTGAGTTATCTGGCGGGTATCAAAGGAATTTGCCCATTCTATCCAGGTTATTTTCCATTAATCACTTTACCGCCCGGTATTACATTGTCAACGCCATCTACAGTGTCGACAACAACAACGACGACAACAACAACAACAACCGTAACCACAGTACCAACATTTTCCCCAACACCACCAACAGTTACAACTCTAGCACCGTGTCCGACACAACCGCTCGTCTGTTTGAATGGTGGCGTACGTCCAATACCCTATTGTCCTTGCATCGATCCGCGACAAAGTGGTATGGTAGGGGGTGGAATGAACATGGGCGTAACTGCAATGATGCAACAGCCGACGATGGCAGCGTCTGGAGCTTTTGCGACGTCAGGTGGCGCTGATCCCATGACTTTTATGCCAGTCAATACTCAAACGAATCTGCCACAAGGCCCACAGCCACAAGCAGGTGTTGGTGGGGGTGCGAGTTTTTCCAATTTTCCCTTAGCCGCACGAAGTGGCATAACAAATCCGCCTAATTTAGGACTTTCGCCTGGACCAATCGGCTCGGATATGATGATTTTCAGTTCGCTAGGTGGTCGTCGTCGGCGTAGGAGAAGGAGAAAGTGAAAAGTGTTTCGTTGTTATTTAAAAAAGTTAATTATTACAGTTTTTCTTTTTCAAAGGTTTAGTTTCAATAAAATATCATTTTAATATAATTGACATTCTTGTTGTAAGCATAAACTTTAATAAGGTTTATAAATTATGTATGTAAATCGACAACTCTTTCACACAAGTATTTTTCATAAATATAATTTTGATAAATTTCTTAAAAAATACATATACTATAAATAACTTAAAAAGTATTGGGCTTTGCAAAAAAAAAAATTATATATATATGTATTATATTTTCTTATGAAAAATAAAAATTATATAAAATTAATTGATAGTATTAATTATATTTCTTATTTTGTATTAATGGTTAATTGTTCGCCAGTTTATTTGTAAGCAAATTATGGAAATTCAATATTCAATATAAAAATGGTATTGCTCTAGAAAATATCCAAAAATAAATTGGTAAGTTTCTATGCTACATTTTCATTCATTTGACTAACCCGATCTCTACATATATACATACTTGTAAACAATATTTAATAATATTATTAGCGGCAATTTTAATGAAGCCTCATTAAAATATTGTTTTGTTACTTTTTATATTTACGACACTTTTTGTGAATTTCAATTGACCCAAATTTTTATTATTGTTTTTTTTTATTTATTTTTTCTTTCCTTCTATTTTACACTCTTCCATCTTCCCTTTAGCACAAAGCTGTGTCGATTCCAGTTTACGAAGTGGCCAATGCGTACATATGAATTCTTGTCCACAACTTATTCAGGATTATTATGAAGCTGCTAGAACTTCGCCATATATTCAGGATTTTCAGACATTTGTGAGCGGTTCAATGTGTGGTTTTGATGGATATAATTTCATGGTGAGTACTAACAATATACGAGCTTTCATTATTCCATAGTTCTGGGAAATATTAATTATAGAATAGAGAAATTTGGTTTAGAGTCATATAAGAAACACTTCCTTGTTTTACTTTGGAGACTTTAGCCCCGTCTGGTTGTGTTACATAAATACACATAATTGGCGCTTTGTAACCGAACCGAACCTCATGCAATGCAGCGGCCTACATTTTATATTAAATCGCCTTCGAACAACTGCTGAATTTTTAAGAGGAGCTTTAATTTCCTGTTAGAAATATACCCGGAGGGGTAGACACTTTCTGACGAGGGGCGACCGCAATTAAAGAGATTAACTTAAAATTTTATTTACAAAATTTAACTTTATTTAATGGCTTTCTTTGTTGAAAATATAATAGCTGAGTCTCGCCGAACAAATGGGCGATCGCTCAACATAAAACAGACGTGGCCAGTATTGAATATAGTCTGCACATGCCGAGTATAGAAATTTATAAGGAATGGACTTTAGTAGTTTAGTTGACAGAAACGCCAATAGGCTAAAAATACCCTACAACAATTATTGTAGAAGCTATCGGAAAGTTGTATAAGTAGAAACCGGAGTACATCTCTTATCTCCTTCGCGAGCGTAAGGATTTTTGTATAGAAAAAGGTCTCAGTTTCGCTTTACTTGCTTATATCGCAGAGGTTTCCCATGTAAAAATGTAAAAATATACAAATTAATGAAATTTATTAAGATCACAGGGTGATTTAGAGCAGATATGGTAGTGCTTGGGGAATCTCAGTCCCGATGGTATCACATTGGGCTTTTAGGTTTCCCAATGTTGGTATAACGTCAGACATCCACTGTATCTACCTCGATTTTGAGAATGAAGCGTTTGTCACCGAAGTTCGTTCCAAAAATTCTGAATTCTGAAAAATAAAAGCTTCGCGTGGATTGGAATGGCCACAAAGCAAATTCTATATAATTCTATACTATGAGCGTCTAAAAAAGACAGCCAATATATATCACCCATATCGCACGACATTTTTTAAAGAGGCACAACATTAAATCTTTTCAGTAATGCATATAAAACTATTTTTTTTAACTATTTCTAGAAAAGGCAAGTTTTAGTTTTGACAAGAAGAGGTTCTCAAAGAAAAAATAAGGAGAAAGATGATGATATTTGCTTTAAATCTTATATTTTCGAATTACAATCACTTTGGAACAAATTTGAAGAATTTTGTGTTACATTATCTTAATTTTTTTTTTGATACAAATAGGCATAAATTCAATTGATATATCCGAGAATAAGATTTTTTTAATAATAAACCAATTTTAAATAATAGAGGTTTGATAAAAATAATTTCCAATGCAGAATTCGAAATTGAGATTTTTCGAGTTATGCGTATTTTGAAGGTGGTGTGCGGCATATTGATCAGAAGCACTCAATTATTTTGAAAAAAAAGGTATGCAGTTGTAGAGGTTTTGCAACTATAATTATGCCATAAAATTATGTCATTATGAGCTTTGAAACCAATTACCAATTTACGGTATGTAGATAATGAATTCATTGAGATTACAATTGGTATTTTGATTTAAATAGTTACGCGGGCTTATTCGGGACAAAAAGGTATATTTTTAACCATTTATATTTTCATATAAAAAACAAGATTCAATAATTTATTCAAACTATTCACTGTCTGAAAGATATACCCGTATGTATATTTGAAAAAGATTTTCGGAAACTTTTAAAGGAAAATTTTCACAACTCCGCCAATGTGACGTCATTTCCGCAGTGGATTATTTTTAAGTATACAGAAAAATTTGACGAAAGAAAATCTATTTTATGGCAGGTTTTGTTTTACAAAAAAATTTGATCATATTTGCCCAACATATTTTTCAAATACATGGTTATATCGTACAACTTTGCTTTCGCCGTTTACCGATAGGTGGCTGTACCGGCTGAGGCTGGTTGAAATACATAGATGATAATGCCTTTAAAGTGAGTGTGGACAGTGCCTAACGAATTGTCATCGCCGTTTCAGTGACTGTTGTTCTTGTTTTCGTATTATTCACGCTCGAAAATGTCCGTTTATGTGCCTAATTCTCGCCATTTGCGGAAAGTTTTAATATTCTGTTATAATTCGAAAAAAAAAATGCAGCTGAAGCACATCAAATGCTCTCAGAAACTTACGATGATGCTGCTCTGAGTGAAAAAAAGTATTGGGAGTGGTTTCAACGTTTTAAAAATGGTGATTTCGATGTCGAAGACAAACATGGTGGATATGATTTGTATTTGGTGGGATCAGCTCGGTGTGATTTACTACGAGCTCTTAAAACGGGGTGAAACCATCACAGGAGATCGCTACCGAACGTATCTGATGCGCCTTAGTCGCGCGCTAAAAGAAAAGCGGCCACAATATCAAGAGCGACATGACAAAGTAATCCTCCAACACGACAATGCTCGGCCTTACGTCGCAAAAGTGGTCAAAAAGTATCTGGAAACGCTGAAATGGGAAGTCTTGCCCCACCCGCCGTATTCCCCAGATGTCGCCCCTTCTGACTTCCACCAATTCCGTTCGATGACACACTGCCGGGCAGATCAACACTTGCAATCCTTCGAAGAATTAGAAAAATGGATTGCTTCATGGATAGCGTCAAAAGAGGACTTCTTTTTTCGAGCCGGGATCCGAAAATTGCCGGAAGGACAATACCTTAAATAATATATCTGTAAGCACTTTTTCGCAATAAAGCTTTTAATTTTGGAAAAAACGGCGGAAGCAAAGTTGTACACCTGTATTTATAAAAAATAACAATTTTTATACGATTTCTCGTGAATTGTACCTCGATGAACTGCATAAAATTTTCCTTTAGTTTGTGAGAACTTTTGAGTACAAACTTTGAAAACACGTAGTTTCGAGAAAAACGTTTAAACTTAAAAGTGATGAGCCTACCTGCCATTGAACGCACAGCTTCCCAATGCTGTATCTCGAAAACTTTAATTCGGATTACATTCTCGAGATGTTGTATATAAGCCAATGTTATAACACTTATTCAAACATATTAAATATTTGTAATGAATGTCATTTCTTAGATTTGCTGCGCCTCCCTTAGAAGCAGTCAAAATCCGATATTGCCACAATCCAACCAAATGATGCGAAATCCTGCCGCACCGCAGCAATTGAATACGAATACACCAATATTTACATTTTCTGCCTTAAACACAAGCCCGAGCATACAAACACCAACGCTGGCCATACCAACAACACCTACATCGCCTTTAACACCTTCACTCATACCCACGATGAATATGCCAGTGATACCAAAAGGTGCCTTAATAAACCCTACACAACCGTCAATTTTGCCCTCCTATAATCCACCAATTATAAGTTCCTCAACGACAGTAGCTTTGCCAACGCGTCTACCAATGAAACGGCGTGGTGTCGGTTGTGGTTTGAGTGGCGCTTACACAAATAAAGTTGTTGGTGGCACGGAAGTGAGAAGGGGTAGGTGGAATAAATGATCTATTTATATATATTATATTCTTATAAATTTTAGGCGCTTATCCATGGATCGTCGCTTTGGGCTATCGTGATGAATTCAATGCCAACACTATGAAGTTCCTTTGTGCAGGCAGCTTAATATCCGCTCGTTACGTTTTAACCTCTGGACATTGTATCACTCCTATGCTGTACACAGCACGTCTCGGTGCGCATGACCTTAGTGATCCCAATGAGGCTGGTGCTGTAAATATACCCATCGCACGTAAAATAATACATGAGCAATATGATGCGCGTTTTGTAATCAATGATATTGGTTTGGTGCAACTGAGTGCACCGGCACCGGAAACAGGTGAATAATAAATATTTATATCTGAATATTAGCTTAAGTTACAGTGGTGCCTTTTGACAATTTGTTTCTATGTGCGTTCGAGGGGGCTCAAGAATAATTAAGAATTAGAATTCGATGGAGCTACGAATTATCTTGAAATTTAGATTTGATTGAAGTGATAAAAGAAACGAAATATTGTAATATAGTTTTCAAGCTAAAGTTATCAAATAAAGGCTTAATGAGCAAATATTTTTAGTAGCCTTGCCACCTACTTAAAATTTTCAATTTTAAAGAAATGTTTAGATGCTTTAAACATTACGCAAGTATCATAAATTATTATTGGCTGATTGAGAGAGATTTATAAAGGTAAATGGTGAATTTTGAAAATTCTGAGGAGAGTTGCCGTCTGTTTGTAATTTTTAATTAAATAAAAACTAAATAGAAAAGTGTTTGAAAAGGGTTTCAGCCTGCAATATGTGCGAAAAGTATAGTTTGCAACCAGTTGGAAATACCGCTAGTTTAAAATAATTATTCATCATTTTAAGTTAAACTTAAAATACTTTCCTGCAAAAGGTTGAACATTTTATTGAATATTTTATATTCTTTAGCATACATTGGCCTCATTTGCTTACCCGCCGGAGAAGTATTCGCAAAGGATTTTGTGGGTAATAATCCATTTATTGCTGGTTGGGGTGCAGTTAAATTTCAAGGACCCAGTTCTAATGTTTTGCGAGATGTCCAGGTGCCGATTGTGAACCAACAGACTTGTGAACAGTCATACAAATCTGTATTTCAGAATTTAGTTTTTACTGAAAAGGTGAGACGTTTGAGAAATAATTGTGATTAAACGATTAATTGAAGCAGATTTGCTGAAATGTTAATAAAACTAATCAGTTTCAGTAATTCAAAATAATTATGCATTAATCAATTATTTTTTTCTTTAAGGAATAATCATTATTATTTATTTGTTTTGTATTAATCTTAATCATATTAGACTTACTCACCATAAAATTTTATTAATATTAATTTTTCTTTTCGTATCGTTTATTTGTTTCTTGTTCTTAATGCAGTTCATTTGCGCTGGCAATTCACATGTGGATGCTTGCCAAGGGGATTCCGGCGGACCGTTAATGATGCCATTGGTAATTACACATTTATGCAAGCATTTGTACTTGCTTATGTCTCTGAGTGCAACAAGTCTTTCACATTATTACGTATAAGTCTGAATCAACTTACTTGGCTTCCGAGTTCGTTGCCTTTTACAATACAAACTCTTAACAAAAATACTTTCTTTTTGACTTCTTATACACATATACGCATGCTTTAACCGTTAATTTTTGTTTTATTCTTTTTTTTAGCTGGAAGATGGCGTTTATCATTATTTTATTTTGGGTCTGGTCTCGTATGGCTATGAATGTGCCCGACCTGGTTTCCCAGGCGTTTACACACGTGTGACGTCTTATATGCCATGGATACTCGCTCATATGGTATAGTGTTAAACGATTTTATGTACTTGAGCAAATATTTTATGTTATGTATAGTTATTTTTTTAGTAGTTTTTTTTTTGTTGAGAATAGTTATTATATTTGATTAATTTGTTGTCATTTTCTGAAAAAAATTACATTTTTATTAGTTTTTCCTTTAATCTTTATATTACAAAAATATTGTGTGTTTATGACTCAACATTGTCTGATCTTGTCATAGCATCGCAAAATCACTGTTTATTTAATACAAAGCAAAAAAAAATTTATGTATTTCGATTAACAATAATTACTCTCTTTAGAAATAAACCCAAACTACAATTTCTACTCGCAATTTATAAATATACATATTCGTATGTATGGTTGAATTGAAAATAGATTTTTTGTAGATTATCGAATGACACTCTCATTCAATTCTATTATTGTAATTCGTGAGATTATGACTGATTACCTAGCTTTCTAGTTAAGAGAAGCAATGACGTGCTGTCGTTACTGCCGCTTCCGTTTGCAACTGAGTTGAATTAATAGTTTATATAAATATTTGCAAGTATGTGCATTTTTACATCTTTATTAAAAATTCTCTATCAAATCCAGTAGTGACACTTCAATTACCAGTTAGGTAGTTGATTAAAGAAGTATATTTCTCGCCCCAATGCGAGTAAGTGAAAAACTCCATAACAGATGACTTATAATTATTACTTTAATTATAATTTTAATTTTAATTATAGTCATCATTATAATTTAAATTGACTTTTTATTTTAATTTTAATGAATTAATTTCAATTCAATTTAAATTTCAATTTTAATCAATTATTGAATTTGATTTTTAAATTTAACTTTAATTTTTATTTTTATTTTAATTTTAAATTTAAGTTTAAATTTTTTTTAAATTTTATTTTTGATTTCAATTTTAATTGCAATTGTAATTTTAATATCAATTTTAATTTTAATTTGAATTTGCTTTTTGATTTTGATTTTAATTTTAGTTTTGATTTTATTTTTAAATTTATTTTATTATGGTTGGTCAATGGATGGTAGTGAGTAGGTACTCTTCGTCAGAGTGTTGTAGATTAGACTGTTGACTAAGCCAAATCTGAAAATAAAAATTAAATATTTTCTAATTTTATATGGCTTTACACCTCCATTAACGGGGGTGTTCTTAGGAAGAGACAATTTTGTCGTTCGGAGGGGAGAAAGCTCATAAAACTGTCACTGTGCTGATGATATTACACTGTGCGATAAATGTATTGTTATTTTGAATGTTAACACTTTTAATATTTAAATTACTTCACATAACGATTTTATCTGAGAATATTCAGAAAACATTTTTTTTAGAATTATTTTCAAGAACAATTCAACCATTAAGGGCAAAAAGACTATTTCAGATAGAGCTTTTGAGCTAAAAAGTTCTAAGAAAATATTTTTCGTTAAATTAATTTACATCGTTCTTAACTTAGATATTTCAATCACAGGAATGCTTCGTCCCGCCTGAAGGTCATATTATTGTGTAACTTCAACTAATTTCACGAAAGAAATTAAAAGTTGGTTATTCTGGACAGGAACCAATAGGACAGGATAGTTCCAACTTATAAAGGCTGGTCGGTCGTTCTCTGAATACACTCAAAGGAGCTTTGCATTAGCATTTTTGCCTTCCGAATCGCCGTAGCATTTTTCAATTGTCAATTGTTTAGGCTTAATGTTAGCGGTAGATAGGCTAACATTAATAGTCCTGGAATCTGTAATAATAAAATCAGAAACGATAGAAAATAGACGCAGTTCAATTAACGTGATGATCAATCAGTTCTCTCTGAACCTAGTATGGATGGCAGGGTACAGTACATATCGAGAAACGAAAGGGGTAACAAGCTTAAATATTCACCATCATGGAAGAAGAAAACGGATATGCCACTACCTTGTAAGTGTACTACAATAAATTAATATATTCCTCGCAGATGCTAACTTAAGATACCAGGCTGATGTGAACAACTCGGAATAAATGAACGTTGACAAAGCTTATTTCGGCAAAAAGGAACGAAATGTCTAAAATGGTTGGTAGTTTTTGGATACATCTATCAATCAGGCAGGCAATGAAGTTGAGGGTACTAGTACAATGACTTCTGCAGGAGTTTTAAAGAGAAAAAAGAGCCTATGCTTGTAGGGAATTGGTTAAAGGTCTAATGGGGGTATAACCCAGCAATTACTTTAATATAACCTAACCGATATATACATATATAATCGGCGCTTTGTAGCCGAACCGAGCTCCTCCTCCGAACGGCTGATGGTTTTGTTTACGAGGAGCCTTTATTTCATGTCTGAAATACACTCGGAGGGACGACCGCAATTAGAAAATTTAACTTAATTTTTCATTTAAACTAATTTTCCATAACTATCGAATGTTGGTGGAACCGGGATATGAACCCAAGCCTTCCGAATCTTAGTACGCAATGGTAACCACTCGCCTACCGCGGCCGCCTAACCTATACCAGATTATAAAAAGTACTGGAGGCCATAAGCAAGTCCGGGCTAATTTTGTTTTAAAATTCTCAGAAGATTTGGGTTCTGCACTTATTTTCAGTTGTAGCACAGTGTTGATAATGCTCTTGATGCTGCTGAGTTCGTGAAGATGCACTGAGAGAAAATGCAATTTGGTGAAGTCCAAACAAATTGGGGTTTTTTTGTTTTTTATTAATCAACAATAACAACAACAAATAATAATATTTTTGTGCAACAGTTATTACCGGCAAACACAGAGTCAAGCTCACTGAGCAATTAAAGTCTAGTAAATAGTAAAATAATTCTAATCAAGGTTCAGTAAAGCGCTGATTTCCCGCAAGCTTAGTACACTCCACACAGCCACGGTCCAGCAAAGCGACTACTCAAGCACAAGCGTTTATCAATTAATAGAAATCAAAGCGGCAGGAAAGGGGGAGTAGAAATATCGTTGTAACAATGTGTAAATCAAAATGCGTAATTGCATTATTGCAATTCGTTTTCACGTTGGCAACAACAAGTGCACACGGTTGGATGGCGTTCGAAGGTAGGCAATCTCTATAAATATTTACTTTGATCACACACGTCCTCATGTATTTATTTGTTCGTTTATTTGTTTGGATATTCGTACTCAAGTGCCAGCAAACAACGCTTGTCGCACCCCGCTAGGTGATTGGGGCCAGTGCGTCTCGCTGAAATACTGCCAAGAGGTGTTGACACTGTACGAGAAGCTGAATGTGAACCAAGCGACGCGTTATTCAAAAGTTTTGCGGAATATATGTTACAATCGCGTCACGCCTGATAATTATCCGATTGTAAGTTAGGAAATAAGTTTACTTGGTGGACACATGTAAATAATTGACTCACATTTGTAACTCTGTATTTATAGCTTTGCTGCAGGCGCCCGACCTTTGGAGACACAAGTCAGGATGATAATCAAATTGTTCCTATTACACCAGTGCCAACGTCAGCAAAGAGTACAACAACCACCACCACGACAACAGTTTCACCAGTCTATAACAGCGATGAACGTTCGGGGTCTGATGACATAAACTCGCCGCCGGAAACATGCCGCGTACCACACGATGGCAGTCAAGGCAGTTGCAAACGTGAGTGCGCTCTCTCACTTACTCTTCCTCTCTTCCCTCTCCCCCTCTCACCAATGAAAATTGTTTTATGCTCTTGGTATGCGCTTATAAAATCTTTTACTATTCATTTCTCTGCCTCTCCCTCTACCAATTAGCATTTCAAAGTTGCGAAGTGTTACTCAGACGTGCTCAACAAAATCCCACCGACACGGAATTCCGCAAGCAATTAGAGCTATCTAATGCTATATGTTATAGCATCGGCACGAATATCTGCTGCCCGAAGGTGGAGCAGCGCAAGCCGGTGACGCGTTCTAATGGCGCCACATGGCATTTGCCGACGGAAGATGAGGGTTGCGGTCTAACACGCCCATCGTCATTGTCTACCAAAGTTGTTGGCGGCGGTGATAGCCAAATGGGCGCCTGGCCGTGGATGGCATTGATCGGTTATGATCGTTACAGTTTGTCGCCCTTTCGTTGTGGTGGTTCACTGATAACGGCGAGGCATGTATTGACGGCGGCTCATTGTATATTGCGCGATTTGTGAGTTGAAAGAGTGTCACAGTTGCGATGATGTTCAAAAAGTAACTGTTTCTAAAAAATTTTCAGATCATTCGTACGATTGGGTGAATACGATTTGAGTACCGAAACGGAAACCAAACATGTGGACATTGATGTGGTGAAGGTGAGTATTGAAGAATTTTTATGAATTGATTTTTATTTGCTGACAGAAAGACACTCGTGGGGACTGACGATTCTTGTCGAAGGGTGTCTGCTATCAGAAAAATTTCATCCGTAATTCGATTGTTTGGTCTGTGCAGGATTCAAGCCGATGTCTCTTTGTATAGTAGCATGCACTGTGTTAATGGAGAGCATATGTGGCTTTGCCAACTTTTTCTCATCTATATCCCGGCAGCTTCGACAGCGTAAATACTTTGTTCTCTTTTCTTCGACCAATTGCATGAGCCTTCTGGTCACATTGTAGGTGGTTACCAACCGCCCCTACCACCTGTTAGTTAATCCCTCTGGTGAAGGCCGATCTTGGCAAGTATTTTGCCTCGTAAAGAGTAATGCTCGCGTCGTGTGAAGTTTTTGGATTTTTGATCGAAAATATATATGAAAATATAAAGTTTAGGTTGAGATCCATCTGTCCACAAAATGGTGTAAAGATCTCCTATACTGAGGTTTCTCCAAGATTGGGCTGCATTAAGCTTCATGATCTTTCAGTTCCCTTATAGTTTAGCCTGCTCCCCTATAATGAAGTTGGGGTCTAATAGAAGTGATTTTAATGTGGTTGTCGCTGGTTTTAGCGAAGATACAGAACACCGAGTGAAAACAATATATTTTACAAATATTACGACAAATTGAATTCTCAAAAGTTTCTCTCTTTCTAACAGTCCGTGAAACATCCTAATTTCGGCGGTCGAGATCGACGTTATGATATAGCAATCTTATATTTGGAGAAGAACGTCGAGTTCACAGGTAAGATACAAGACATTGCTTGAAGAAAATAAGAATACAAAGTTTTAAAAAGCCTTTCCCGCAGATCTTATATGTCCCATTTGCCTACCCTTCTCAACGCAACTACGAAATAAATCATATGTGGGTTATCACCCATTTGTCGCCGGTTGGGGACGTTTGATGGAAGGTGGACGTTCCTCGAACATTTTACAAGAATTACAAATTGAGATTATGGATAATTCGGTATGTCGACAAAGTTACGAGGCCAACAGGAGGCTTGTCTCGAGTCAACAATTCGACGAGACGGTAGTTTGTGCAGGCGATTTAGGTGGTGGGCGTGATACTTGTGGCGGCGACTCGGGTGGACCGCTAATGATGGCGGAGGTGAGCGCTGCTGAAAAATATTTTTTATTATTTTCAAAGTATTAATTTGAATTTATACATTTTTTTTTTAAATTATTTCGTTTTTATAGCCTTATAAAGGCATAACACGCTTCTATGCGCTCGGTGTGGTCTCATATGGCATCGGTTGTGGTCGCATTGGCATACCGGGTGTGTATACGAGCACTCGTAGCTATATGGATTGGATATTAGAGTGCTTAGCCGAAACATGACCGGAGAGAAAAATAAAAGTGATCAAATATCTTATTTTATTTTTAATTATTTGTTATTTAAGAACATCAAAAGGAATTCTCAGAAAAGGTTCACAGTTTGTATAAACTCAGATTACCTCAATTTGCATAGAGAAATAAAAATATATAATGATTATGTGCCAATTTAATGTGACCTACTTAATCGTTAATATTAAAGTTTTTTATTAAAAACTAAATGACAACTTTTTTTGAGGAATTTTCAATTGGGTATTTTTTTTTTGTGTAATCCGAGTCAACGACCTCGGGTGTCGATGGTGGACTGTGATATATAATATATATTTAATTAGGGCTCAGCATCTTATGTATCGATTTACGGTCAATCTTCTCGTTCTATCTGTGATGTGCGTCTTGATCTTTTCCCAACAAATTGAGGTTCCTAGGGATTGTACTGGACCTACGCCCCCATACCGTAGATGGATTTTTATGAAAAGCTCTTATTTCCTTTCAGAAATACACTCGGAGTGTTTGAAATTCTCTGTCAAAAGGGCGACTGCAATTGGAAAAAATATTTTTTTATAATTTTGAATGTTGGTCGGACCAGCATTCTAACTTTGGCCTTCCGAATGCTAGTACTCAGTTCTAATTTCTCTCCAAGGCGTAACCACTTTAAGTAACATTTTTTGAGATGTTGGTCTGGTTAGAGCAGGAGCTCTACTACTCACTCTTACGACTGCCAGTAAGTTACTGGTTAACTAAGGTAGAATAGCCTACTAAAGTAAACTTAACGATATTGTTCTATCCGTTTGGTTCCTTTTCCATCCATGATTGCTGTAGCATCTGCTAAATAAGTGATTCCAAATCGTATTATCAACAGTATGAGCCGTTTGCTCTTTTCCGGTACCATTTCGTACGACCAAATTTTTCTCGACTTACGACAGGGTTGTTTGTCCCTCAGTTCGTTTGAGACGAAAGGCTTATCGATACGTTTTTTATATTTAACAGAAACTCTTTGATAGTCGTAGTTTGACTCACCTGTGATTCCTTTCCCTTGCTTTCGATGTCTCTGTGATCAGATATCCAAACGAGCTATAGTCTACTCAATAATGCTTAGAGTTTTTCTTGCTGCCTGACTGTCACTGAAGATAAAATTGAAGTCTCTTCCTGAGCATTCGGAGCTAGAGGAAATTTCGGTCTAAAGCACACTATGGGGATCTGGCAGCTTGAATGAGAGTTCAAACTTTTGAGCTACTTCTAGGTATATGGGCCAATGAAATTTATTAGTCGCGGTGGGCTATTTTTGAAGATTGAAGATTGATTCAAGGTATTACTTGATCAAGGTATGAGGGGTGTTGAATGGTCTTTTTTATGGCCATACAAAATCCAACTCGTGGCAAAATTAAAGCAGAACGACCATCAACTTCGTCGCTCGTTCGGTGAATGGACCCAAGACAAGATGGCCACTGATCCCGATTTTCACCAGAAAGTTTTGTTATGATAATCAATAAGCCGAAAATGAAGCATTATGGTCACAAATTTTTCATTCAATGGAAAACGCTATAGAGCCATTATTAATGACTTCTTCGGGCTTGAATTGGAGGATATTGATGTGGACCATTGAATCTGGCAGGCAACGAAACAAATAATATATTGAAGGAAACTTTTGGGGATCGCATTATATCGCGCCGAGGTCTTAATTAAGATCCTGCGTTTTAACACCGGTCAGAATATTTTTGGTGTAGTTATGTGAAGTCGCCTCTCCATACAAATAAACTTAATTGCCGCCTTAGAAGAGAATAGTTGGCGCATTATTCTTGACATATGGCTCCAATTGCTGCAGAAGTTGGTCGAAAATAGAGTTTCTCGGCACAATTCGATAACAATAATTTCACGAAGTATTTAATGGTAATTGGAGGCAATGGCGGCCGCTGTAGCCGAGTAGTTAGGACTGCATACTGACATTCGGAAGGCTCGAGTTCCAATCCAGGTGCCTTCAACATCCAAAACTTATGGAAAATTAATTTAAATTAAAAATTAAGTTAAATTTTCTAATTGCGGTCGCCACTCGGCAGGGAATGTCCACCCCTCCGAGTGTATTTCGAACATGTTCGGAGACGGCTTGATATAAAGTGTAGGTCCCTCCATTTGTTGGAAAAACATCAAAATGCAAAAATTGGACAAATTGGAGGAAGAGCTCGGCGAAAAAGTCGCTTCAGCGGTTCTAAAGCGCCAAATATATATATATATATATTTAATGGCAGTGAATTATTAGAAATACATATATGCCAATAATGATTTGAATTGCCTATTATAATATGGATTGAAATGGCAAATTAAAATGTGATCAACAGTTTAACACATTACTCCAAACGAAGATACATACATATATTAATATATATAATTTCCTCCAAAAAAGGTTAAAAATTATTTAACTATAAATATGACTTATAAGACTATGGACGTTTAAGGCTTCCTTTAATATAAACACCTACAATTAACACTATGTGTATACAAATGTATGTGCATATTTGTCAAAAACATAATTAATATTCCATCCATATTTGTGCATGAATTCAATAAAAACTTGTATATTTATTTAGATATCTATATGAAAGAGGTTAAATCAAAAATTGTCAACGATCAATGGTTAAGCTTTGTTCATACATACGATCGTATGTATGTCTATATATTTCTTCATACAAACAACTCACTTGCGCCATGAACTTGAATTCATTATCAAGTGCGAATGGACGGGTTGGTTAACTTCATTCATGTCATGTCTTTGGTCTTCACTTTGTTATGAGTGAGCTATATAAAACAGTTAATTCATTATATATGTATGATACATATACATATTTTTGCGGTTAGATTATGTCACTTGGGGTTTTACCAAATTTAAAACTTCATTAATTAAGTTACAAAATATATGTATTATTGGTATATATATATATATATATGGAGAAGTGTATAAACATATGCCTTTGCTCCAAAACCATTCGAAATGTTTTTTTTATGTATTCGCGTTCACTGCGACTGACTTGAAGGTTGATAGCGGTCGAACGCGGGAATATATCAGGTTAGGCATATTTAAAAACTCTTTATTATTTATTTAGGAGATTCCAGAGATCATGAATAAAACAGTATTTTTTGTTCTAGCAATGTTCGCCTATCTAAATTTTAATAATAGACCTTTTCTATTGCAACCGACTTGCAAAAGAACGCACAGCTGGCTTATTTTTAATTGCCTTAAAATTTGTATTTAAGGGCTGTAAAGCTTTGGTGTGAGCTGTCTAAATGTAAAAATTTTCGTTTGTGAAATATTTAAGCAAATGGCAAATCAGAATGGGTTATTTTGAAGAATGTTTGTGAACTAATTACTGTTAAATTTTGAAGTTTCCCTGAATTGTGAATTTTGATTGAAATATCCCAATAACATTTTGACGTCCGGCGAGAATTTTTTTAGGGGCTAAATCATTAAGATAGCTAATTTTGTGTTGTTGTTTTGCATGTTATTCAATAACCTGCCTCACGTTCTTTTGAAGGGCGGACAAAAAAAGCTCCTTTGCACCTCAACCAGACAATGGCTAGTCAGGCCCTGACAGATTGTAAGTGGTCAAAAGCCTCGGTGATGTTTAATCGCGTATGTGCGTACAGGTGAGCAAAGATATTCCGTTATAAAGCTCATCTATTGAAATCTTGATTTTAAGGCCACTTTAAAAGCAGAAAAATTCACCTATCAATTTTGTCACCCCTGATTTTTTCGTCAAACTTCAACCCATTCGAGAAGAAAATAAATAGATTTGCTTCAAAGAGTGTTTTGAGTTCAAAAAACATCGTAACCGTCACATTAATCGCGTAGTTAGCAGTACACTACCATGCGGAAGATCATGAGCTCAAGTCTTGGCCTTGCTTGGCCTCGCCGCAGGAAACCTCTTCTTGTGGCGTTTTGATATTAAATAAAAACCCCTCATAAAACTTCATCGGCCATACTGAGGTGGCTTAGAATGTAGATCACTCCATTTGTTAGCTCGAACAAAAATCCCTTCACGGGTTATAGGGAAGCATAAAGTAAGAAGAGACTGAGCCGATACAACACTTAATGTCCTTAAGTGTCACTATGATTACATTCCTTTTTTTCCTAATTACCAAAGGCAGATTCATGACAAAATCGAATCAGCATAGCCGCTGTTTCTAAATTGCCGAACTTTCATAATCTGCCATATATTTCGTACATTTCGATATGTTATCATCCCATCGAAGCCATAAAGGTGGATGGGAAATGCTCATCTCACTAGTATTCACCACTTCAAAGTTGTGACTGCCAATAATGATGTGCGAGCCAAGATCCGATCTTACTGTTTGTTTGATGGCATACAATTTTTTTTTCTCATACACGACCACTTCAGATTCGCTTCGCAGTCATGGTTTCACTCTCGGCTATTCTGCTTTGAAGATCGTTGGGTCACTTTACACTGATATACGCCAACCTCCTTAACTCCTATGGTACATTTGACTTCCTTTTATATAATAGAGTTTTCTATGAAAAACATTACAGCCAGCTTTTCAGATGAGATCTTACTGGTAAAATGACCTGCCGACAAGATCGCATCGAGTGATCGCTGGAGTTAAGTTTTTTGATTTCTCACTTATTGACTAGTGAATTTATTTTAAATTGTTATATAACTATTTTTTCCCGTGTATCAATAGAGATTCCCACCAATTAACTTTAATTACTATTCGACATACATACATACATGTACATACGTATGTATATGCTAACCGCAAGCAAACGCAAAGCAAAGCATTTGGAAACAGGTTGGCAGTAAAGCATTTATGCACATAAATACAAATATCTGCCTGTTGATATGAAGATGTAATTTTTCTGAAAATCAACAAACAAACAATATAAATTTCATACTTAAGCATGCGCATTAAGTAGAATACAAGTTGAAGTTCAAATACTTTGCCGAATAACTTGTTAACTCTTTGATTTTATTGTACAGGTTGAGGTTTGCGGTTAAGAGACGAGTTAGTGATTTGTTAGCGGAGCACATTTGACAAGTCTGGTTAGAAAAAAAATACTGAGGAACGCCCTCAAATTAGAGGATGGCATTGTTAAATGTGCGAATTATATACAACACGTACAACATATAGGCATATATACAATTTCAAGCAAGTGTGACCGTGAGAGGAGAGAGTATATAATCAATTTTTAAGAATTTTAAATTGATTAAATTAGGATTGTTTTTTTTTTGTCATATTTTAGGGTTTAAAAATATATACGTTTTCATTTTCTTTAAACTGTTGGGCTGTGGCTTGAAAATTCGTAAAATGTTTGTGATTCCCCTTAGTGCTATAATCGCGTAGCTGTATCGGAGAAGACTCAAACGAGAAATGGGCACTGATTCTGATTTTCACAAGAAAATTTATTAAGCGATGAAGTTCACTTTTGGTCGAGAGAGTGCCTTAGTTAACAAAATTTTCGCATTTGGATTGATGATGATCCACAAGCCATTCTTGAGACGCCATTTATATCTGTCTCCAATTTCCAATAGGTGGTCCTGAAGTCGAAACGCCTGGTATGAAGATTTATGGCGGTGAGTTGCTAGCTTCTGTTCCTTTGTGTGAGAGCCTGTTGATGAAGTTCCAGTCGATTAATATGGATGGCCCTATTGAGGGAATATGCCAGTAGCTGTGCGTGCCTGAATTTAAGGATATTCTTGTGGATGGCTTTTGGTTCCAAGAAGATGGAGATAAATACCATACAGCCAATGGATCAATCAAATTATTATATGTAACTTTTGGTGAGCGTGTTACCTCGCGTTGTGGGCCTGTGGCGTGACCGCTGGAATATTTTTTGTGTGGTTATATGAAGTCGCTTGTTTACGCAGAAAAGCTCGAGACGATTGATGCCTTGAAAGATGACATTCGAGGCGTTAATGTTGAAATGCTGTCTCAATTGGAATTTACTCGATCCAGCCACGGCGGTTACTTTCTCAAAATTATTTTTAAAACATAATCACAAGCCCTTAGCTTTACAATAAAGTCATGGCATTAAATTTTATGGGTTGTATTTCCTTTTGAAAATTATATGACTAAAAAATACCCTTTGAAATGGACGGTTTGCAAGCGCTGAAGCGATTTCCGGCCGCAACGAAATTATGTCAATTTTCCTAAATAAATAGAGGCACTTTCAGTTTATTCTAGGCCGTCTCCGAACGGTCGATAAATTTTTATGCGGAGCTATTTTAATTAATGATTTAATTTAAAAAAATGCACTCGGAGGCCTTCTCCTTCCCTGCTGTGAGGCCGCCGCAAATTGTTCATTAAGGATTATTTTCTCTATTTCAGTAGATGCTTATATATTTGCATACATACATCTATTACATATTTATTTTTATTTACAAAACTTCTGCTCAAGGTTTTGCCAATCGTTTTACTTTGAAAATTTCAACAAAAAATTATAATAATGATTCACTTAGAATTCTTGAAAATTGCGTGTACACACAATACCAAAGCAATGAATAACGAGTAAAAAAAAATATATATATAGATAAACTAAACCACCTTGAAGCGCAAGTCCGTATATAATTTGGAATATCCGCGTGAAATAGACGCCAAACTGACGATAAAAAGTATAAATTGCAATTCTGTTGCAGCTGCTGATACTATTTTTGTTGCCAACAATGCATTGCGTCAATTTTTCCTGAAATATTTAACTTTGTTCTGCAAAGTAACAAGCGCCGCCGTTGATACAAATGATGACACATTGGTCATCATAATTCGCATGCCGGACACGCTTGTCAAGTAGTCTACTTGTGTGTTGTTAATTAATTTCGAATGTGTGAATTTATTAAATATTTTTGTAGAATTTGTCATAATGTTAAGGAAATGCTAGAATATTTCGTATATATATATGTATATGTGAATATTTAATTATTAAGACAAGTTTTTTGGAATTACTTTCTAGTCACTTGCCTAGTTGAAAGTTGATTTCCCTGTAAAACTAGATCAAATTCAAATGTAAATTTTTGCATATTTACTCATACAGATTTTACAAAATATTACCTTTTCCATTTTCATTCAGTAATATTTAGCATACAAATGGTATATTTATAAGTATGTTTGTTGTTTATATATATTAGTTAATAACTGTAATTATTTAGATTACTTTTGAGTATACATACTGGTATATACATATATATGTATTTAGGATGATACAATAGAATAAGTTCGTTTCCTCAGTCTTCTGTTTACTACACGTGTCTGGCGTGCGCTCTCTCTATTTCTCTCTCTCTCTTGCTATAGCTCTACTTTTACTTACGTTCATTCAAAGACCGTATAGTAGTTGGTATAATTGGCGCCTTGTAACCGCTGTAGCGATTTTTGGCCGAGCTCTTCCGCCAATTTGTGGTCTTGCGTCTTGAAGACTTTCTCAGAATAATTGACAGACGTGTTTAATTTCGAGTGAAAGGGTTTACAAAGTTAATTTTGAAAAAAATCGATTATAAACAGTTACATTTTTATTCAATCTATAGTCAATTTTAATCTTTAATTATTGTTTCTGCCTATGGCATTACTTGTTTATATTTTTCTTCCATAAAAAATTCTCAAATCTATCGTTAGGCATGTAAATTTCATGAATTACTTAATTGTTACCCCCGCCTAATCTGGCTTTAAAATTGCCTTACAAATTTACTAATCAAGTTTTCATTTGTTGATTTTTCAAAATTTATTTATGAGTATTCGAGTATATATAAGGTCTGTTCAAAAATATGGGAACTACATAAATGTGAGTGGTCAGTGTTAACTGCTAACATTCGGAAGGCCAAGACTCGAGTTCTGCTTCGATCAAAATTCAGAAATAACAAATAATGTTTGTCTTAGTGCAGTCGCTCCTCGGCAGGTGGAAAAATAAGATCTCAAAAACGCCACCATTACATCGAAAAGGGATTCAAAGCCATGATTTGTTTTTTTTTTTATTATAGCATTGCAGGAAAAAGGTAATTAATTTTTTTGTATTAAATTAAAGGCTTAATTTATCATAGTTAGAATTTTTCGATTGAGGTCAAATATCCACCTTTTTCTTTTGTCATTTTGAGAGCCACCCAATCACAGCTCTGGTTGTTGTTGTAACCGCAAAAATATTCCTCAAAGTATTTTTTGGGGAATGTTGGGAGTGACAGTCCTTGGCCGGATAAAAAATCCGGATCATTCCGGTATAAAGACCCAACTGTCACGGGAACTATTGGATTTTACTCGTCTCTAACGACAGGCATGCCTTACCCCCGCGCAAATTCTTGAACCCCTAACCCGCCTTATCATGATGATACACAATTCCCTCCCTGTTGGCCAAAAATAATGGTTCTGGGCGGCTGCTTCTTTCATAAGGACCAAACTGAGAATTTGACCGTAAGGGAGTAGTTTATTGTAGATGATTACCTGTCAATTCCACCAAACACAAAATGAAACCCTCCTGGCAGCCAATCTTGGCTTAGAGACAGTTTTATGCGGCTCACTGCTTTTCGCACACGATCATCCACTTCGGATTATATTAGGATTCAGTAGCGATTCAACGTTGGAAGTTCGACTCAAAACAGCTTTTCTTCATTAACTCAATTGACAACCATGCATCGAGCTTCTCCTTGCATCCAGCTATTTTCAAGTGGTTCCTAAGTGTTTTTTGTGATATGCTTTGCTCTCTGGCAATCGAAATACTACTCGCATATTGGGCAGACTCGATAATTCTCATTAAGTTATCGACGTTTACGACAATTCGCCTTTCACACCGTTTAATTAAACTTACCGGAACAAACTTGACGAAACCGAAACTGATAGTATGAAACCCATAAATAGCGTATTTTCTATTTGCTGGTGTCCACCTTTGATAAGCGCCCAAACACTACTGAGTTAAGTCCTGGTCCGACCAACATCCAAAATTACAGAATTTAATTTTTTCCTATTGCGGGCGGACATGATATAAACCTCCTCCTTGGAATAAACTGTAGATCCGCATATCAAAGTCAACAGCGAATTACATATATATGTAATAAAGATATTTTTAAACACCCTAATGTACTTATTTACCCTCATAAATACTTACGATTTTGCTCACACTCTCAAATGCTCGTTTTTATGTTAAACCGGCTACTGGTCACTAGCTCCATACGTATGTATGTATGTATGTATAACTACTGCACGCTGCTACTGATTTGCAATTTAAAAGTGTAATGTAAATATAAACCGGCCGCCAGTTTGTTTATGTGATTGCTTGCGAAAGGTTTGAGTCGAAATGATTCGCTAAAAACGCGATTTGATTTGAAGATCTGAACTCGATTTTGAATTTTACGGTAACAGTGCTGATTTGAACGCCTACAGACTCGTACAATCAAAGTGCGCGCATCTCGGGTCCAATCGTGACTCTCGTGAATAAAGTGAAGCTCTGCTGTTGCCCGTTAGCTTTTAGCGCCTGTGATTCTCAGTTGTTAGTGCTGGTGTGAATTGAAATTGAAAACAAATTCAAAATATTGCAATTAGAATACAATTATCATGCACAAGTGATCTTGATTAATTCCAAAGTTAATAATTGTTTTTAATATTGAAACAATAAATTTATTTAAATCAAGTGAAAAATAAAACAATATTTGAAATGAAAACGATTATTTTGCTGTCAACATTTGTTGCTTTAGCAGTGTTACCCGTTGCCGTTCTCTCGCAAGGTAGGTTTTCCCCGAAATTAAAGCAAAAAAAAAAAAAATAATAATAAATAACAAAAAAATAAAAATAAAAAAATAACTAATATCAACATAAAGGCTTTGAAAAGTTAATAATAGTGTGTGAAAAAGTTTATTACAAGAAAATCACACAAAAAATTAGCAAATCAAGTAACTCTGTAAATATTAGGATTAGGTTTAAATCCTAAGAAAATGTACGTATAGCAGTGATTTCATAGAATAAATCATCATTACGTTGATATTTACGGCAAATTTTAAAATAAATTTAAACTGGTTGTGCTGAACGAAATGAGAGAATCTTTAATTAAATCTGTTGGTACTTATTAAGATTTATTCCTATGTGATGTCAGTGTGTGAGTGTGTGTGAGTTTGTGACAGAATGGACAATAAATTAGCGCTGTAATTCTGTGTAGTCGCGGCAGTAGCCGAGTGGTATGTATAACCTTAGAAAGGGTCGACAATGGACAGACCAGCATCCAAATGATTGAAAATTAAATTAAAATTATTTTTTCTAACTGAGGGTCCGAATATATAATATTTCGGAAAAAAGCTTATCATAAATTTAAGGAGGAGCTCGATAAGTTATGTATTATAAACCGTCTGTTATATAATATAAAGCTGTGTAGCAGTGGCCAGCTGCGTGACAATGCATGACCAGACAAACATCTAAAATCATTTTATGACCTAAACGGCACTAGATTTCCGAAAAATAACAAGGCGCTTCACCGGGTGGTATCCTTTCACCGTTTCAGTTTGATTTCGACATTTCTTTCTCGATCTCAAATGGACTGGTTGATATAAACGTCTGGCCAGGATATTGATTGAGGATATGTCTGAAAGTAAACTGCTATCTCGCCACCTTTCCTACTTCTTCACTGCATTACACCTGCAGGTACAAACTGCGAAGCCCTGGACTGTTCTGTTCACCAGCTATACGATGAGAAAGTCAATGTTGTGAAAATTTCAACAACTCGCTCACTGTTACTGGGAGGCTCATTCGATAGTCTGTGCTCCTTCGCTCTGCATATGACAACAATAGCCACAAAGGTGCAGAGCCACAAGTAAATCCCGGAATCGTTAGCCTTTAGCACCTGGATCACAACATACAAGGAAATTGGTCCGCGAGATGTATATGGAGGAGCTACAAGTATGACAGCTCTCTGCACGGGGACAGGAAACCTCCTAATGTCACCGTTACAAGCTAACGTTAAAGAAAGCGTTATTGAAAATTAACAACCTATATTTGATTGGGATTGTTGTATTTCCCCTAGGATGTATGATAGTATTCGGCGACAAAGCCTCACTATCACCACCACATTTGTCATTTTCGTCATTCGAGACTTTGGTTAGTTTGCCATGGCATCACTTCTTTTACGTTGTGAATCACAGAGCCAGCGAGCAAACTAGAGGCGGTAGTACACATTTATATAGAGTGCAGTTTGCTTCAAGACTTACCACTTTCCCTTAGCCACAGCTCGGTTGTAATAAGGCGTAAGTGAACCTTCATATCGGAGTGATCTAAATACTTCTCTTTGATCTGCGGCCCAAAGCTCCACTGGGTTAGGTGAACGCATCTTACGCAAAGGTTACGTACTTTACCATATTGAGCGGCGAGGACGCCAAAATAGCTTTCAACTATTACGTATGATACCTATGTAAAAATATCAAGGAAAGAAACTTTTGGGCTAACAGAGGCTGCACAATGATAATGGTATTCTCAGTGGGTAATCTATGAACTTCAGTAAATGCATTAAGTGCAATTTCGCTCCAAAATAAAGTGGAACAAAGGTAAACAGTGGACTCTGATATAAACATGGTTAGTGTTTTCTGAGCACTTCCAAGAAACTCAGTTAATAAGTGAAAATTTTAGCTACTGGAGAGCATCTTCAACTTAAATTTATGTTGATTTTTACGTAGAAAAGGCTTTCTGCTGAGAAACTGATGGATCAACCTACAGCGTAAACTACTGCCCACTGAGACCTGAGACTTAGAGAGGAACGTTAGGAACACTTTTACTTACAATCGACTCCCACCCCATTCCCGGAAGATAACTCTACACATTTCGATATAAATTCTGTTCGCATTCTGCCCATTTTATTTAAACTGGCAACCAGCAGACTTGAATGATTGTATTTATCACTGCCTTAACCTTGACTTGAAGGACTCAAATCAATATGAATTACGTTCCTTCGGCGGAAAAGCAGTTTTGCGAGCTAAAGTTAATACATATGTATGTACATCAATAATACATACACAATACACTTACCAATGATATGTAAATAAAATGATTAAACCAAACTGCAGCTGGTCCCCATTCCGATATTGAAAGTCACATATTTTTTTATATGCATTAAATAGCAATTTGGGAGAAATCGTCAACTCATATATATATATAGGTAATCTTATTTGCCAAGTAGTATTTTGTATGCACGCTGAGTAAACCAGTTGGTGGTGGTCAAGCAGTAGCCGTTTTCAAGGTTACGAATTTCGATTTACGCGAACGGAAAAATTAGTAAAAAATAATAAAAGCGATAATAAATTGCTATAAAATGATTAAAAGCCATGACAATGAATTTCTATAGGGGGGAAATGAAATTATATTAAATAAAAATGCAAATGACATTATTTTACGGTTCAATTTTATGGGAATTTACTACAAAAAGATACAAAAAAATCATGATAAAAATATCTGAATACCATTTCATGTAAAATTTCAATTATATATAAGCTTTTAAAATTTACAACGTAATTAGAAAAATATGCAAGATTTTCTCTTTGCATAAATACCACACAAAAGAGATTATTTTTCTTTTTACTTAATTTTAATGAAATTCAAACCATCGCTAAACTAAAATAATTGAAAGGTGTTTTTAGGCGTGAAAACCAATGAGACACTACTTTTTACTAACGCTATACCGTTCTGGTTCTATCCACATTTGCTGCTGTGGAGCAAAGTATCGAAGAAGACCCTAATGAGTTCACGCAACAATTAGAGCTGTGTTTACTTAAGATTTTTCAGAAAGAACTTGTTTCGCGGACTTACAGAATCCAACTCTTGCAAGAATTAAAGCCAAACGACCAACAAGCGCATCGTACTTTCAGTTAATGAGACCAAAACGAGATGGCAAACGGTGCCGATTTTCACAATAGAATTTTGTTCAGTGTTGAAGCTCACTTTTGATTGAATGGGTAGATTAATAAACGAAATTCACGCATTTAGTGAACCAGTGTTGAGAAGCTCTTAAATCCTTGAAAAGTCGATTGCTTGGAGTGCTCTATGGGCAGAGGTTAATTTTTGGTTCACATTGCTTCAAAAATAAAACCGGCCGTAACCGGTGTTACAGATACCCTTTGGTTCCAACAAGACGGCGCTACAAGCTATACAGCCAAAGATCTGTTTATTACAATAAACTTGCTGAGCGCATTATCTCGTGTCGGTGGCTTGTGGGTGGACTCCAAAATTGTGCGGTTTAACCTGATGTACTATTTTTGGTGGGGTTCTCTGAAGACGATTGTCGACGCAGATAAGCCCAAGATAATTGATTGAAAAAGTGTCGAAAAATGGGTCTTTCTGTTGGAATTCATTCGAGCCAGCAACGGCGGTCTCTTGCCCATAAAACAGCATGTCTTAGAAAAACACCCTTTATTTGATTTAAGCTTATACTTACTTACTTTATTGGCATATTCACCGCTTACGCGAGTATAGCCTAATTTATAACTATGCGCTATTTATTTATTTTTTTCCGCTGTTCTCTATCTAGCCTTTCCAATGAAGTGGATGTGTTTCCCTTCCTTTGCTTCCACCGCCGGGTAATGCATCGAAAACTTTCAAAGCTTGCGTATTTTTATCCAACCGGACTAAATCATCTAGCCACTGTTTCTTGATTCGCCGAACTATGCCATCCCGTATACGAGCATCTCATACAACTCATCATTCCATCGTTTGCGGTATTCACCGTTCCCAACTCGTAAAGGACCATACATCTTACGCAAAATCTTACTCTCGAAAACTCCTAATGTCGACTCATCAGATGTTGTCATCTTCTCTTCCTTCCCACCATACAGCAGGATGGGAACGATAAGCGACTTGTAGAGTTTGGTTTTCATACGTCGAGAGAGGACTTTACTTCTCAACTGCCAACTCAGTCCAAAGTAGCACTTTTTAGCAGGAGCTATTCTGTGTTGGATTTCCAGGCTGACATTATTGTTGGTGTTAATTTTGGTTCCAAGAAAGACGAAGTTATCTATGACTTCAAAGTTATGACTGTCAATAGTGGCGTTGGAGCCGAGTGGCAGATGCGATCAATGTTTGTTTGTCCTCGTTCACTACCAGATCCATGCGCTTCACTTCCTTATCCACTGTGGCTAAAGCAGAACTCATGGTTGTTGAAGTAAATAATATCATTATCATCGGTGTATGCCAGCAGCTGTACACTCTAATAGAAAATTGTACCTTTTCTATTCGATCTGCAGCTCGTATTATTTTCTCGAGCAATAAGTTAAAAAAGTCACACGATGAAGATCACCTTGTCTGAATACACGTACAACAGCTCAGAGCGATTCTTACCGATCCGGACAGAGCTTTTAGGGTTGCTTAAGGTCAATTCAGACATAGGCGTAGAGGTAGCTCCTAATCGGGCTGATTTCAAAATGGACGAAGAGGTGGTGTGTGTCGATCCTTGCTTCATGAGTGTTTTCCAAGTTTGCCGCATTGCGTTTAATATCGCTCGTAATATTACTTTTTTTAGGTGATGCCGTACTTAATTTTATTATTTTTTCCAAATACGCGTTAGTATGAAAATTAGTATGTTCGCATGAAAATTGTTATTTCATAAAAACTTAACAAACTGTAAGAAATTATTGGCTCTCATAAGCCATTAAGTATACAACTTAACTGCTGATACACATATGCACTTAGTAATTCCATTTGGAACCGGAAAAACGACGCTGCTATCCAATACATTCAAGGCATAACTGTAACTAATCGACGGCTAATTCGAAAATAAACAATTTTTGTACTGAAAAGTTGCAAAAAGTAAATATTTTACTGAATAATATGTGTGTGTGTCTGGTAACAATTGAGAGTTCCGTCAGTCTAGTATCTCTCGACTTTTTCCATGAAGTAAGAATGTCATAAAATGTGCTCCTTGGAACTAGATCTTGTTGGCCGTTCCTGTTGTTGGCAAACATCTAAGCTTTCAACTATGTACCATGCGAGTGAGCTTAGCATCTCAAAGACTCTTTTTGCTTAATACTTCACCAACCACTCGAGAACAATATTGATAAGTACACAAAAGGCAGGGGATATCGAGCATTGGCTTGAGCACATTTAGCTACAACACTTTTTTTTGTAATTTTATTTAATTTTTTTTATTGAGGATTAAAATAGACTTATGTTTGCTTCTCTCTTCTGCTCTTCTAGGCCAGTATAATTGCATATCACCGGAAAATTATTATGGATTTTGCGTACAACTGCAATACTGCCCACAAATCGCCAACGTTTTCAATACACGCAATCGTAATCAAGCCGAACGCTATGTTATAGCATCGCAGCGTTCGTGTGGAACACATAGTGTTAACGGTAATCCAGTGGTAAGCACTCAAATCTATTGTTTAGAAACTACCGGTATTTTCTAAATGTAAAAATTAAATTAGGTCTGTTGCACACGGCCAATATCGCAACCGCAACCACGACCACAACCACAGCCACAGCCACAACCTCAGCCGCAGCCCATACCGCAACCCATACCGCAGCCAAGGCCACAACCAGTGCCCGAACCCATAACAGAACCTACAATCACTGAACGTCCGAATAATCCCTTCTTACCGTCGGTCACATCTGGGCCTGTAATACAACCGAGACCACCTACAAATCAACGTGAATTCACTACGTCACGCCCCACAGAAGTACCCACAACAAGGACAACATCTGCACCAGTTGATTTTGACGGACGCTTGACGGGCGACTCTTGTGTAGATCCGAAATTGCGACGCGGTGTTTGTATTGGTGAGTTGAAAGGTTTTAGTAATTCGCTAGCTGTCTTAAAAGTAAATTTTTATCAGAGATGCTATTTTGATCAATTTTCTTTATTTCTTCTGCCTTGCAGCAATTGCCAAATGTCCACAATTGGTTAATGAGCTCTATGCTAAATCAAATGATCCAGAATTTGCTAGCTTCCTTCGTGCTTCGAATCGTAATTGCGGCGGTGCAGCTTCGGTGGCGTGTTGTCCCACAAGTGAGAATGTCGTAACGAAGGCGCCCGTGACGGTGGTGAATTCCAATGAGGTGCCAAGACGTCCACCCACTTTGGAAGAAGGTTGCGGGTACTCTCGTAATACTTATAAGAAAATCGTTGGCGGTGAAGTGAGTAAGAAGGGTGCCTGGCCATGGGCTACGCTGTTGGCCTACCCCGATGGTTCGTCGAACTCACCATTCAAGTGTGGTGGCACTTTGGTGACAGCTCGTCATGTAGTTACGGCTGCACATTGCATACGAAATGATTTGTGAGTGGAGAGAACTTCAATGACTCATGGCTTTCATAATATTAATAAATGTTTTACATTAACAGAGAATACGTGCGTTTGGGCGAACATGATTTGAGTACGGACACAGAAACACGTCATGAAGATATAAATATAGTGCGGGTAAGTGTGCAACGTGTCAGCTTAGTTCTAACTTTGATTACCAAAGTACTTCCTCTATGCAGAAAGAGGCTCATCCACAGTACAACAGGCGCAATGGCCGATTTGATGTGGCTCTGCTTTGGCTTGAACGAAATGTCCAATTCAGAGATACAATTTCACCGATTTGTCTACCCACCTCACCCGAACTACGTCAGAAGTCTTTTGTTTCTTACACACCCTTCGTTGTGGGTTGGGGCAAAACTATGGAGGGTGGAGTTTCGGCCAATGTATTAAATGAGCTGCAAATTCCGATTTTCAAAAATGAAGTATGTGAAACAAGTTATAAGCGCATTAATCGCCTGATATCCGATGATCAATTCGATTCTGGTGTGCTCTGTGCGGGTGTACTTTCTGGTGGCAAGGATACGTGTCAAGGTGATTCAGGCGGCCCGTTGATGATACCAGAGGTGAGTGGGGAGCAATTGAAGCTTACTATATTTTTAACTTGGTTTATTCTACTTTTTTTTATAATAGTAAAAAGTAATCCATTATTAAATTGAAGGCTTTTTTTATCATAACTCGAATTATGCGAATTATGTCAAATATGCACCGTTTTGCTCGATAACATTTTCCCATTATTAGGCATCTCTTGTAGAAACCTTTTGACAAAAACTGGGACAATCGATTTTCCAGCTTCCGTGAGAGGCCAAACACTAGACTAGACCAGTGCTGGGCACGGACTATAAGGTGGATGCCTAAGAACCTCACAACAAAGCTCTCGAAGCTTCTGGCGAGTCACCATCGATATGTGTTGTCTGGACACATTTATGCTCTTGTCAGCTAAACATGGGCGTTTCTGGGCAATTGCTACCTTCAGACCGTGCATTTGCTGGAAGTATAGATTCGAATAAAGAGTTTAGCCGTAGTGAAGCTGCTCATAGTGGATCATTCCTTGCTAATCTTACCAAATATACAGCAAAATATTACTGGTTGCCGGGCGACCATCATCCGCTTAAGAAATGGATCAGTTTTGTTACTCTTTCACCAGCGACTCGCAGATGGAAATTCGGTCCATGTGATTTTCTCTCGCCCAAGTTTCGTGCGCCTTTGTGTATCCGGCCTTTTCCAAACTGTTTTCGTCTTTTCGATTGGTCTACCACATCAGGGGCCATATTTTAACTCAAAATTATCGAAACGAAATCAACTGTTCCAGTTTCAGAACGACAACCACCACATTCATTTTCTCCTTTTTAAGTTGGCTGACTTGCGTTTTCGCTTTTTTCGAAGAGAAGTTGTAGACTGTAGCGTATTTTCTTTGTTGGTGTTCAGGTGTTATGTTTTTTAGTAAAAAATATCAGTTTTCGAACGCTTTCGAGCATAACCCAATCGCACTTATAGAACGCGAGATACAAACCACTTCAGCCATCTATTGCAAAAATGATGGATTACTTTTTACCAGAAAAATTATTTAATTTATTTCGCTTTATTTAATTCTTTTTAAATTATTTTATTATTATATTTATTTTATTTTATTTTTATATTTATTTATATTTTTATTTTTTATTTTTATATTTATTTCTAATTTCATTTTTATTTTTATTTTACTTTGTTTTCTCTTTTTTTGTTTATTTAAAAAAATTTATTTTTTCCAGCCTTACAAGCAGGATGATTTGCGCTATTACCTGATTGGTGTTGTTTCATATGGCGTTGGGTGCGCTCGTCCTGAAGTACCTGGCGTGTATTCTAGCGTACAATACCATATCGACTGGATTTTGGAGAAGATTGCCGATACATCATGAGATTCTTTTTTTCTACTTAATTAAGTTATTTAACTTTATTCTAATATTAATATAAAAAGTGCTAATGTTTTTGTATACCTTTTTGCAAGTGATAATTATAATTACATTTTTTAATAAAAAAAATTTAAATGTAGTTGATGTCTGTTTTACATTCAGATCTCATAATATACTTAGGCGTGGCCATCTAAAAATGCACTTGAGGTGACCGGCCTATCAAATTTTGGAATCTCCAAACAATGATTCTTTTTCTGATTTGTGCGCGAAGCACGTTCCAAAGACTGTAATGAAATCTGAAAATGGAGAATCTTGGGTACAAACTGGGAATCGTTGATGAATTTAATTAGCGTCATAAAATGATTTATTGTAATTTTATTAACGGAAATAGATTGATGGTGGTCAAATGCCGATGATGTGATCTTTGATGTTAAGAATTTAAGTAAAAATGTAAGTTGTAACATTTTTTTAAACATAAGCGCGATCGCGAAGAGCTTAAGGCTTCACTGTGTGGAATGTTGTTCGAAAATTCTATCAACAGATCAGTCGTACATATGGTTACAAGTACACAATGCGCACCGACATTATGCAGGGAGCGTTGCCCCAACTGCTTGCAAGCGTTGACTTTACCAATCCTGTCCCTGGACGAGCAAAATCGATTCCATCAATCAACGACGATGACGTGTAAATCCCACCACTTAGCAAAGACGAAGTTCGAATAGCAACTACATATGTCAAGGAAAAATAAAGCGGAAAGGTCTGACGGACTTCCGGCGACAAGTTGAAGCTGGTGCATATCTCAGCTTCACTGCGACAACAACTTAGAGGTTACCATGCCTAAACTGTTGTTCCGTACTGAAGAAGGGTGTGCCAACGACATGTCAACTGCTCGGGATCAGCCCTTTGTCATCTTATACAAGGTCTGCTTGGAAAAAAACTAATTTGACGTTATAAGTGTAGCTTTAGATCTGGTAAGACCACAATCGATTAACAGATCGATACCCAACATTTCGTTGCCCATTATTGAACTGCATTCGACAGTTTTACATTGGCCTACTTGTGCAGCACCATCGGCTGCATCAAGGTAAAAGTAGCCCTCTCTGAACCTTTCAATACCGTGCGAAATATCATACAAGACAGTTGTATATCATGAGACATTTTCAACATCGAGATATAAGTGTACATCTGGAGGTCACTGTTTTCTACAAAAAAGTACAGCAGCATTTTTACTGTTGGACGCTGCAAGCAAGATGTTACTGCTTCATTTTCTGCAGTCGAAAACGTTTCGGGGAAGGTGAGCTTAGTGAAAACCAGAGCAAAGGATGCGCGGCGACTACCACTCCAAAGTATAGCGGACCGCCTGTAGCCTGGAGATTTGAGGAAGAATTTCACTTACAATGGATGCTACTATCAAGAGGAGAAGAGACGCACAGATATGGGAGAGTATGGATTGGTGACGATTATCTGTACGAGCTCTATGACGACATCGATATTATACAGCCCATCATCTGCGTTATCCGTATAGATAAGGAATCTCATGAGAAGAAGGTGTTCGAAGCCTAAGCCGATGAAGAACGAAGAAAGGACGACCAGCACTCCGATAGAAAGACCAAGCTAAACAAAAATCTTATCCACGCTTGGTACATCGAATCGCAGATGTGTCTGGCGAGAGCTATTGCGTAGATATGTACGCAAGTACTTTTAAATTGTACTCAGATATAATTGGTCTTGCAATCACTCAAATAGCTCAGCGTCATAGCGTGCATCGCGGGCTTGGTTTATGTAAACTGTTATATGAAAGCCGGAGATTCTCTTGAATTAGATTCGCACAGATTCTTCGGCATGTTCATTCCTTGGTTCTTTGGCAGCGTTTAATGTACGGGTAGTCATACTGATTTTTATTACGAATTTCAAAACACATTTTTTACATTCATCAGCCCTCAGCGATTCTCGCTAAACAATCTCAATCGCTTTAAAACAGTTTCCACGAAACGCCTTGTTCAATAGAAGTCACATGGAGCCATAGCAGGTGAATAAGGTGTTTCTGGAACGTGTTGAATATTTTGCCAAAAAACTGACGAAGGATCATTGCAGTGCGCAGCGGTGTATAGTCAGATGGGAGGAATTTATAATGCATAACTCCTCGGTAATCGAGTCACTTTTAATCCTCTTGAGACTCATTTTTCCATTCTCAAGGTGAATATGACCGAATTACGTTTGTAATCATAAGCATCTGTTGATGCTGTGTGAGGTAATGCTTCAATGGTATTGGGCAATGGCAAAAACCAAAACCACAATATTAGTACAGATCATTTGTCAACTAATCGCCAAATGTAAATACATATATAATATTTATGCATATATGCACACATATAATTGGCGCTTTGTAACCGCTAAAGTGACTTTTTCCGGTTATTCTTCCGAATTGTTGATATGCGTCAACAAATGGAGGGATCTACAATTTATCTTAAGCCGCCTCAGAATAGCTGATGGATATTTATAAGCAGCTTTCTCATTTCGTGTCAGAAATATACTCGGCGAGCTTGAAATGCTGTGCGGAGGGGCGACCGCAATTCGAAATTTAAACTCGAATTTTGATCTACCGAATGGCAGTACACAAAGCTAATTTCGCGGCTAGAGCTACCGCCTGAAGAGAAGAAATAGATCCAGAAAGCATCTATGAGCTTTCGTAATTTGTACATACATATATGATGATTTACCTCTTTGTGCTGCAAATTACCGAAATCGGACGTATAGCTCCGTTACAGGCGATTTGTTCAGATAAAAGACTGTGGTCAAACCTCCATTAAAGAGCAACTAAGAGTATGAAATCTGCTATCGTATGTACAACTAAGCATTGTTCTCGAAAGCCATCGTAATGGCAATATTATATCATACGTATATACCTCTTACAATCGATTTGTTCGGATATGAAATTTTGAGCCAAAAAACCATCTAATCATATTTTGTACTTTATTCACTTATATACAAAGAAACATTGCCACCGAAAATCAACGAAATCTGAAAATCTCATCACATAACCCCCCCCCAGCAAATATTAAGATTAAAAATTGATATTTAATCCTAAAATGAAAGCATAAACGCTTCTTCAAAGCTGAAGACAGCTCGTTTTCTTGTTGTTTTTGCATGTTGATCGATCCGAGCTCAAACTTTGGCCTTCCGAATGGTTGTACGAACTGTTTACCACTCGGTCTGTTGTGGCTGCCAAAGCATAAATATTTATATTTGCATGTAATTAAACGTAGCGGCTGTTACTTTCCATGTACACTACATCTATATATATAAAGATTTATATATCTCCTTGTAATTAAAATTTTTATTAAAATCCAGTGTACTCTCGCGCGTCCAACATTTTCATTTTACATATTTACCAACGTGCCAAGAGGTGACGTCCATTTAAAAATGAGAACACCACCAATCAATAAACCAAAAACATTAATACTCGTACAATAAATAGCGGGAATCACCGATGGTGTGACCAACGCATATACGATTACTAATACAAATAAGCAGCAAAAAACTACCAAAACCAAGATGATCGTATATTAAACATAAATGAGTTAAAAATTATTGCAAAACATCTCAAACTGGTAGCAATAACGATGTTTGTATGTACGCATATTTTATATATAGATTGCTGATAGCTTGTCGCGTTTTTGATTAGCATTTTAGCATCAGTTGTGATTTGAACTTGAACGGGAATGAAAGAGTTCAACGCAAGCGCGTAATGAAAAGAGTGTGGTTGCTCACTAAAAGTGAAATAAATTACTTTAAGTGGACGTAAAAATTAATTTAAAAAAAATAAAAAAAATAAAACAAAAAAAAAAAAGAAAATAGTATATTAAAAAAATACTAAATATCAGTGAAACGAAATGAACTCCTCCCTAGTGGTTTTAATATTATGCACCTTTTCAATAGGATTTATTAAAGGTACAATACTACGATTTTTTTGGAAATTATTTAAATTATTAAGAAAACAAATTGGATATTTTGTTGTATGGAAAATAGTCATTGTGGCATATTTAAAAACAAGTTTAAGTTAATTCTGAGAGTTAAATGAAAAACAAATTTGATTTCTTAATTTATTCAAAACTTGTTTAAAATAAATCGATTGTTTAAAAATATAAAAAAAATTCATTTATGTCAAAAAAAAAAAAAAAAAAAAAATCTGTTGAATAATATAAAAAAAGAAGAAAAAATTATTTAAAATAAAAAAGAAGAGCTGTCTTTGGTTCGGCATGATCTTTATACCTTTCATAACAATTTCAATTTTATGGTATCTTCCAATTTTGCTGATTTTCGGTGTCAATAGTTACTTGTAAATATATACATACGTATGCTGAATACCAAATCTCAAAGCAATTGTAAATGCTTTTCCGATGGGTTTCGGACCAAAAACTCATATCTGAATAAATGGTGGCTATATAATATAGTCCTTCAATTTCGATGATGTTCGTTTACGTAAGGAGAATACAAAATTTCATACTATTAAATGCTTTTTTGACCGAGTTTTAACCAACAATTCATATTTGAACAAATTGGTTGTACGGTAGGTATGTGCAATAGTGCTCCAATTCCGAGCGATTTCGTTACCAATGTGTAATTCATCATATACCAAATTGTTCTTAGATGCTTTTGTATGTTTACGATGCAAAATCTCAAAAATGAAAAATTGATTGTATACACACCATAATGCCCCGATCGGGCCGGTTCCGACAAATATTCATTTAAAAGTATCCGTGCATTTAATTGAAACTTTCATTGCAGTATCTTAAAAATTGACGGATTACTTTGTGTCCAAATAGATAGACAGACGGAAATGGTTTAATCAATTCAACTCGTCATTCTGACCCAATCGATATAAATTTTGATGGATCCCTATTTTCCGCTTCTGGCACTTGCCTACTTTGGACCAAATTTAGTGTAACATCTCAAGTACATCAAGGATATAAAAATTGTTAGAAAAATATATAAATACAAACTGGATAACAAATAACACATGTAAATATATGATTATTTAATTTTTTCTTGGCATAAGGACTTTTTCGAACGTTGCAAGCATCTTTAAAATCTCAAAATGCGGATGGTGCAAAGTTTTTATTTAACTGCATTTTTTTTTAATGAACGAATTTTTCGACCTAAGTCACTGGACATAGAGAAATAACTGACTTTTCATCTCACATAAATAAATATGTGTATATTTATGTTTTATTTATTTATTTATAGTTTTTCAGTCAATTGAGCAATAAATTCTTACTGACTATGATCAAATAAGACTTAAGGCTATTGAAAATATTTTAGTGTTAGGGCTCATCGAGTTTGTGTCTTAAGTCTTTTATTTGCCTTCTGTGTCTCTAAAATGTAATTTACATATTCCCTTGCCTTTGTGAGAGTGACTCACATAAATAAGGTAAAAAGAAAGCAACTATGACTAGTAAATATTTTTGTTTGTATGCACATACAGATGTGTCAATTAATAGGTCAGTCAGCTGTGCTTTATTTTTATTGTGAAAATCGATTAAGCCAGGCCTTCATGTGTCTTAATTAGCAGATTTAATTATTTTAAGCGAATTGGAAATTTATTACTTAAAGCTTTTAAGAATCTCATTATTATATATTTTCATTTTAAAAGACTCAGGTTCTGGGAATGCTTTCGCATTAAAATAGTTTTAGATAATGGCTAATGAGTTTATTAAATTACGATTTTCTGTGATTAGTTAAAAAGTCGTAGTTTTTATAAAAAAAATTGTTTAAATAAGATTACAGCAAAAGCTGTGTTCTGTAATGGTAGCTGCTCTCGATTTGTCGCAGCAGGAATAAGTGACGATAAGATGCGTACTGCCTTTCGGAAGGCTCGGGTTCAAATACCCGTGCGACCAATATCCAAAACTCATGGATAATTAATTTAAATAAAAATTAAGCTAAATTTTCTAATTGCGGTCGCCCTCGGTCAGCCGGTTGGAAGCGGCTTAGTATAAAATGTAAGTCCCTCCATTTGTTGAGACAACATCAACATGCAAAGCCACAACTTAGAGTGGGAGCTCGGCCAAAAAATCGCATCAGCGCCAATTACATATATAAATTATATATATTATGATTATTTTTCGGCGTTATTGTGAAATTCGTCTGCTTGGCTTGCGCGCAATAGGATATTTTCCACAGCGAATATGATTTGTTTGTAAGTTGAGTTCAGTTGATGCACCTGTTGATCCGTGACCAATGCCCCGAGGCCAATAGAGGCCAATAGAGCTATTGTGATCCTCTGGATCCTCTTTTGCTGAAGCCTGCAACTGCCTGGGATGGCTCTATATCCGGGTACTTAGACCACAACTGTGTTTTATTTCACCGAGAACTTATTCAGAATGCTTTTACATTTGGCATTGTTACACCGTAGACATCTTATAACAACCTTGACTGATTGAATATATCGTAACTGATTGTTCTTCTACCATAGATTTGAGCAGCCACTCGGTGGCGTCCATGATATATATGTGTATATTTTAATTTTAAGCCTTTTGCCAAATGACAATGGTACCATTTCATTTTGTTTGAATTCTTGGGGTAAGAAAATTGATGGAGGTGGTGTAATTTAGCTCCTTCGACACTTCTGTAAAAGATAATATTTTAGTAAGTCATAACTTTCAACACGCAGATTATTTCGTCCATTTTGGAGACAGCATTAACGTCAACATCAATGATAGCCTTGAAGTTCAACGCCGAATCACTCTCACGAGCGGGTTGAGCTGAGTAGGCAATTAAAAAGTAAAGTCCACTCTTGACGAACAAAAATTGAATTGAGTATGGTAAATGGGTAAACGAGGATAACATTTCACTCAATTCAGCAAAGCAAGAGAATAATTTTGACAATCTGTGCTCACCTGATAACTTTGTTTGGCTCACTCTGCCTTGGCTATCATTTAAGGGATTTCACAAATCACTTTAATGTTAAAAATAACGATAAATATAATGTTAATTAAAAAAATAAATAATAATAGGAGAAAATGTGATTTTTTTTATTATGATGAAGACTGCCCTACTAAATTATTTAAAAATTTGTTTATCAGCCCAGCGCAACTGTGTAACACCAGAACGCAGCAATGGCATCTGCTCACAACTCAACAACTGCCCACAAGTGCTGAGTGCTCACCGTGCGCGTAATCAACAGTATGTGACAGCTACACAACGCGCATGCGGCGGCAACTTGGTGAGTACTGTCACCGACAAAGTAGACCACGTGAAAGTTTTTCCAAATTATTTCTCTTTTTAGTTTTGCTGCGCACAACCCCAAGCACTTCCCCAACGGCAAGCAGTGAGCAATCGTCTGGCAAATCCCTTCAGAGCGCAAGCACCACAGACGCTTCTCGTTAAACAAGTGCGGGGCGCTGCTGTTGTGCCACAACAATTTCATTTGCAGCAGCCGCAACAACAACCACATGCCGTAGCACTACAAAATCGCGTGGTTCGTCAGCAGCCACAGATAAATTTACGCAGTATTTTCGATGACAACAACTACGAGGCGAGTCAAGGGCAGTTTGTCAACTACAGAGCGGGACAATCTTGTCGCACACCTGAAGCTGTGGATGGCGTTTGCTTAGGTTTGTTCGATTAGTTCGTAGAATTATGATGAAAAATGCTTATATGTATATTTTTCTAAATATCCTAATTACAGTTATAAACAGTTGCCGTTCAGTGCTAAGCGAGCTTTACCAGCGCTACAATGATCCCAACTTCGTTCAATATTTGCGTACATCGAATAGAATTTGTGGTGGCAACACATACACCGTCTGCTGTCCCAGTGATGTGCAACCACAAACGCGTCCAGCGCCAGCGCCTGCGCCAGTGTCCAATCCTGCAACGAGCTCTGCTGGTACTTGTGGTGTTGTTGTGCGTTCATTTAAGAAAATAGTTGGTGGCAAAGCCAGCCAGCGAACTGATTGGCCATGGATAGCTTTGCTGGCTTATCCGGATTATAGTCCCGACTCTCCTTTCAAATGCGGCGGCGCGCTGGTCTCTTCCCGACATGTGGTGACGGCAGCGCATTGCATAAGGAGTGATTTGTAAGTTGGAAAATACTTCAGCCGTAGTTAAGACGATGTTTCGATTAGTTAGTTAAGCTTTTATATCCCAGGGAAAGTCAAGCTTTGTTGAGTGCAAGGCGAAATTCAAGGGAAAAATTTCAAAATATTTGCAAATCTTTTGTAAATCCTCGAGTTCTTCGCACAAGCTCGCTTACGACAAGCAATGAATAGCTGCCAATTTTCTTCTTCTTCTTAGTGTAAGCACCGTTTATGCAATTTTCGACGAATAAACTATTGCTAGCTGGACGCTTTTACTGTTACTGTTAATCGGTCAAATAAAGACAGCTCCGTCGCTCTCTTCTTTATCATTTCATCGAAGCTGAGTTCTTTCCTGTTTCCATTAGCAGGTAGTCCATCTTCAGCTTTCATAGCCACTGCACCTTAATTCCTCTATGGTACTCACAGTTACCAATGCGCAAAGGGTTATAAATCTTCAGAGAAACTTTTCCTCCTCTTCGTTCCTGTTATTCCCTCCAATAATATGTTGAAGAGGTTACATGATAGAGAGCCATTCCCGAATTCTCTGAACTCGTTTGGAACCAGCTTTTGATGTTGTCTAGTGTCTGCTTACACAGCCGTATAAGTCTTGTGAGGTTACCAAATTCAGCTAAAGCATAGAGGGAGCTACTTCTTATGCTATCGAAGGTAGCTTTGAAATTAAAGAAGAGATAGATTCACGTGATTCTGCCTTCTCTTAGACATGTAGTCCATGAGGAATACCCCGCCAATTGAGAATGCGCCAGGTCTACAGCCAAACTGATGAGTTCCGATCAGAACTTCTTCGTACTCATGCACTTCGGTATCTTTATTCCGTTTTCAGATATTACATTTGCTTTCTTCTTGAAATATCAATACCTTTTCCATACCGTTCGAGTTAGACCTTTTCTAATGTTTTTTTTTCATTGTCGTTTGTTATCGGGTAATTTCTCTGGCTCCGGCATATTGGGAGCCGTCCCACAGGACGAAAGTATGTTACACAACTGGATGAGAATCTGTCGCGATTGCAGCAGTTTGACGACGGGCCATCTTTATGTTTGTTGGCAAGCGTTCTTTACTGCGAATAGTTCGAGTCGTTATTAGGTTGGCGGGACATATCCAAATCTAGAACATTGGCAACATACTCTCCGTTTCTCAAGGCATGATTAATTTGGTAGCAAGATTTTCAAACCGGAGACAGACATTTAATTGATGAATTTACCCAAACTGGATTCTGCTACTATGACAACAGCTTTTCCACCCGCGGCGATGTTGATCAGCCTAATTCCATTTGAGGGTTCTCGTCAAGACGGCTGAGGCTTCCAATTGAAGTATTTTTTTTTCATTTTTTCGAACTGCTCCACTGTTTTGATTAACTTTTGAATAAATTACAAAAAATTAATTTAAATTTTCTAATTGCGGTTGCCCCCCGGCAGGGAATGTCAACACCTCCGAGTGTATTTCTGACATGAAATAAAGGTCCTCATAAAAAACCGTCAGCCATTCGGAGGCGACTTGGTATAAACTGTAGGTCCATTTGTTGGAAAAACATCAAAATGCAAAAACCTCAATTTGGAGGAGAAGCTCGGCCGAAAATCGCTTCTGCAGTTACAAGGCGCCAAATAAGCAATCAAAATTAATATAAAATTAATCTGCATAAATTTTTCCCATTTTTTATTGTTTATTTCAACTAAAGACGCTGCGCTCACAAGAATAATTAAAATAATTATAATTTTTTTGAATTTCGTTTTTTTTACTAATTTTAATTTCTGTGATTAATTTATTTTCGAAAACAAACTGACGGTTATTCATATTTTATTTTTATACACGAGAAGAGATTTTTTTTTATTATTAAGAAAAACGAAACAAAACAGCTAATTAAACAATTACCGTTAACTAATTTTAGAAGTTACGTACGCCTTGGTGAATACGATCTGAGCACAAATTCGGAAACTCGACATGAGGATATTGGCATTGCGAGAGTAAGTAAAAATAACATTTTTATTTTAAAAAATAACTGTCTCACGAGAAGATATTTTAATATTTTGTCTTTCGAGTCATAAAAGAGCTTTCAAAATCACGATTTTATGGTTCGAATTCTAAAGAAATTAATTTTTCGAATTTCCGAAAATAAACAGAAGCTGAATGCTGTTAGTAGACAGACACGGCGTTTTTAAATTTGCTCTGAAAAATTTTTGAGTGAAATGAAGTGGACTGATGAGGTTCTTGAAAAGAAGATATTGAAATATAAATAACCTAAATGCTGGGTATGATGAAGCGGAATGCAGCGCTAATAAGCTTGCAATCAGCCTCGCACATACCAAGAGCGTTAATTCGCGATGGGGAATCACGCTTCTCATTACGGAACTAGTCCCGTGGGAGTCTAATTCACCTTCTCCCTTTCCCTCTTCTGTTTTTTCCGGCCACATAAAGGTCTCGTCTCAGTAGGCGGCCAAAGAACTAGATTGATAATGAGGAGCAACAATAAAAACAGTCGTTGGGCACGGTGATGCAAAACGTTCCTTTAAGTCTTTGAGAACTGCATTAGCTGAGCTGGAATGGTATTCACAGCCTAGGAACCTAAGGCAAAACCCTTTACAGGCTAAGCGTCTGGATCTATTCTGTCGCAATTCGCTAAAACGTCTGAATCAATCGGAGCGACATAATTAGACTAACGCTCTGTCGCTCCAAAGCCATTAGGTTCCTCGTCAGGACACATAGTGACCGGAAGGCCGCACTGAAAATTGTGAAGAGGCTTAGCGCCATCTCTGCCGATAAACTGATGACTGCCTGACGAAACGAAAGATCAGCTTCAAGTCAAAAATGGCTAATGACATTGCTTTTGAAAGACATATGAAATGGTGAAAATAAAACTCTAAAGGCTTCATCATAATGGGTCCAGCTGCCTAAATGCATTGATCACCGGACCAACAGCCGCACCAGCTCAACTCAACTCAATTAAATTAAAAATCAATTTCATACATAAAATATTCAAGTAGTAGAATAAAGATTTTTATTTGCTCAATTTTTCCTTTCTCCCACAGAAAGAGAGCCATGCAAACTACAATAAGGCTAATGGGAAAAACGACATCGGTATGATTTGGTTGGAGCGTAATGTACAATTTAGCGGTAAAACCAAGAAATTCAATTCCAAAACACTGTTTTATGTTATACTTTCTCCTATAGACAGCATAAAACCCATCTGCTTGCCCACATCGGCGCAATTACGTCGAAAATCCTACATAGATTACACACCCTTCGTAGCGGGTTGGGGCAAGACAATGGAGGGCGGTGAATCTGCGAGTGTTTTGCAAGAACTTCAAATACCCATACTACGTAATGAGGTTTGCCGTGCGAGTTACGCTCGCGTAAGACGTCTAATCAGCGACGATCAATTCGATACGAGTGTCATTTGCGCTGGTGTACTATCCGGCGGCAAGGATACCTGTCAAGGCGATTCTGGTGGACCGTTGATGATACCTGAGGTAAATAATCTAATAATTATTTTTTTTTTTTACTTCTATTGATTTGCAAATTGGTTTTGCTGGTTTTGCAGACTGCTGGCGGCGCAGTACAGTTCTATCTCATTGGTGTTGTCTCATATGGCGTTGGCTGTGCTCGACCGCAAATTCCCGGCGTTTATACGAGTGTACAGTATTTTGTTGATTGGGTTTTGAGTAAAATGTCTAGTTAGTCTTTAGAATTATCTATAATTAATTACTAAAATTTTTCACGTTTTTATATTGTATAATTATTTTCTGCATTGTATTATTTATGCAGTCCTGTAATAGTGAAAAAAATAAGTCATTAATAAAAATACGTAAAAACTTTACATCATTCCATTTTTTTACTTTCTTAATATTAATTAATTTTTTTCTAAACAATTCTTTTTTTTTTACCAAGTCACACACTTTTCTTTTGCATGCGGTCCTTTGTTCCCATGACTCTTTTTCCTAATCCTTAGCAAGTATTCTTTTGCATTCACCTCAGCCGCTTAGCAAATGCGTATGCAAATGAGACGAGGTCTACTTCGTGCCAATGCGCTTGCCAAGCAAGGGGTTAAATATTGTCAGTTTTTTTTGTTTGGCTTCAGATTTAAACTCCATCCATCAACGTCTTCAAATTTTTTCTTCACTGAATAAAGGTTTAAATATGTACATACATGAAATTCACATATTAAAATATTATTAAAAGAGACAAAAAAAAAAAAACACAACTTGGAATGCATTTTTTTTTGAAGTGACAACATTTTTTGCTATAAGGCTGCAGACGCCGTCAGCTAAAAATTACTCTTGTTCTACTAGAGATGTATAAGCGTATATTTAAATATTGAAATAAATGTGTCTTGCTTTCTAGAGTAATGCGAGTACACATACATATATGAGATGCCTTCCACAATCATAAATCACTAATTTGTTTTAAATATTTTGAACAATAATTTTAACAGCAAAGAAGAGTTTTGAAAAAGTGGCTTTTGAAACAAAAAAAAAAAATTAAAAAATTCAATAAAAAATCCTTAGTTTATTATGTAATAGAGGTTTTTTCGAACAAAACCGTTTTTATGGTTGTTTCAAAACTGTCCAAGCATGTGGGGGTATGTGAAATGTATTCAAGACTCGTGGCAAAAAGTTGTGGTCTTTACCCAACGCCATAGAAGGCACGTGACGCTGCGCAGACGCCAATCGTTTACTCCAGGAGCATGGATGGGAAGACGCAAACAGATCGGATACTTAGATATCTGACCTGGTCCATTAGAAAACCAATTCCAATGCAAACAAAAGGCTCTTGAGCCGAAAATTCAGGTTACCCCTTTCGATATAAATTGCAATCTTAAAGCATTTATATGGAGTAATCGCCCAAAAATCGCTTTATTTCTGGCTTACATAAATGCAAGCATTATTTTGTTGTAAAATTAGTAGCATTTCTCTGTAAGCCCAGAAGAGAGGCATGAGACTGTTTTCCAACACTTGAATGTGGTCTCTGCTATCAATTATAGACAATATGTATTGTAGTTCGAGCCCAACCTATGATGTAAAAGCTCCGCTTGCACTACCCTTTCAAAACCATTCACAAAAATGTGTTTAGAAAAGCAAATAAGCAAATACGGGTCTTTTCAAAATCTTCACATTAAAACTAAAAAACAGCTGGCCGATCAAGATTATATTTGTTTTCCTTGAGAATTGTTGTGTATGTGTTCTTTTGTAAATAATAGAGGGAACAGTTAAAATTGCGGACATTCCAGGTGTATACCCTTAATAAGAGCTCTCAATGAGTCTGCCGTAATCGTCCTCATACGAGGCTCCTAACTTTTACGCTGTTTTGACAAAGGTAGAGCTCACCTCTTTAGAACACATTTATGTAACGAGCCGCTTGTTTTGAGGGTGAAGCTAATCGCAGTCTGTACATCATCATCATAGGCGGCGCTAAATAACGAATTTGACACAGTCGGAGGCTCCCTCTCATTAAGCCGCGTTTCAAGGCTCTACGCGATTAAGTTAGCTCGTGTCTCGTACAAAGTTTTATTTCGGTTCCAAAGTTAGTGGGACGTGAAAGCAAGTTTAGAAATTCAGTCTGTAAATAAATATTTAGAAGTAGTACAACACCTTACTACAATCCTTCGCTCCAACGTCACTGCTCACGGTCATAACTCTGCAGTCGTAGCTAATTTCGATCAACTAGACTACAGTATTATTACCAAAAACGATGTCAGCTTTGAAATCCAATATGAAATTACACTTGCCACTAGATGTTACCTTGAACTGAGTGGGTCTGTAAGAAAAGAAGGTGACCGAGCTCTACAAGTAGTTTCTCATGCCCTCCAGCTATATGGTGCAGAAACGTGACCTGTGACCACATCTGTGGGCTGTGTCACGTTGTCAAGATGGTTGAAAGCACATATATATACTTGGAATAGTATTCGCTGAATCATCCGCCGAAGCCGGAAGCAGAAGAAGAACAAAACCACAAGTCCGTTGAAAATATCAGGTTCTGAAGGACATATGCTCACTCGTATTGGCGACGAACGGTTAAGAACGGCGAATCGAATAATCAAGTCTAACTATGTTATACTTGGATCGGCTATAATCGCACTGTCGAATTGAGAATACTAAGAAGTACAGTTCAATTAGAAATTTACCTATTTTCTCCTTAACATACATACATATGTTTCTCCTTAACATACATACATACGTGTATGTATGTATGTGAATTCCATTCCATTCAATTGCCATTGCAATTCAATTCAATTGTGCTCGATTACAATCGTAACACATACATACAATTAGGTATTGATGATATTTTGCCAACATTAATGAACACAATGATCAACCAGATGATATCTCTATCGAAAGGCAAATATTGATTATGCATTATTATTGATTGTGCCTCGGGTATTGCGCCTGTCTTTGTGGCTAACTTACCAGCGCCTTTGTATTGCGAATATAATGAACACGTGAGAGTAGGTAGGGATATGGATACAGACGAGCTTGTTGACTTGCCGCAGCAACCCTCTTTATCTCGATCATGAGCTGTCTTTTTAATACACATTCCTACATACATACATATGTATACATGCACATGAGTGAGAGTGTATTGCCATTCTCTATTTTCTTTCATCAAATGTCAATAAATCGTGGCAATAACAATATTTGGCAAACGAGAGTGAAAGCGAATGCGAAGAAAGGGTATGCAAATACTTGTGTTGCATGTGTAAATATGTCTGTATGCATGTATGTAAGTTTGCTATTGAGAGACGATCGCACGCAATTGAAAATGCATTGTCACGTGTGCTTCGTGTTCGCACGACCATTCTTCATTTTCATCGATCGCGTGCATTAGCGCTTAAGGGTTTCTTACTTGCAATATATATATATACATATATATGTACATTGCCTATTGCAAGCCCATTGTAAGCCAACTCAATATTGATATGTTCATTTTGTGTTTTTTTGCATAGAAGAATGCAATTTTCCTTTTTGATCTATGCAAATCGTCTAATGCAAATGCGATTTTAAGTGTTGAATACCGTTAATTTATATGTTGAAATATGCAAATCTTAGGCGAAATTTTTCACCAACGACCACCCATGGGCAGAGCATACTTAAGTGCCTTCAGTGATTTACAATTCTCTAATGAAATTGGTAAACCATAAATTTCGTATATACGAGTATGTACATACATACATATATACGTATAAGTTTTGTGGGAAATTACGCTGTGTTGCACATTAATGCGCGCAGCGTTCATTAGTTGTGCAAGTACATATGTATAAATGGATGTATATCTGTTAGTAAACACACACTTTTAATCCTTTCGTTTCGTCTACTCATAAGTCATATGTTTTCTTGAGGTAAAAATCATAATCCTTACAGCTCGAGCACATAATATGAAAGTATGTCTGTTGTAAATCAAAAACTAACCAGCAGACAGCTGTTACGAATTTGAATAACAAACAAATTTATGGGGAAGATAGCGTAAAAGAAATCTTCTACAATATCAACGGCATGTGGCACTCGTCTTATCATCAACACTCAGCTCAGCAGGCAACAGCCGGAGGTGCCGTGAAAAGCGCGGGTGAAAGTAATTTCTATTGCACGCATGCGGTTTATTCAAATATAATTGTGGCATGCAGCTCGCCACAACAAAGCGTTGATGTGATTTAAATCGGATAAGAAAACCATGAAAGATTGTGCTGTGGCGTAAACGACGGGGGATAAAAGTGAAGAAAAGTTGTGTTACAAAAAAATAAACTCCTACAGCTGCGAGGTAAGTCTGATGTCATTAAAACGTCGCATTTCATATTTAAATTTCCATTTCTCAAATTAAATTATCCCCAACCTACCGACTGAGCGATTTGAAGATGCTCGAAAAGAGCTCATAAAGTGCACTTATAAGCCTGTTTCAGACTTCAGATCTGGTAGTTTCAGCATTGTGCAGATATATACAACCCGCGAAAGCTGCCTATTATGAACCGCTGAACCGATTTCCGGCCGAGCTGCTCCTTCAATTTGTGGTATGCATCTTGATGTTTCCTAACAAATAAAGGAACCTATAGCTTGCTCTGAGCCGTCTGCGAACAGATTTTAGATTTTTATGAGTAGATTTAATTTCATGTCAGAAATACACTCGGAGGGCTTGATATTCCATGCCGAGGTGCGTCCGCAGTCAGAAAAAAATAAATATAATTTTCTATAATTTTAGATGTTGATAGAGCCAGAATTCTAACCCTGGCTTTCAAAATGGTAGTGCGCAATACTAGCCACTCGTCTGTTGCGGCCGCCACATGGTGCCTACCGCTTTGCCTGCCGCTTTGAATTTGGCGTTTCTGAAAGACCTCCCCGAACCATTTGATGGTAAACGAGGTTTCAAGGGGGTTTGGAGTAATCTGGACAGCTTAATCTGCAGAGCTAAACAGAGAAGGTATAATCACCTATAAAAGCGTATAATTGCTGGCGTATGCTGATAAAATTGATATCTATAAGATAGTGATTTGCATATCATAACAAGGTCGAACTGATTTGGACATTACAGGCAGGCTTGTTTTGGACGCGGCAGAGTTAACCAGCCTCAGTTCAGCAATGAAAGTTTCGTCCTGGTGACTACATTTTCGAATGGTTTAAGTAACAACGCATAATTTAAATGTTTTAATAGGAGCAGCGCAGGAAGATATCTTGGCTACTTCGGAGTGTGATTGCAAATTAGTGATTTATAAGGAATTATACGATTCTTAAGGAAAGGGGGACAAAATTAATTAGCAGCGCAAGTGCTGAAAAATTAAAACTCCAACATACATTACACTTACATCATAAAGAGCTCAAAATCCAATGCCTGAGGGATTGCGACTATACACTTGTCGTACTGAAAGATGGTACTCGAGCAAAAAGTTTCTTGTCAATGACAAACTTGCGTTCTTTTTTGAGGCCACTTTGATAAAACTCCTTCCGTCCTTGCGTCCTCGTCCTGTTCATAGCCTTACTTTTTGCTAACTACCTAGGGAATAGCGCATTCCCAATTCAGAAACCTACTGTATAAGATTCATTCTCTCAAATGTCCTTAAAACATTTGAGGTTGTCGTGGCTGAAATTTGAGGTTCTCAGCCGAGGCTAATAGTTGAGACACAACGAGCCGGTTGCTTTAAGACCACCCGCCACTCGCACCCAAGGATTCACGCAAGTTGGTTATCAGATCTTGTAGAAAGATTGCTCACGATATCACAGTGTTGGCAATTGCCCAAGAGTTGGCGTGAACTTAAATAACAGTTTCAGTTTCTGGTAAATGAAAAGGAAGCATTTCTCCCGACGATCGCAAACCAAACTCATCGTTATTCTACCGTTGATTAGTGCAGAGACCTACGCTCTAAACTTTTCGGTTTGCAGCGTGTATTCAAAACAATTTCTGACGCGTTGAAAAAATTGTGATTATCATTTTCGTAACTCATTATTGTATATGTACAGTGAACAGATTTTTTCCTATCGGTGAACTATCGGCAATTTTTACATGTATTCAGTGAGGGTGGTTTCGAAGGCCGTGAGCCGCTAAATAGGTATCCAAGTCAGGATTGACTCAAAGGAAGGTTTGTTTGTGTGTTTGATAGGATTGGACAAACTCTTAATTCAGACCTGTACTGCCAGCAATTGGATCGTCTGAAGGGAGCAATCGCTCAGAAGCTTCCAGCTTTGACTCATAGGAGGGGAATAGCTCGTCCCAAAATCAATTCAGCTGTAACAAAGCGCCGATTATAACTGTACATTATAGTATAATATACATATATGTACACATATGTTACTTTTCTCGCAGCTCTTGAGAGCCTACACTTTTCGTAACAGCTCCATCTAACGCACGGGATAAAGCTATATTTCAGGACTTTGAGCAAACATGTCATTGAGATAATGGTTTAAAAAGAAAAGAAAATCAGATTACCTGAAAAACTAGCTTGGAAGAAACATTTCTGCCGGGGTTGCAGGGGTGGGCCCTGGGCTACCTGAGTTTTTCGGCAATCATCGGTAATATTCCGAGGTGTAACATCTAAACCTAGGAAAATTAAACAGAAGGTTCCGCAGGGTGGTTTCCTCTCCCCGCTACTGTTTAATTTCTACATCTCGAAACTCCCTCTACCACCAGAAGGAGTTTCCCTAACCTCTGCTCGAAAGTTAACGGCTCGTTTCCTGGACCTCCCAATAGATGATCTCGGCGACTTAGACTGACCAAACCTGTGCCTAAGCGGTGTTAGCGAACCTCTACAACAACAACAAACATTTTCTGTGTATGCTCTTATTTTTCTTTGATGATCTTGTATTAGAGTAAAGAGCGTAGCAGCTGCTATCTCCAACAAATAACCATTCAATTTAGTTGAAAAAAAGTCCATGAAGCTGCTCTACTGTATGAGACATACGTGTAAAAGAAAACTCTGCATTTTTCTAGTTAAACTATTTCAATTATTTATTCTATTGTATTATTCCAAAGGCAGTTTTCGTGTGTTGGATTAAAAAGTGCAAATCATTATTTTTTGTATTATTTAAAAGTATCTTATTAACATCTTGTATAAATATATGTAAAGTAGTGTCTATAAATTACTTAAACTATGTAAATTGCACAATTCATAAAAAGTAGTTTTTGTGTGTTCTCTTGTTTTTTTTCATTACATAACAGTTAAATTACATGTACTCGTATATTCAAGGTGAACAGTAAAATTAGCGACGTCTAACCAGCACTGCCCCTCACGGTGTAAACCATTTCAACTGATTCCCTAAATATTTACATCTCCGGCGAATTCACTTCTCTCTTCAAACTCAACGCCTCATTGAGTGTAGGACTCAGCGCGAGTGCAGGATTCGCCACGGCAATAATATGACCACCAGCTGCCGAAATTACTTGTACGCCGCCGAGTGGCGAATTGCTCAACATACCCACTGTGGCATCAGTTGTTGGACAGCTCATCATTTTCAATTGGCCCCGTTGCTGCTGGTGATTGGGTGAAGATTTATTGTGATTCGAACTGTCTAACAGTTCTTGACCGCTGTGCGCTGCTGTGGTGGAAATCACATTTGGTGCGAAAGATGTTAAGCTTTTAAATTTCATCGATTCGGGTAGGTCGCGGTCATTTTCCAGGGAACTAGGCTGGAGGGGGGGTATTTGGTGATGGAAGAGAAAGACAGATAATTTATATTAAAAAAATGATTGAGGGAAATTAGGTAAAGTGTAAATATGTGTTCGTGTGTCTGTTAAAGAATTGTGAATATTCTTTTTTGCTTTGGCAGAGGAACTTACGGGCATCGTAGGTGAGCTGGAATTGCTGAAAGAAAGCCGTGAATCATTGTCGTTATCGTCATACTCGCTTTTGTTCAGGCTGTGAAGAAGAGAAAACATTTTTATTAAAAAAAAAAGAAAATGTTGTTTGGTAAAAATTATTTTGGTGGCTTAAACTTGAATTGGAGTAAAATTTTGTAAGTATTTTTTTCTACTCACTTAAATTTGCTGATGTCCGTTAGATCGAACGGCGGCTTAGCAAATTTGTGATACATAGCGAAGAGATTATAACGCGAATCCTCCGTTGATTCCTTTAAGTTGGAAATGCATTAAGTATTTTGTGTGTGTGTATTGCAAATGTGAAAAATGGTAAGCACGAAAGCTTTTTTGTTTTTGTAATTTATAGCAAAGCAAATAAGTAAAAAAGCAGAATTTTCTCTTTTTGGCTTTTAAGCATTAAATTTATTTGCAAATATATTGAATAGCGGTATAAAATATTTTCTTTATTTTATTTAAAAATTAAATCGTTTAACGTCAACTTTAAAAGTAAATAAATAATAAACCAACAAAGTCAACAAACAATAACCAATAAATACTAAAAAAAACCTAAATATAGGAATTGATTAAAGTGAGGAAACTTAAAAAAATACAAACACCAACAAAATCAACAATTAACTCATGCAGATATGACTAACTACATAAATATACTTTTGGATTATTATTTTTTAGAAAGTTAAAGAAAAGAAAAAAATACGATTAAAGGATGGAGTAAATATTGTAAAAAGTTAAAAAAAAATATAATATCGCATCTAATTTCCACTAATTACTTTACTAAATATATATGTTTTGTAAGTATATTTTTTGAAACAGTGGTTCATATGGAGAAAACTTTCCTCCAGCGTACTGCATAGCAGTGAAAATGAGGCACCAGCAGATGGCGAACTCGATTCCTCAATCAATGACTATAGAACAGATGTTTCATTGCCCTAAATATTGCATATACGCGTAAGGTCCTATCGAACGGATTGTGTGAAAAAGTAAAGCCCACCCTCAACAAACTGATTGGGACATATTGGTGTGGCTTTAGGCTTGCTGAAATCACCATACGTCAAATTTTGGAAAAGACCCGTGAAAAGAAGAAACAGTCTTCGACAGCGCGGAAAGAAGCTGCATCTAAGAAGCTGTATCTAAATTTGGTATTCACGCAATTGAAAAGTTTACCCGTCTTTCGCCGAACTGAAACCAAACTGTATGAGTCGCCAATCATTCCCGTTCTGATGTATGGTGTGATAGCATGAACGATGACAACATTTGATGCGTCGGCGTTGGGGGTTTTTGAAACAAAATGATTTGCGTGAGATTTATGGACCACTACGAGTTGGGAATGACGAATAACGCAACCGATGGAATGACCAGATTCCAAAGCGACACTGTCATAGTTAAGCGAATGAAAAGGCAGCGGCTACTCTGGCTGGGACAAATCATCCGAATGAATGCAAGTTTCGAAAGTTATCAATGCTGCATCCGCCGGTTGAAGCATAAGAAGAGGGATACCTCCACTCTGTTGATAATAACGTCGTATTCCCAATTGGCGTTAAAAACTGCAAAATAAGGATGGAATATTGCTATATTTTTAACTCGTTATAATCGCGTTGGCGGAGCCTACACCAGTAAAGGTGAAGAGCAAGAAGGGTGTGGCATTAAGTATAAAAATATCTGTTAGTGCTATGAAAAACTAAAATAAATATAAATACTTTTCAATAATACTGTATAAATATATATACTTTTTGGCAACAGCTAAAAATATTAATTTTTTTTACATTACTTAATTAGTAACCATAAAATATTAACTATTTTATACTGACTTAACAATAGAGATCAATACTAAACTACTTTTTATTTTCCTTGAACACCTAAATCATTAATTTATAAATTTAAGTTATTCTAATTTGAGGTTAGGTTTTGGCAGAGATATGATTACGCTTCTCCATCGTCTGCGTCAAAACTTCTATATAAAGTTTTAAAGCTTTGAGTATTATTAATATATTTGTTTTGAGCGGTGGAAGAAGACTTCAAAAAAAAAAAAAAAACATTCTAAGAAGACCTAGTGTACTGATCACAAATCTCCGTACATCCTTCTACCGCTGGTGTTAAATCCTATCTCCAACCTGGACCAGAATTTTCTTTTAACGATTACCAAACCTCTTACTTAAAACGGATGCTAAGGAATACATAGAAATTGCGTGTTGGAGTCGTGTGTGGAAATAAAAAAGGAGCAGCTACCAAAAGTTAAAGGGAAGATAAATGGAACAAGCTGTTGGGTTCTCACGATCAACTTATACCGAACTATACCGACTGACCTGTGCGTTATTCGAAAATAAGCTTTAAAGTATTTTTCCAAACTAGAACTGGCATCCTCAGTGCTTGATTCTTTTATCTAAAATATAATAGGAGCTGAGGCAGCACATGCAAGTACTGGATGAATAAAGATTAGTTCTTCTATTGGGAAAAGGTTTTTATTCCGATTGGAAGGGATGTACTTCACATTCTTCGAGATAGCTTTCTCTTACACAGACTTGCATATGAACTTATTGCTTTATTGAAGAAAAAATGAGCTTTTCGACTGCGTTCTTGGATCTCTTGGATCAACTGCGTGACTGGCCTTAAATATGCTTTCAACTAAAGCGTAGAAATAACGTATTTAAATTCAATTTTATGGAACAGAGACCTTTATGGATCCGCGTGGTGAGGCATCAGTGGCACACTCGAAGACTTCCAAGACTAAATACACCCAATTTTTTTCTTTCTACAAAGCAAAAAGCTGAAATTTCCGGAAATATATGCAGTAAGACAATTGAAATTTTTAAATAAAACTGAAAATGGAATTAAAATAAAAGCTTATAGTTGAAATTAATAGCATAAACAAAAGTTTCCAAATGCTTTCCGTCACAGAAAAAGCGTTCGCAAGCTGAATCTAAAGCATGTGGTAAGCAAAAGAAGCAAATTTCGATTAATTGTGTGCATATTGTATGTACAAGTGAGCATTGGCGTAAGAACTCTGCTACTATTCAATGGACCATTATTTGCTTACCCGACTCAGACCCAAATCGGCAGGTGTTAGGGTATTCGTTGTCTCAGTAGAGGCCAAACGTGTACGCTTACTCGAGGCAGATGCCGTCGAGTCGCTTGACTCACAATCCAAGACGGCTGCCGAACGAGCCATCGCTTGTTGCGCTTGCATTACCTGTGGCAAGAGACCACCATATCGTGCTATACTTGCCGAATGACCAAAACCAGCATCCTTAACAATTTGACGGGCCAGCGGAAAGAGTTCATCACGACGTGTTAGTAGCGCGGGCACCAAACGACACAACTGTGCTGCTGCCTCATTGACGCACACTTCGTGTAGAGTAAGCGGTTTCTCTGGACGACGCTTACAATCGAAACGTCCATAAATAGCCGAATACTTACGAATCTCATCCATGCGACGTGGGTCGTTCTCATGCATGGCTATGACCTGCTCCAGCTCGCGACTTGTGCGTTTCTTCGAGGTGTGTACGCGTGGTTCGCGTTGTGGCAATTGACGTGCGATCTTCTCAGCGCCTTGTGTTATACGTGCAACTTGCATTTCTGTGAGCACCGGCGTGAGTTGTGGCGAGCTAGAGGACACTTGATGTGTGGTGGCTAGAGTGCCGCCAACAGCACCGCCGCCAGTTGAAGCACTAAGTGTGGGTGGTGCGACAGGTGCGGTGGCGACGGGCAATGCAGCTGTGGGTAGCGGTAATGGTGTATGTGGTTGTATAGCGGGCATAGAAATGACAGGTTGACATATTTGTGATATTAAATGGGAAGATGTAGCGGCTAAAGGTGTAGGATTAAATGCTGAAGGTGTGGGATTAAATGTGGGGAATGTGGTGCGCGTAAATGATGGTGAAACATCGGTTTTCATGTGTATCCCGGCTGATTTGGTTGGCGTATCGAAGAGACCTGTAGAGAAAAGAAAAAAATTAATAGTTTAAAAATATCATTTAATTTGTTTTTTTTTCATTCAAGTACCTGGCGTGCTAGATGTGGAACTTATGGGACCCTGAAACAATGACGGATTATTGGCCCACTCATGTAACGCCTTTTGCAGGCGTCGTACATGTAAAGGTTTCGACGCCATACCTACTAGCGCCATAATTTCCAGAAACTCCTCTTCGCCCGCCTCATACAGCTGCTGTACATCGTCGCCGCCCATTTCTAAGAGTGTGTCATAGTAGACGAGTAGACTGGCACGTTGTAGTACACGATAGAGTTGCGTTTCAGCTTCGTTAATCGGGCGAGATGTGGCGACCACTGCAAATGAAAGGATAATCAATTTATTTTGGAGCTTTTGTAAGAGGTGTGTGTCTTCGATAGTTTAAGTGTTGTGGGCCTAAGTATAGGCAATGTTTTTTATAACTAAAATTGAAAAAAATATATTCTATAATTCGGGTGTTGCTCAGCAGAATTAAACACAGCAAATGAATTAATGTCACATTTGTAAACATTTATTTCCTACTGATGAAAAATAAACACAAACATTTCCGCTACCAAATCAGACGTTAATCAGTAATACCGCCAAAACAAAAATTTAATTAAAATCCTTTTCCATACGTTTTCTGTTAAATTGTTGCACAGATTAAAAAAACATGTTTTTAGCCCAAAAAAACTTGCATAAAATACAAAAATACACACAAATCTCCTGTCAAGGCAAATGAGATTCCCACAACACTTTCAAAACCATAAGAAAAAAATGCTTTAAGCTAAAAAAAAGTGAGCTGAACTTGCCAGGCTGTATTAAAATGAAACGAAAGAAAAAAACAATTTCTGTATGATATGAGGCAAAAAACACAGGACACAACCGACATGACGCGTCGCATATACCATGCGTACATATGCACATATGTGGACCATATAACCCTTTTTCCAGACAAGCCAAAGAAGACCACAGAAAAAAAGGGACTCACAGAAAAAATCCCCCAAAAATGAAATGCCAGACAGGGCAGGCCAGATCAGACCAGACCAGCCCAGAGCAAGCCAAACTAAGCTGCGAGTTATATGCTCGTATGAATATAAAAAACTGCCCAGGCGACCGATGCTACCGCGCTGCTGCTACCTTTGTCGCTGTTGTACAATCTGCATAAGGAAATGGGTGTGCAATGTGCATAAAAAATACGGCAAATCAGCATACATTCATACATATGCACATATTTATAAAGAAGTATTAATATAGGCAAACAACATCAGCGCTGCGTTGCGCTTGCGTAGGAACCCTTAACCCGTTTTCTCTGTGTGTGCGTGTGTGTGTGTGTGTGAGTGAGAGTGCTTGTGTATGCAAAGTAGTAGCGGATGATTTAGCAGCGCGGTGCGGTGGTGCGGTGGTGCGTTTGGCGGCTCGTAAGATTCATTCAAATTCCGTAAGCAACATCAGTGCGCTAAGAAGTGCACAAAAAATAGCAAAAAATCATTAAAAGGATCATCAGCGGCAGCAGCAGCATTGCCTGTTGGGCTTGTTAGATACGCACGCGAGACTATGTTGATAAGCTGGCAGAGCGTGTGCGTGTATGTGTCAGACAGGACGATATTTGTATTTTTTTTCTATAATTTTTTCAACACTTTCGATATTTTTTTTAAGTAAAAGTAAAGCAAAAAATGTATTGTATATTCAAATTAAGCGTGTGAAATATTGAAGATGCTACGCCGTTTGATCAAAGTGATCTGAACAAATAATAAAAGTGAAATGATAGAAAAAACTCTTTAATATGTGGGAATTATTTGGAAATAAGTTGGGAGAATGAGGACCTTTTTTTGTAGTTAATTCTTATTTATTGTCTTGTCTCTTGAAGTTTTTTATTATTTTACATCGTGCTAATTTCCTTATATTTAGTAACTAATATTTCATTATATTTTTATTAATTTTCTGATAAAATTAATACATAAGGAATATAAAAAAAAATAATTAAGTTAAATATATTAACATAAGGTAAAATGAAATAAAAAATATAATAAAATAAAATAAAATAAAATAAAATAAAATAAAATAAAATAAAATAAAATAAAATAAAATAAAATAAAATAAAATAAAATAAAATAAAATAAAATAAAATAAAATAAAATAAAATAAAATAAAATAAAATAAAATAAAATAAAATAAAATAAAATAAAATAAAATAAAATAAAATAAAATAAAATAAAATAAAATAAAATAAAATAAAATAAAATAAAATAAAATAAAATAAAATAAAATAAAATAAAATAAAATAAAATAAAATAAAATAAAATAAAATAAAATAAAATAAAATAAAATAAAATAAAATAAAATAAAATAAAATAAAATAAAATAAAATAAAATAAAATAAAATAAAATAAAATAAAATAAAATAAAATAAAATAAAATAAAATAAAATAAAATAAAATAAAATAAAATAAAATAAAATAAAATAAAATAAAATAAAATAAAATAAAATAAAATAAAATAAAATAAAATAAAATAAAATAAAATAAAATAAAATAAAATAAAATAAAATAAAATAAAATAAAATAAAATAAAATAAAATAAAATAAAATAAAATAAAATAAAATAAAATAAAATAAAATAAAATAAAATAAAATAAAATAAAATAAAATAAAATAAAGCAAAACAAAAAAATATCAAAAAAAAAAAATCATATAAATCAAATAGAATAAAATTAAATGAAAAGAAATGTAGCAAAAAAAATTATAACAAAATAAAAACAGAACAAAATAGCGTAAAATAGAAAAAATAGCACAAAATTTATAAACGAAAACATTATCATAAGTAAATTAAAATAAAAAAACAAACATAAATATAAATTAAATGAAATACAATTAAATTAAATAAATTATAACAATATAAAATTATATATATAGATGAAAAATACATTTAAATAAATTCATAAACACCAAAATAGAATGAAATAAAATATAACAAAATAAAATTAAATATATAGACATAAATTACATTTCATTAAAACTAAAATGAAATAAAATTTAATAAAATATAATTTAAATAAAAAGAAAAAATGTCTTGATATTGAACTTAAATGTAGATTTCCTCATATCAAATATCGTATTTTCTACTTAGTAGTTTAAAGTCTAGCTCATCGCGCTTTAAGCCTTCGCGTCGATGTGATAATTGGTATCTACACTCTCTGAAACTCGCTCTATCAAGCTGTTGAGATCGCTAGAGAACAAGCTCATTTAATCATTATTAGCCTAATAATTCTGACTTCACCCTCATAAATCACATAGACGAGTATTGCAGATGTTTTTTTTTTCTACAGGCATATGTACATATGTAAACGCATGTAAAAAATTAGCAAATAAAATATGTGTGTGTGTGGATATTTATCTTAACTTCTGTATAAAACGCAAATCACCTACATACACATATACACGTATGTACATACATACATATGTAGGCATACATATAGGTAAGCGGTCGCCATTTAAGTATGTTCATTATCGATGGCGATCGTTATGGGTAGCCATGTGCCAGTCAAGTTATTGTTGTTATTGTTGTTGTTGTTATAGTACATTTGCTGATGCTTACGATAATGTCAGTTGAACGAACGCTAAGTATTGACATTAGCGCGCAATGTAACATACTAAATATGTACGTATGCACTCGTAAGTGGTGAGTAGGTTTGTGCGAACAGCAGCAGTAAATTCTCAGTGTAAGAAAACACATGTATCCATATGCAAGAAATGCTTACCACTCGTTGGACAGTAAGGCAAAACGAAAGAGAAAAAGCCTAATGAGTACAAGAAAAATCAACTGATTGAAGGGCCATGAGCGAGCTGATGACGGACGGGTCGAGTAGGCGCGTAATGTTGATGCAGCGAAAAGTGAAAACGTCAGACATACTCGGCTATTCGGCTCCTCGGTGCATATTGGATGTTGGAAGAAAGCAAAAAATATAAGGCAATGCTGCATGATAATGTGAAATCGTAAATAATTATGTGAGAACATATATTTTTGTGCGTACGCATAGCCATAAAATGCGACAACACAAGCACAATGGGGAAAAAAGTAAAAACAAAAACAGAAAAGGAGTTAAAATACCAAAAGCAGTGCGAGCGTGGCAGCGAGTGAAATGTGCGGTTAGTTCGCTCACTGGTGTGCAGTGGCCCACGCGTATGAAGGTGTAAGTGAGGTGGTAGATGTTGCTGTTGTTGTTGTTGTATGCTAGTGGTAGCATCAGGCACATTTTATGCACACATGTCTTGTTTTGCTGCACAAACTGTCGCCGATGCGGCAATTACTGCCGCCAACAGCTCGCTGATCGCGCTCGGCAGTGTGTAATCGTATGTATGTATGTATGTATGTAGATGTGTATGACAGCAACGGTAGCTGTTGTCTCTTTAGTGCTGTTCTTCCTGCTTCATCGCGACAGTAGCTTTTGCTGTTGTCCCTGTTGTTGTTGGCACTCGCTGGTTGGTTCCGATCGTCATCGTCGGCACGGCCGTCAGCCGACAACCCTCTGAACATTAACAATATAACACGGCTAAAGTAAACAGTCACAGCAACAAAAAATGGTAACCACCAACAACAATAACAACAGTGCAGTTTATTGATAGACCCAGCGTTTTTTGCGTTAGTTGCCATTTGTTGCTTCTCAAATTATTTATTTTGTAAAAAAAAATTTATAATTAATTTGGCTTGGAGCGGCAGTTGGGGGAGTAGGACGCCGACTGCATTTGTTGACGTGAACGCCAATACGGCTGTATGTAGTGGCTCGTTCAAAAAATGTGTTCTGTGCGTTGCTTGCCAGCCGCGTGGCAGCTCACAGCGGAAAAGCAACATGTTGCACAAACTCTGTATGAACTATTAATGATAGCAGCAAGCAGTGATAAAAAGCAGCTAGTGTGTTATGTGGGAACAGAAAATAAAAACGCAAATGTATGCTGATGGTGAGTGCAAAAAAGCCGAGCTGAAAATGATAGAAAGACGCAGTTTACATACGAGTTAACAAGCTGGCGCTGGTGATTAACCCTTGTGTGGTTGTAAACGGTTTGTGCGACTTTAAAAATTCCTTCGCTGTGGATGGTGTTCAGCTCGCGTTGGATTTCCTCTGAAAAGCCATCCCCCCTCCAAACTGAATGTAGAGTCACCAGAGACCGGAAAACGGCTCTGCAAGGGCAATGAGAAAGGTAGAGAACAACTCCTCTCATAATGGAGCAGTTGCAAAGGCCAGTGGTGTAAAAACAATGTCATAAGCCTGGGGGAGGAGTGCGGCTACAGAAGTACTCTCTACATAATTGGTGATTTGTAGCCGCTGAAGTGTTTTTCG